GCTAATAATTTAATCCTTGAGGAATTTTGCTTACACTTGCACTTATTATTACATGGCGAGAAAAAGTATATGTATAAGGGGCTCGATGAAATTGTATCGTTTACATAATTCTCATTATTTATTGTGTAGTCCCATCTTCTCAACGTGCTGCAAGTTCTATAAGACTTTTGTTGTACGGAGTAGTAATAATTTCTTTGATGGAACTTTTCCTCGTTAATATTGCTACTTTGAGAGAGCAAATTCCAGCAACAACTATATTTTTTCTGCTACTTGATAACGCATTTCCAGACAGAGTGGGACCAAGTTTCGCAATGAAAACAGTTAATTGGGTATATTTTACAAGTCACTATTAATGGATAGTTAAGTTAAGTAATGCTGCCTAGTTTGGATCAATGGTTGATGACTAATAATTTTTTAGTACATATTTATGTATGTACAATAATATTTGTTGTGTCTTACTCATCCTTATTTAGTAATGTTGGTACGCTCTCTCGACTGATAATAGGATAGTTCAGTACATAATGTACAACATAAGATGAGTAGTGCGTATTGCTACATATGGATACACGTGTTATCAATAAATTTAGGATACAATGAATACTTACCTGTGAATGGAGCATTAAAGGCATGGTTTTGGTCTTATCTCAAACCTTGATATTGATTTTGATATGTCCACGAAATCATGCTGGTTGCTTATCTGGGTGGTGATTATGATTCATTTTTAGTATGCTTTGAATGATATGGTAATTCGTATGGCGACATAATATGCATTCACCAGCTATGAATATCGTGAAAGTGTGCCTGGTCTGTAGTGTCCTTTCACCTTTTGGAAACAGCCATATTAACAAATAAATAGAAATAATTATTGTTTTCTTGTTGCTGAAAATAACTTGATATTTAAGAAATTGCTACTGAAAATGGATTTGTGTTAATTGTGTCTTCTTACTACGAGTTACATATAATTTGTAAAAATGGTTCTCGGGATAATAACCGACTACTTTGGCGGCGCAATTTTTGGTCGGAAACGCGGACGGGAAGGTACATTTTTTTAAATTCAAATAAGCTAAACTGATAATGTTTAAAATATAAAAGTAGTAAATTTTCTGCTATTCATCCAATTCACAGTGTGCACTTACATTACGATAAGTGGTGGGTGATAAGCAATGCTTAACATGCTTGTATTCTCTAGAGATTCAATCTAAAAACTAAACTGGAGCAATATTCGCTCGCTATTACTGAAAGGTGTAAAAACTAAATTGAAAAAAAATGCCATCCGAATTTTTGCTACGGTTAGAAATTCGTGTCCTGCTGTTTATGCATGCGACTCTTATTTTCGTGTCGTGATGATGCCGTGTTTTGTTTATGGTGGTGATCAAATGGGTAATTTTATTACTTAATATTCCATCTTCATACTCCGCACAGTCAGGAGTTGGACATAAATTTCCAGCAAATTTGCAAGTTTATGCGAATTCTAGTTTAGTAGTAGCCAACTAAATTGTTAATGGGCTGGTGGATGGTGTGTGTCTGTGCAAAAGAGGAATAATTTATTTGCACTTACTATTTACACGGCAATTTCACACTTGACCTCTAACTCGGATGAAAGGATGAGAATATTAATGTCTGCTTGACTTAATAAGTGCATACGAAATGAATTTATATATATATGGACTCAAGAATTTCTTCATTCATTTTGCGTAGGTGAAATAATTTGGTTACAGAGAGATGCAGCCAGTTTATTTAAGTCTAAAGTCTGCTGACGTGGAATTGAAATGGCAAAAAAGTTCAAAACTCTTGTTTTTACGGCATAGAAAAAATATTAAGTTTGTTTTTATTAGGCATTTTCACAACCCTTGTTAGTCAGCTATTTAGATGTGTGGTGACGTGTGCCGTCGGATATTATATTTTTGTAAAGAAATTATTATTATTGCATATTCTTTATTAGATGTGGCATACTTACTTAGTGAATTTTTGGTCCTTATTTTTATGTACTGGTTAGCCCATCATTATTCAATTACATTGTTGATATTTGACATGCAACTACATAAATAACAGGAATGCTCAAAATTAAGGTATATCGAGCTTTTGTGTATTTTTGTACGTATTTACTTTTCGTTCGTGTGTGACATTAGTCATTTCGGTACAATTTAATAGATTGGTTTCGATTCAGTGAATCGAGTTACTTACTTTTGCTGCTGGATACTTTTGGGTCATCCCACCGCATTATCATAATTCATGTGTAGTGCTTTGCATTACTTTTGCCGTGTCGATGCACAAATTATTTGTAGAGTAGACAAAATGGCACAATAATAAAAGTTGTTTTCCATCTCACTATGCTCAACCTTATTTGTTTATTGTCAACTTTATTAGGCTTTTAGAAATGTTTTCAGAGCATGGTAAAAGTTGTACTTACACATGATTACGATGGCAGACAATGGAGAATAATTCGTGTTTTGGTCGACATGCCTAAAATTCATCATGTTTTCTTCTGCGTATTGTACTCACATCGTGACAAAGACCAAGTGCATGTGAAGGTCAAGTTAGGTGGAGCTCTTTAAGAAAATATTTGATGATGTGGTTTCATTTTCATTTCGTTGGTTCTATTGTTCATTATTTTTTGGTTATGGAAAAGCGAAAATTTAAGCGATTATTTAACTTAGATATTTTATGCGATCAAACATCCATATACCTTTTTGTATGTACATATTTGCTTGGCAGTTTAGTTTAGTCTGCTTCATGACGCACAAGGCTCATTCCATCTGAACCCACACGGTCGTCGTCGCACCCACATTTGATATCATGTCCACAATATTATAATAGATGCATAATATAAAATACAACATATAATAAAAATCAAATTTTGAAAATTTAATTTTTTCGTAAAGATTTAGCAGTTATAAGAAAATTTGGAAATGCATTCAAAATGCAATCTTCGCCAAAGTATATATTCAACGGGGTAGGTTACATTTACGGATTTCATTCATTAATCATTAATTGATAGAAAAAATTTTTTAAAAGTCAAAAATTCTAAAAAATCAGAAATTTGAAATGCATTGAAAAACTTGATTGTCAAGAAGACGGACAAAAATCGCTTATGGGGAGATAAGCCAATCGATGCCTTTGGGCCTGGGGAAATAAAAAAGTTTAAAACCTCACGCGATTTTTGTCCGTCTTGGAGTTTTGGTGATTTTTCGAAAAGGTAAAATTAACATGGACTGCTTGTGTAGACAGTAGTAAATAATTCTGCGTTCCTACGTGGCCGGGAACATTGACAACGTATAGGCTGTGTGGTGTTCTCTTACAAAAGAGAGGAAAATACATGGCCAGGCAGCCAAACCCAGCGAGCAGGGTTTAGCACCTCTATTTTCTGGTACTCGATCAAACGAGTTGCTTACAAATGGAATGAGCCACAATACTTAAGTGTCTTGATAAGTATGCATTCAGACGTGACATGGAGGGATTTATAATTCCATTCGCAACAATTATAAAGTTTGGAGTCGTGGCTGGATCGGTTTTTTCTGGATAGCGTCAATTTTTATGACATGTAGAAATCCTTTGAAATTGCACCATTTATTGATGTATACTTATTATCAGTTAGAAATAGAAGTTATGGTTCTGGTGGTGTGGTTGAATTTGTCAACACTTCTTGAGGTTTAGAATTATGAGAACAAGTTACATACAATGTTCATCCTCTGCGTTATGCATGGCAAATGCTCAATTTTTATGGGAGGTGGCATGTTTTGTGTCTCTCCGCAGTAAGCACGTATAAAATGACAATTTTATTACGAGACTTTGACAGATGATGATCCACTTGAACCAACAACCACATGACATGACTCGATTCTGCCACGAAGAACAAGTTGTTGTAGTAAAGCCAATTAACGAACCGTGGCAATTCCATGTTTTTTTTTCGTGTACACAAAGCCTGAAGAGTTTGTTGGCATCGCATGCATAATAATACAGATGCACTTTTTGGTGGATGCAGGAATCAAGAGGATTAGAAAATTAGAAAGCGAAATGCACATTGCTTGCTCTTCTTACAACAAAGAAATGGATTTCAGTTTTGAATGTCAACTCAAGTGTTTATAATTTTTTCGAAGAGTTTGGTGATCGAATGAGAAGTTCTTCTGTAATTCGAGTCAACCAACGAAATCTGATTATGCGACTGTGTTGGTAAATCGGTTTATCTTTGTTAAACTGTGAATTGATATGAAAATGAAAATTAGTTCTTATTATTGAAGCATGCTTGCAGCAGAAATATTGGAATGACGACGCAAGTGAAAGTAAAAGTTTCCTGTGCGTTGGATTATGAACTATTGGAATCTTACAATTAGTAGACCATTGCGGTGGTTGGGTGACATCATCCGAAATAAATATGTAAATATATCAATTGTTGTTAGCATAAGATGTGTGTGCCTCCACATTAAACTGCGTATTAACTGGTTTTGTGGTTAAGGTTGCGATGGTTGACTCATCTCTCTGAGGGTGACACTCGAGGTTAATTGTTTTACTAATTATGGTTGCCACTATATGTCCCAGACGCTGTAGTAGTGGTACTAAATTCATCTACAATGGGGGCTTGTTCCTCTAACTTGCAAATAGTTGTGCATATGTACATATTACATGTACTTATGTTTATCCCAACTTCATTATCTCATTGGTATCTCGTTGTGCAAGTATCTTTTGTTTGGCAAGCTATTCTTTGTCACATGCATGGACGGGAAGTGAGTTGGTGTATTTCATCTCGTAATTATATGTTCTACAATTGATCGGATATCCGATGCACCTTCAAATGTAGTTGGTACTCTTGGTACTTACATATGTGGGTTGATTAGAGTCATTCAATTCTAAATACACATGGGTAACCATTACATTAAGGCGACCATTCTTTGTCCACAAAATAATCACGCGTCCATTCGAACCACGAAGAGTCCTCCATCCAAGATATACTCGTTGTTTGTGTTGACAAAAACTCATGGAAAATTTTACCATTGAATTTCCAGAAATATTTTGGATACGCAATTGTTGAGTCCATTCTTTTGGTGCCATCATCATCATCATGAAGTTTAAAAACTTTTTCCTTTCTTGCTCCTCCACTTCTGGGGGTCGAAGTCGAAAGGTTGAAGAAAAGCAGCAAAAATACGGTGGGCTGAGACCAGTGTCACCACCAGCACCCACTCTGCTAGCGAGTACTAATGTCCCCACAACCATACAACATCCCGTCGTTGTCGCAGCTGCAGATCTACGCCAAGATTATTACACGGGCCCAAGGAAAAAGCATTTGACAAATTCCTACTCGAGCTACAGTTGTGGTTCAGCATCTTCTCATAGCTCGTCAAAAAGTGGTAGTTGTACGAGTGCGAGTAGTGGAATTGGCAGTTATTCCAGCTCCAATTCGAATCCGAATTCCATTTCGAAAAACAAGCGGACCCTCGATAGTCGAAGTGGTCGGTACCGGTCAGAGCGACAACTTAAGCCAAAATGTACTAGTCGTCAGTGTTGCAACAATGGGAAAGAGTTTCACCACAAGATCACACTGGCCGATTATGACGCGAGCCCAACACCCCCGGACGATCTGGGTATAAGTTCATTGAGTACTAGTTTTATATGGGGTTTGAAGCTTTGACTATGCTGGTTTTTATTAAGACTAATTAAATATAATTAGGGTTAAAGTTAGAATTTAATTGTCTGATTTTATTTTTATGTTGGATTTTGTTTGTTGTAATTTCAGGAGTAAAAGTTGGAGATAGAGTCGTCTGGCTTCGAGAACCACCGCAAACGAACGAAGCTGGAAAAGTGAAGTGGATCGGAATTATTGAAAACGAGGAAATTGCCGGAATTGAATTTGTAAGTATTTATAAAACATATGTATGTAAAACAAAAGGATTCCAATTTTTGCCTAGTTTACTACTTTTGTCTCTTTTACTTCTTGTAGGATCGCCAACTTGGACTTGGCTCTGGTTGGTACAAAAATCGCCAACTCTTCACCTGTGAACCTCAATGTGGAGGATTAGTGGCCGTAGCGGGATTGATACTTGAAGACGACTACTTTTACAATCCAAACATCCCCTCGAGTTCATCCTCTCCCGTGAGCCCATACAACGACCGGAAAGTTAGTAACAAGAGACTGACCAGTGGGGGTGGAAGTGCAGGACACAGCAGTCCGAGTCCAAGCAGCAGTTCTAGTACGAGTTTGGAGATTGATCAGGTACAAAACTATAATTTACCATTGATCATACGTATCTGTCATGCACCTGCTCACGAGTTTGTTTTTATTACTTCAGAGAAATCAAGTGGTTCAGGAGCAGCAAAGTCATTACGGATCTCGCCAGCAGTTTAGTCAACCTGTTGATTATACCAGCCACACGTGGAACTCACCTGCAAAGACTGAGCTAGACGAGTCTACCTTGCTGGTTGGAGACTTTACAGTCGTACCCGCCGTATTACCTGTCGTTGATTGTGGAGACGGTCATTTCGATCCCCCTTCTGGAGAGTATAAATATCCTAAGAGAGAAATTATGCCCATCCCACACATTGTGCAACCCATTCGAGAAGAAGATGTGGACCGAATCAATGGTGAGTTTAAATTCTTGTTTGTGATTTAATATATAAGGACAATAATTTGTTATGTGTATCAGTTTCTAATCATTGCGTGTATTATTGCAGGTCGGCAAAAGGGGATCCAAGGCCATCGAAATTCCTGCTACTTGGACGCAACTCTCTTCTCCATGTTCTCATTCTCCAGTGTTTTCGACTCTATTCTCCTCCAGGATTATAGACACGTTGTCAATCGAAGGGACGAAGAGGACGAATCATTGTCCAGAAATGTCCAGAAAATATTACGTGACGACATTGTAAACCCTCTGCGAAAGAACTTGTACTGCAACGCCAGCAATGTTATGAAGCTTCGGGAGACAATGGAACACTTGGATGGAAAGTTGACTTGCGAGGAGATGGATCCCCAAGAATTTCTCCAACTCTTATTTGACAAAGTACTGAATTTAAGCGAGTTCATGTCCCTCTCTTCTGGACAATCGGATTTTTTCCATCAAGTTCTCGTACAGCAAACGGACCAGGATCGACATAAGATCCCGTCAATTCAGCAGCTTTTTGAGCAGAGCTTGATGTTACAAGAATTGAAATTAAAAGGTGTTCCTCAGCCAGCCCTCATCTTACAGATGCCCCGATCAGGAAACAAGTATAAAATGTATGACGGAATCCTCCCAAACTTGACCATTGATATTACGGACCTTCTGGAAGACAGTAAGTATAATCAAATGCACAATGTACTTAATTAAAAGGAGTTGGCTAATTTGTTATCATTGTCATTTTCAGTCCCACGAACATGCATCATTTGTGGGAGTCTTGCAACCCACGAATGTTCGAGCTGTTATGGAAAGTTTAACTCTGGTGGGAAAGATCGTGACAGCTCGATTTGCTCTCCTGTTGGATCTGGAGCAGAATCTACAGCATTTTGCGAGACCTGTGTTAACCAGATCCATAAACGCAAAGACCGGCAAGGTCATATGCAAACCGTTATGCCAATCAAATACAGTTTCTCTGCATCTCAGTATTTTCCCAACGCCATCAACACTTCCTCCTCAAACGATCCTTCTAGGTATTACTTTGGCCAGTCCCAGATTGGAAATTGGGGAAACCCAAGTTTTAATCGAAATCCTACTCCTTTAATTTCCTCAATTCCTCCTCCCTCAAACTCCAATTTTAGTCCCTATGCTAGTCGTTCAATTCCTAGAATCACGATGGATCTTTTCGCCGTCATCTGTATTGAAACGAGTCATTTCGTGTCCTTTGTAAAATGTGGATCTGATCGTAAAGCACCGTGGGTCTTTTTCGACTCGATGGCTGATCGAGTTGAAAATGTTAATGGAACTGGACACAATATCCCACAAGTAAGTCAAGCTAAATCCAGTAAATGAAACTCTATTGCTGTCAATTCAACTAAAACTAAATTAATTCTTGTTGTGGTTGTAGGTCCGGTTATTACCGAATATGGGATCATGGTTGGACAGTCTAGAAAACAAGGGTGTCGAAAAACTCATGATGGAGGAGTCCAACTTCCCACCAGACTTGAAACGTCTGCTAGCTGATCCGTACATTTGTCTCTATTACTCCAAGGAGTCTTCCATGTACAGTTAAATCAAGATCACAAACATTTTCACAAAGCGAAAACTTCACCAGTTTCCGCGTCGCAAAAGTTTTCCAACAATCTTGCTAACTTATTATGAACTACATACATGTATGCAAATGTGGATTGAGTAGTACCTCTTTAAAGTTTCATGGGTCAATTTGGGCTCTTCCACTTGGAGCAACATAACAACAGGTTGAGTGTGGGTAGTAATTAGTGTGTATATCAACCCCCTTTCTCTATGTACATGTTAACCTGCATAAGAATTTATATACATATTATGTAGTTTTTAAACTTGATCACAACGAGTATTAATCCAAATTTTCCCTTAACATGATCTTAATAAAGAATATTCAAACACTGACGAGTTGAATTGTGTTAACGTAATTTAAATAATTATTATTAAAGCGTATGAAATGAGTGGCAGAGAAGGGGAAAAATGTTGCTGATGTGATATCTGATTGAGAGTTATTATCAGGAGGAGCCGTATTTATGCATGGAATGAAACCCATGTTTTTGTGAAGTTACCCTGTACAGAGAGTTCGAGTAGAGAAAACACTATTATTAGTTGAGTAATTATGCCGTATTTAAAGAAATATTCATGACCAGATTTTTGGTCCGTTTGATCAGACCAGATTTTCACTTACAGACTAAATACATAAATATGTAAGTATTGCAATAGGCAGGGATAAGCGAAATGTTGTACTGATATCCATACTTTATATCGTGTAAATCTGTGCTGATAATTATCAAATGTTATACAAGAAAAATATATTAGAGAAAAAATAAACTAACTCATTTGAACACTATATTTTGTTTATAAGCGTATTGAGTTTTATTTATTTACTTAAATCGATCAATCTGTGTATTTAGCACACGTCTCTGAATAAAAATGTATAAAAAAGTTTTGTCTTATTAAATAACTACAAAAGGAGATCTTAGTTTAAAAATAATCTAGACATGAAAAGTTATTTGATTGAAACATGTACAAGTACATTCTATATATAACATAACATAAAATAGAGAATAAGATAACTATCGTAGTTATCCGCGTATATGGAAAATTTGTAAAATAGGGCATTTGCTTCTTTACTTTCCAGACACAATTTTGTTAAAACGTTTGGCATGTTTTGAAGAGACGACTTGATGATCATCTTCTTCTGGTTTTTTAGAACTTGAACGAACACATCGTTTTACTTCGGACCTTCCATTATTAAATTGCACTTGGAATAGAATGTTGCAGTTGGAGTACATTCCTAACATAGAAGATTATTTGGTCGTTGATAATCAATGGTTGATTAGCTTGCTTAAAACTTGAGATATTTAACTTATGTATTGTTTATTCTTACCGTCTTTCAACGAAACGCAGACAAATTGGGTATCTTTAAATCGTCGCCGAATAAGAACTCCGATGTTTTGGGTATGGTTGAGATCAAGGGCCGAATCAATTTCATCGAGGATGTAAAGTGGAGCTGTAATGAGAAAGATTAGAATTAGAATTAGAATATTTAATCTAAATTGAACACTGATGTATTTGTTACGGAGCGCGTTGAATTTACTTATGATTTTAATTCCACAAATATCAATACAAAGTTACAATTAGACGAGTTACCTGGGTTGTACATGCAAAGTGAAAGCACCAAGGCTAAGGCGACCAAGGATTTCTGTCCCCCACTCAATTCACTCAAAGATTCTTTCCACACACCACCCAACTGGACATGTATCTGCAAGACCGTAACAATTAATTTGTGAACATATATGCTTGACACTAGCACGACCACCATAATGAATAAAATATACGTCACACACATTAAGACCTTGAGACAGGTCATTTTGGTTTACAGCCACCAGTCTCGCTGCGGACTCGGGGAGGAGCGTTCCCATCATTTTATTGAACTCTTCATTCACTTTCGTATATGCTTCCATCACAATGTTCATCTAGGGTCAGAGAAATTCGAGGATTACAAAATAGAATCGTGCTACATTTCACTCCAGGGAAGTATTGATGCAAACAGATAAACCTACCTTATGCTCATCAAGCTTATCAATCGTACTCATTAAATCTTTCTTGTTACTTTCAATTGTCGTCATCTTATCTTCAGCGCTACGTAGGAGTGTCTTTGTTGATTGGAATTGTTCAGCAGCCTGGACATCAATCCTCTCACGGAGTTCGTCAAATCGTTTTTTAAGTCTTTCAGCCTCAACCTTACGTTCCTGATAATTTTCATGTAAGATATTTTAATATTAACAAACTAACGTATAACTTTAACTAATGTCTAAATAATTTATTTACATGTAAACTTTTCCTTTCGTCAGCAGGAATCTCTTCCTTGTCAAAATTGAGAGTTTGGTTTTCCTTTTTCAACTTATGGATTTCCGATTCATAGTCTGTAAAATCCAAAAATTTTAATGTACTTGTATATGTATGTAGCTACATAAATGCGTACATAAGTTGACAAATAAATAAATAACAGATTAACATACGATTAACACTGCCAGTCAATTTCTCCTTCAAATTTCCACGTTTGATTTTACTCATCTCAATTTTATGAATGGCATTTGTTAGGTTTCTAATTTCCTCTTCGATTTCATTATACTCCGCGTTCCATTGCTGGCTCTCTGCTACAGCCTCATCATACCGTGTTTGTACTTCTGAGAAACGTTTCTGAATAAGACTAAACTCTTGAGCAATCTTTTCAACCGTTTTATTGTACTCGTTGATTTCTTCAGCAGAGTTGTCAATATCCTGAAACAAGGTAATGCAAACATGAAATACAACAAATTATGAAATAGTTTTGAGTTAATATTTGTGCTAAAACGATTTACCTGCTGACAATCTTGTATTAAAGCTTCTCTGGACTTGATTTCGACGTCTATGTCACCAAAATGTTTCTGCTTGGACTCGTACTTTTTCTTTGCTGTTTCAAGAGCCTTCTCGCATCGAACGATAAGCGCAGCATTGTCTTTCTTGCCCTTTTCTCTTAGGTGTTCAAGTTGGTTTACTTTCGTCGACCAAACTTTCTTGTCCTTTTCCAGCTGCTGCATCTGTTTCTTCCAATCTGCTAAAACTTCACTATCTTTTTCTAAAAATAGGAACAATCAGATATTACAACATTGAATAATCAGCAGATAGGAATTTACATTAAAAGCGACATACTTAATTTTTCCATTAGTTCTTTAATATCTTTTTGAAGAATGGAGTAAGATGTCAGCCCCCGCGTCTCCTCTGCATTTTGTAAGTCACGTTTCGCAATATCCAATTGTTTCATGAAATCTGCGTTACTAGATATATGCGTACGAGATAAATGAGCAATGTTTCTTCACTGAAAATAAAACTAATCAAATTAATGGTGCAATTACGATTGCGCCGCTTGAAGTCGTCTCTGTAAGTCTCCAACAGTTCCCATTAGTTGTTTGATTTCAGCAGACATCTGTCGCAGTTTATCACAGGTTTTGATGAACTCTCCAAGGCTGCGTCTTGAACCTCCCTGCATGACACCATCGGGATCGGCGACATCTCCAATCTTGGACACTGCGTAGTATCCCAGCTCAAAAGCAACTTTCTAAATATTTAGAATCATAATTACGCATTATTGTAAAGTCGAAGTCAGAATAAATAAATGTATTTTAAAGAAACCTTTGCCGTCTGAATAGTGTCACAGATAACTTTCCCTCCAAAGAAATGTTGCACAATTGCTTGATATTTAGGAGAACATTCAATCAAATCAATTGCCGGAATTGCTTTCCCTGCTCCAAGACGTCGATCTAACTCCTGTTGCGTGAGATGCGTTTTGTTACTTGTTTTGAATACAGAGAGACAGTGGATGGTCATTCGTCTCGTCAAACCCGACTTCAACAGGGCCTTCGCGACAACTTCATCTTCGACAACCAACTGACCAAATAATCCACCGGCAAGAACTTCCAGCGCGCCTCCCCATTCGTCAATATTTTGGAATTTCAGCAATTCGTACAAACAGCCGTGAATCCTGGACGCATCGACGAGGTTGTTTTTCCTAATCAAATGTTATCAATTTCTGTTAGAATTAGAATTGCAAAAAAAAAAATTACAATGTTTGCTTACTCGTAGCGGAACGAAATGCCATAATTTCGTCCAATAATGCTTTCCTTTTCCTGCGTTAGTTGCTGCAGTCTGTGTTTACTTTGATTAAGAGATTTTACAATTTCTGAAGGACTGTCGTCTGGGTTAATATTTCGTTTAACAGCTTCGGCCTTAAGTGCCTCTGCCCGCTGAGACTTTGCCTTGTAATCTCGTTCCACTTGCTCATTAGTTGGAGTTTTCTTCAAATCCTTTTGCATACCCTCGAGTTTTCTCATGTCCTCATCATATTGCTGTGTAGCGACTTGATAATCGGGTTCGATCTTGTGAATTTCATCCTGAACACCTATACAAGAATCATTCATCAATTGCACGAAAAAATATATGTTTAATCCTTAATCGAATTCTATGACATTGACTTGATCACGTACGCATTAATTCTTGACGAGCGTCGCATGCTTTTCCCTCTTCGTCGACGATGTTTCCCATTTTTAAAGCATTTTCCCTATGAAAATAAAATACGTAATCAGCTGTACACAGTTATGCTGTATACATTTCTGAAATGAAAGAAATTAAACTACTAGCTGTACTTACTGTTCCCTAGCCTTATTCAAAGCTTCCTGAGCATTGGCGATTTGAGCTTTGACATCTTCAAACTCGCCCACCGTGCTGGCACTCTTTTTCTTATAATCTTGCATTTCCTTCTCTTGTTGTCTCTTTGCCTTTTCTGCCTCGGCTAGTTTCTTTTTCCCGTCACTTACATCCATCTTGGCAGTGTTCAGTTTGGCTTCCACTGTAACAAATTTCTTTTTCTCATCCGCTAGGTCCTTCTCAGCTTTTGCAATTCTTTCTTTGAATTTCTCCGTATTTTCTTGCTTCATTTGTTGTTGACGTTTCTTGTTATCATTAATGCCTTCCTTGTACTCTTCAATCTTCTTGTCGTCATCTTTCTCACTATCGACTACTCGATTGAGCTCAACCTGACTGTTTTTGAGCTTATCGATCACATCCTTATATTGCATGATGGCATAGTACTTCAAGCATCGGGCAGTTTGATATTCAACGGTTTGGAATTCGGTGAGTTTTTCTCGGGCATCGCGCTGTCTCTTCCATTCAGGATAAATTTCTTCATGGATCGTCTACCAATGAGACATACAAGTTGTAAACAATTATAGTTAACTTGTGTATGGGTAAAATATAATTGGTACTCACACTTCTCACGAGTTCCAAGCACCGATCCTTATTTTTAATCTCCTGTTCGGTTTTGTCTCTCTTCCCCTGGTACACATTTCCACCTACTGTTTCCTCAATCATGCACAGAATCTGCTTGGGCGTCATGTTGATTACTTTTGTGATTTTTCCTTGCATAATCATAAAGTTGGCGTTGCTAATGTTGAGTTGAACGGACTCAAACATTTCAGTAATTTGTCGTTTAGTTGAAGTGATAGAGTTCAAAAAGTACTGTAAATAAAGCTGTCGTTAGTACAAAAACAAAACAATCTACAAACTTTTCAGCAATAAAAACAATGATGTACATACTTTACAAACTCCGTTCGTTTCAATGACTCGAGATATGATAATCTCGTCATGTTTTTCATATCCGACTGGACTCTTCTTTCTGTCTTTGTTATCAAAAATTAGTGAAGCTGAAGCTCGAGAAACTCCACCAGTTCCACCCTTATAGATTAGTTCGCCTAAATTCGCCGCACGAACCTACGAAGTTACATCAAATTACTTAATAATAGTTAATCCTTCGCAATTTGTCCGGATTATCGCATATTTAGAATATTAACTTACAACTTGCATAGACGACAAACCCAAGACAAAGGCAATGGCGTCGAGAATATTAGACTTTCCGGAACCATTTAGACCCGTGATGGCGTTGAAATGAGGATCAAAGGGTCCTTAAAATAAAAATTATAAATAAAAATTTAGTAATAATAAAAATTGTTAATAAATAAACCACCATACCAATGTCCGTTCGATCTCGATAGGATTTGAATCCTTCGAGAATGATGTGTTTTAAATGCATTTAAATGCAGGTAGCCTACACGAAAACAACATACACAATAAGAAAGTATATAACTCGTATTCATTAACTCCCATATCCACACGCCAAAAAAACCTAGTTAATTAATTTAATTAAGTACGAGGACAATTAAAATTACGAACAATCCGAAAATCCGAGCCCCAAACAATAACATTGACAAATTGATAAAAAACCTTACCTTTGCCAAGTTCTGTTCTTTCTCGGGCTAAAGAACCCTTACATCCAACTGATCTCCTCCTCTTAAGAAGATGCTAACTGGTGATAATTTTAGCGCAGCAATTAAACTAAAATTAACGAGTAATTAATTTAATTGAAAATCAGCACAGCAATAAAATATCCCTGATGAGGAAAGAAGAGAAGAACACTGGCGAGATAAAAGTTAACGCTCATCTGCAAGGAAAGCGCCTTCTGCTCCTACCGCTCAGCTCTCAACGACAGGGCAGAAGGAGAAAATTGACACATGGTGAAAGTCAGGAGGGGGTGTGGTTCAGAGAGATTCTTGATTTAAGAATATTATTTTAACCAGATTTTTATGAATGTAATAAGAAATTGCTTTCATTTCAGTACTAAAGTAAGTTGTATGCGTAAAAGCTGGAAAGAAATCAGTCGTTGGGTGCAAACTGTAGTGCACCTGAAAATGCTCACGATTCTCACGAATCTATACGCTATGTTACAGGAAGTGGGGGTAGTTATTCCAACGGACGACTGTTTAACAAATGCAATCGGTGATCAAGAGGTTAATTAAGAACTACATTTAATATAATTCGGAATTTCCGTAATTGTCTGGCTGTGGCATAACTTTGTGCATGGCGTTTTACATCAATGTAACATATCATCATACGGCATCATACAAAACACATTTATATATTTTTCATTACTTTTTTCGAAGTTCGTGTCTCCATCATTGTTGCGATATAAGGAAAAACATTTTTTTAATTTTTCTATTCTTCCATTTGATTCGTTGCTTTATTTCACGAAATGGCTGCTACGACGGAAGGACGCAACCCAACAACGATTCATTATTCATTTAGTAGGAATATAGTAATATGGGTTATTATATGCATGCTGGTAAAATAAGGCCAAAGAGCAGTGCAGCAGCAGTGACCAATGCTGGGAGAGGGTGAATAAGCAGGACAAAGATTGGATAAGAGGGAAACGAGCGGTGTTGACTCTGCGGTCGTAGGTCACTTTTCGTCTGCAGCGTTCGTTGGGCTGTGTACAGCAGGAGCAGATGTCATTCATCCGTGAGTCATGACGCTTGAGTTGTAACCGACATTTTCGTGTGGGGGGTAAAAATTGCACTCGCTTTTGATCAATGTAGAATAGCATTAGCATCTGGAGTCCACTGGAGTTCATAATTTCTTCAAACGCGTCAAAATGATGAGATCGATGTGGAAGAAAGGGAACAAGCGTCTGCGCCAAAAAAATACGATAATAATTTCAATTATGTTCCAGAGTTTCTTTGTTGTTGTAATTTTATCCGTTGTGGAAAATATTTGTAAATGAAACTGTGTTACTGGCACACCTATCTTCGTTATGTCGCGGAAATAATTGCATGCGTAGCGTAATTTTACCCCCCCAAAATAACGAATATTTTAACAATTAAATTATAATTCCTGTAACATTTCGTGTCAACATATCGTCAATGTAGAGAACCCCCTAACGATTCTGCAAGTAAATTTGCAACATCGCTCATCTGCCTAGAATGTAGTATACTCGCTCGCAACCCCATGAGCGGACATTAACTTTTTGTACTTGAACAAGTACAAGGATTTGGCTTGGCTTTTCATGTCTTCTTGCTCGTCAGACTCTAAAAAATATCTCCACCATCTCCTCAATTCTCTTTAATTAAATGGATTTACGTTCAAAGGCAGACAGATGCAGAAATAATTTCTTATTTCCTACGCCATTCTACTAAACAATCCAACCACCAATTCTTCCTTTCTTCCCGTTGCTTATTCTGAGTAAACATGATGATGAACTCGAATCAATGCAGTGAGACGACGACGACAAGTCCTCTGAATTGTCTGTTTTATTAGACTGAAGAATGGCACTACCAAATTGCAGATATATGCACCAACTAAAAATTACTTCATGTTTTTTGCAAATCCTCACTTCACGGAATACAAAAATGCAAGCAACTTATGTAAACTTTGTTATCAATGTCACTGGAAATCTACATACATCCGACCATGGCTATGAATTCTGTCTTTTTAAAAATGCTTTATGTAATTTGTAGTCTGACATTAATTAAAGTGAAAGTTGATCACAATTAAAATGGAAATCTGACATGTCAAAGTAAAATTATTTCGATCATCACGTTAAAAACAACTTTTCAGCTTATGAACGCGATTTTTGTTAAATTGAACAACTAATAAGAATTGATTTGATTTTTAAACTGCCATGCATAATATTTGCAAATATTTGCAAATCTTTTCAAATTAAATGAGGCAAATTAAAAGAAACATATTTCCATCACAAAAATCCATCAAAGAGAATCACTTCACTATATTTTCCCGTAGTAGTACTACAATTCTGGGACTAAAGTTTAATACAAGATCACTACAACACCAGACACCAACTTTCTTGATGTATAACTTTTCTTGATCGTTGGCACTTCTCGACTCAGAAAGTTGGTAAATAAATTGTGCAAATTTCTTCCTCTCGTATTTTCTTGATGAAAAGAGTGCCAAAGGAGGACTTGACCCAAATCGGAGCGTGGGGAAGGGATCCTTTCTTCACCTAAGGTAAGCCACTCCCCCTCCTTCTCGAATTTGTGGTAAATCTAGAAAATTAAGAGTTTAGTTAAGATTTAAAGATGACTGCTGAAAGATATAGACGTGGCTGGCGAGGGGTATACCACTTAATCCGGGTGGGATACCGCCCGCAGATCATACAAATTTTCTGATTTCCTGTACCGGTGGCGTTGGGCTAGTTTTGTGCTTCGAGTTTGATAGACTATTCTGCCTGTTCTCCCGGTAACGTTGATGCGTTGCGTGCTGGGCGACGTTGCCATCGACGTGTTCCAACATCTACGGTAATTGTGATGAGTCCCTTTTACTAAGTGGCTCGCCGCGTTGGAGAGGCTTGGGTGTGGACCTACGACAGGGGAAACGAGCTGGTCCAATGGGGTTGCCCCTCTCAACGCCTGGGCCCACGGATTTTTCTAAAGTTGAATGTATTTATTGTAAAAGGAAAAGTTATATGGCCTATCCTTATCCATGTTACCATACCCGATAATAATATAACTGCTCAATACGACGACGACTGCTTCAAACACCACAACTTCTACAACACCATTGCTCTGCAGCCATTGCAAATTCTCAATCCTTCTTCGTATTATTCTTCTCATCATAAAATGCCCCTACCCATTAAAAAATATTCTGAGTCTTCGTCCATCTCCCTGCCCGTGTGCTGTCTAAAACACCATTTTGAGGCGTCTTGTAATTTTGAAATTTTTGTAAAATTCCCCAACGCCCAGCCCCTCGCAAGTCTGGTTGAAAGGGGTGAAAGAGTAGCTTTTCCGGCGTTTCTTTCTCTCTAGGCACGCAGTCTTTGTCATCCTGGGTAGATAAAGCGATTTTGGGGGTGGGGGACCTCTCCGAGCCCCACAATTCTGCCGTAGAAGCCCCCATTGTTTAATTCCCTTTTCGCAAAGCAAAGTTTTGATCAAGTTAAGCCTAACTGAGTGAGTGAGTAGGTACGGATTGCAATTGCAGGATTTTTGTGCTATAGCAGAACATAATAATTTGCAGGAGTAGAAGTAGTAGTCGTCGTACGTACAAGTAGTGAAGTAGAAGATAGGTAACAAATAATAACGGCCAAACACTCTCATCTCTTTTAACTTCGGTTTGGTTCGTTCTCTTGGTGGATTGGTTGAATATTCGACTTGCAACTCCAAGGTCTAACTCTTGCCAATCTCCTCCATACTCGACGAGATCTGTGGGGCACAGCCAACCTCAGTTTAGTTAAGCGTTGGGCGAGACGCGTTTCTCGTGAGGGGATCTCGTGAGCTAAAAAATCTCCTCACATCTCAACCCTTTCGCATCCTGGCAGTGCTTTTAATCTCGAAGCAAATCCGCCAATCATTTTCATACTTGAGCCCGTCGACTTTTTTGCTCGTGTGTTGCCTGTAACTGACAAAATTTGTCAAGTTGTGCCTCTGCAGAAAAATCCCTCCTTTCCAACACCACCGAGCAGTTGCATACGAAGAGGCAGGGATAGGTTTCAGGGTTTAAAGGGCTGCTTTTAAAGGGCCACCTGAACCCGAAAATAGCAAGGTGAGACAGGTTGAGACAGGTAGTTGAGGGCACACACGTGGATCTACAGACACACAGAAGTCACCCCTTGAAAAATAATATAAAAGTGTCGGCAAAAATATTTCCCCTCTCATCAATCACGTCCACCAGAAGAAGAAGACAGATTCCCCGTAAAATTTTCAAGTCCCTGACATCCAGGATTTTTATATCCTTCGACGACACCATGTCCTCCTCCGACGCCGCGGTGAACGATCGCCTCCGCCACTTGGAGGACGGCTTTAAACTTTATCGCACCAAGGTGGAAAGTTTGTGTAAAGAGATGAAGATTCTCGTGGCTGAAATCAACATCATTACAGAATGGATTCATGGCAGTTTTGGTATGTCTTAAAAATTTTATTTGCGCTGGATGCTTGCTTATCAGAACTGGATAAGAGGTTGACACGGTGTCTGTGCTGGTTTTATTTTGTTGGCTTTGATAAGATATGCACAATTCTTTTTAAGAGAGTTGGAGAAGGTTAGTCATTCTGCATATGCATACGTTCTTATCGGGAGGTGACGTGGTTATGGTTTTCATCTTGTTGATATAAGAGTAGTAAAAATATTCAGAAAGAAATAAGATGTGACAGGGGTGAGAAAAATGAGACTCCAGATTTGCTCGAGAGTCTGAGTGTCTCAATTGACCCAAATCCCTTAGAGTTTGTGAAGCTGTATCAATTTGCCTCAATTTATCCCTTTTCTAGGCTGTGGCCTAATTTTATTTTTTCATGAGTATGATAATTTCTTTATTTTTTTGGTGGTTACATTTAATCATCAATTTTAATCGTTGTTACATTTTTAATCAATTCCTAGTAGTCACTACACGAGCAAAGTACATATTTGTACATATTCTTTTGCGTATGTGTACGTACATATTTGTCCTTTTTTAAGAACCCGGATTGAATTTAGGTAACTGATCCGCTCGCAACTGTCTAACCATGAAAATTTAAGCGTCACATTATTTTGGAAAACTCGATACTCTTAAAGATAAGCACTGCTCAAAATGAGTAATCCAACCAAATTGCACGCATCGAGAAGCTGGTCACATATTGAATATTTTTATATTTACATTTTCTTTCACAGACATTTTAATTATGTTCGGAGTAGTAACAGCCACAATAATAATATGGAGTTAGGTTTGTTAAAGTATATTTAATTTGACGACCCATTCCAACGAAGAACGCCACAACAGCCACGAAATGTAGAATTGGTATATGTTCCCTGCATGTAATTATGTCCCGGTAACAACATTTGTTCGTCGTTCGTTTCATAAATTATTGAGGACTCACACATCATCGGCTGCTTTAATATTTTTAAGAATACATACCCACACATAACGACGATTCTGTTTGAACAGTTTCATTTAACGGTGGTTTGCATTTTTGAATTGGGTAGCTCACATCCCAATGCTAAGTTTGATATCAAATTATTTATGACCAAAATACATAAGTATCATAAAATAAAGCAAAAATTCATAGCGTCTCCCAAACAATTATTTTTATCCCACAATTTCCACAGGTATTGAACTAATTAACAAAAAGTCCTTCCTCTACAAACACATCCATGATTACGAAGACGTGCAAGAAATCTCCGAGTCACTGACCATGTTGGCGCAACAAGTGACGACGCGATCGACCCCCAGCACCTGCACGACCTCTTCGTCCCCCTGCGCCAATGGGGGAGGAACCACGCTGGGAATCTACAACTCGAACCCACTCCCACCGAGACCACCGCCCCCAACAACGCCACGCTCCTCCCTCATCGCCATTCCAATCTCCACCATCACCAACTCCTCCTCCGACTCCAGCGTCAGTATTCGCCACGAATCGCCAACCACCCATTTCGTCCTGCCTGGCTCACCCCCACCGTCGACCGGCCTGCCACCATCTCCTCCCCCAAATTGTAGACCTATCCGACCAAACCCGACCCCCGCGACGCCAGCCAGACCACCATCTCGACCCCCGTCCGTTGCACTGTTTCATTCTTCTGGAGGAGGACAAAATGTTATAATTCATGGCAATACTTCTTCCTCCTCTTCCTCCTCACACCACCACCAACACCAACATATTTCTAGTAGTGGTAATTCCATATCTATTTCAACAACGGCGTCGTCTTCCTCTCCAGCCCCCATTTGCACCACGTCAACGCCACCAATCCCGATATCCCTGACGCTGCCGAGATCCGTCCTTCCCCACAGCACTCTCACCATTGAAAAGAGAAACAAGCCGGAGCAGGAGCAGCATATTAACATAACGTCCTCGTCGTCCCCTCCCGTGGTCATTATTCCGAAAAAGAATACAGCCATGGCTTCCATACCGCTCGCAGTGACGCTCCTCCCTGCACCGATGGCCCAACAACCAGTACCCATCGTTATTCCACTCACCACACCGAATTACATGCCTCCGAAGAAAATCATACGAAAAAATTACCAAAATCAACAGCAACAGTTGCAACTCCAAGTCCAGAATCAGACTGGAATTACAAAGTATTTCAAACCCGTGGAACAGCGTCAGGAGCAGCTACAAGAACAATTGAACAGACCAATCGTCACGACTAATCATAATAACAGCGTCCCGATCCAACCTTTAGAACATCATCAACAGCAGCAACATCATCATCATATTCATCAAAGTCAGAGTGAAAGTGATGAACAAACGAGTCAAGAACAGAGGCAAAAGGCAGCCCTGCAACTGCTCACCCTGCACAATCAACTGGAGAGGAGACCACTCCCACCGCAGGGGCAACAGGGGCATCATGAGACGCGTGGAGGAGGAGGAGGACAAGTCATTCACCAACAGCAACAGCATCAACAGCAGCAGCCGAAGACAACACCAGAACTGGTGAATCACCACATTCACAGCACTAAAGAAGAGGTCACCGTGGTCCGAGTAATTGAGGAGACTGAAGTCCTCATCGATGTCGGGACGGAAGTCGAAGGTCCACCGGAAGGGACGGGAAGGGGACGGAAAAGTAGAAAAATGCTGGATTTTGACAAGGTGGCGAAAGACGAGGCTCTGAAGGCGTCGGCGACAGTAAAAACCGAAGGAGCTAATAAGACTGGAGGTGGAAAACGTGGCTCTCCAGAGATGATAGATTATTCCGCTGATGCTGACGATGAAGGTAATTATTTGGTCTCAAATATATCTCCGAGACATTTTTATTTTAATACATATGTAAAACATGTAAATCAGGTATTTCAAGCGATTCCACTCCAGCAGCATTAAACAGTAAATCGAATAAGCAGCAGAAAGAGAGAGGCGACAAGTCCAAGAAACACGCTGCTGCTGCCACGTTAATAACAAAAACTGCGGCAGCAGCAACAACAACAACGGCTTCAAATGGTCCGACGACCGGAAGTAATAAGCGATCTAGATCACGAACTCCGATTGCTGCTTCAACCCCCTCGAATAAATCCGGCACCATCACCACCGTTCTTGTGGACGATGAAATAGCTTCCACTTCGAGACAAAGTTGTGGGTCAGGTGCGGAGGAGTCTGGATCTGGAAATAAGCCCCCAGAAAAATGTAAGCAAAAATGAAATGTGGCATTTAGTTTTGACACGTCAGGCATAAATTTATGAATCATGCTCATGACTGACAGTGCCCAAGAGGGGACGACCTAAAAAGAAACCAGAGGACCGCGTCCGAACCTACGACCCACGCGTGCCGATGATGTGTGACGAGTGTGGCAAAGTGCTCAAGGGTTCTGGAGCACTCCGTGTCCACAAACAAATTCACGCCAACATTCGACCCCACGAGTGCAAAGAGTGTGGGAAAGCTTTCAGGAGAAAGCATCATTTAGAGGTATAGACTTTCATATTTATTTATTAATTCAACTGTAATTAAAATTAATTTATAATACAGTTTCATATGATGATACACGCCGGAGACAAGAAAGAAACTTGCAGTTATTGTGGCAAGGCTTTTCTTATTCGGAGAGATTTGGCCAGGCATGAGCGCACACATACGGGTAAGCTACTGCTCTTTCCACTTGAATAATATCTATTTAGAAAATTTATGTTCCCTAATAAAAAAAATATTAAAATTTCCCCAGGTGAAAAACCATACGGCTGCACCCTCTGCCCCAAAAGTTTCAACGTGAAGCAGCATCTCACCCTCCACATCCGCACCCACACTGGCGAGAGACCTTACCGTTGCCCAATTTGTGACAAGACCTTCACCCAGGCCAACAGTCTCCGCATCCACAAGAAAATCCACGCCCGTGACGCTGCCAATGGGACGACCCCCGTCAACAATCGGAAAGGCGGTGGTGCAGGAACAGCCAACAATAAAGGGAAGCAAACCAATATTAATTCTTCTTCTTCTTCCACCCAACATAACGCATCCACTTCCGGCGTCTCTTCCGCCAACACGTCTGCTCTCGAGACTCCGGAACAAATAGGTAGCCGAGCCCCTTCTAGAGCCAATTCTGTAATTAGCATAAGTGGCAGCGAGCAACAGTATCATGTCAGCGGTCGTGCATTTCAAAGCCAGTCCCCCTCACCCAATTCATGCTCATCCTTTGCCTCCACCTCCACCAATCCGCACCACCCCCACCAGTACCAACTTGGTCGAGCCTCTCACTACGAGCAGCACGAGCATGACCAGCCACCCCCCGTGGGGGAGACGGTGGTCGTCGTAACGTCACCCCTCCCACCAGCCCATGCCCACCAGAATCATCAACTGCACGGCCATGGCCAGCTTTCACCCACGTCACCGTATCACAATCAGTACAATTCTTCCTCTTTCATGAACCCCAGTCCGTGGAGGTTGGCACTAAATCCGGGCAGTGGGACGAATCTGCTTCACTCGTCGTCACGAAGTCCGACGCCACCACCGCACCACCCGCATGGGTCGATGCAACAACCACTTCCGGCCCATCACCACCAGCACCACGGCAGCAGTAATAGTAATAACAATAATAATAACACGCCCATCACTGTGATCCGACCTTTAGCCAATCGATCTGGTGGGGGAGGTTCCACTCTGGTCAGAACGTATGTTCCCTCATCATCAACATCTCCTAATAATAATAATATCTCAAATTCCGGCCACAATTTCGAGGCAGGGAATAATGGGAGAAGATCTCCGAATGGTGGTGGTGGCGGTGGTGGTGGTCGGACAACGGCTTTGAGTCCAAATCAAAATTTCCCCATTTATGATCCACAACACGTTACCAGATATTATTAGTTTTAGGAGGAAATTTATCATCTACTTATCAAGTCTTTTTTAGCAATTGGTAGCCAAAAGCGTGTAGGGTACGAGGGGTGGCAAATGGAAATTGGTTTGACTGGAAACATAATTGGACTAAAAATATGACACGGTTACCATTTCTCATCCTATCTTTTGCATCATTTTTATTATTACTTGTACACAAAAATTGTCACGTTGTCTGACAAAGTTTTTTTTAGGTTGTGACATAATTTCAATCATTTTTTATTAAACATGCACCAATCACTATATAGAATATATGTATGCATTTAGTCTAATAAATCTCCACCAAACTGAACATGTCATAATAATACATAGATAATTGTGATTGGAATACATATTTTGTGCAAAAATTAGTATTTAGACGTGTGTGATAGGAAGCGTATGGGGCAAAAATTATTGCTTTTTCATCCGTAAAATTATTAGTTAGGTGTGCTCATGGGTTGATTGTGATACAGTTTTTTTTTTATTTTTGGAATTTTTTGGATTGAATGTACCAAAAAACCAAGTATTTTCCCAAAATTCTGTGTGAATCTACGACAATTTGTGATATGGATGCAGCAACATAACTAATCATACATATAATAATAATTATTGTTATTTTACTTTTATTATATATGACTTTTACGACTTTTATTATTGTATCTTTTATTATTTTATTTTGACTGAATTTTGATTGACTGAATTTTTAACCCGGTTATTAATTAACTTTTACATACATATTTAGCTGTAGGACAGACGTACATACATCCATATTATTTAATTTTTGTTATCATTTTACTAGCTAAATTAGTCTTGATTGATACGATTCATCATCCTTAGCTTAGTATAGCTTAGTTTGCATATTGTAAATATCTTCAGAATTCCTTGTACATGTAATGTAAATATTATCTACATATTATAAGTAATAATCCGTTTTATTAAATTTTAAAAGCATGCATAATCTCATTCTAAATAGCTTTTCAATTCTGATGACTATAAAAAATACTTAAAAATCTCAATAAATCTTGCCCATCTTCATTACTGTAATTGCTTAAGTAGAAAAAGAAATGCCTGCATTTATCTTATTACGTCACCTTCATTGTTAAAAACTTATTATTGTGATTCATTCATCCATTCACAACATTTAATTGTATTGATTTCAGTTTCATATACACACACCTCCATTCAAAACTAGAATGTTTACTACGAAATCTAGTAAATACCATTTATTTGCATATTTACATACTATTCGGAAAATTCTCAATGTCAACAACACCACCACTAATAACGCTTCCATGTAAGTAAAGGGATATTATTATTATTAGAATGGCAGCAAATAGGTGTTGTGTAGAAGTCCAGTGATTCATGGAAATTATTTAGAATGCGGTGTTACCAATACGGAAAGAAGTCAGTTTATTTTCGCCAGCATCACATCATCATCACCATCGCCAGCATCATCTCTCCTTCTTGAATGAGCCGAAGGATGAACCGAAAAAATATTTGGTAAGTTTACTAAATTCAGAGACGCTAACACTTATTTTGCTGGCGTAAAGGTTTTGGGGCGGGGGCGCTGCTGGGGGTGATTGATTTCAGGAAATTTAACTGTTAAATTAATTTCCTTCACTTCAACTGTTAAGTTAACGCCGTGTGTAATTGTTGTCTCAGTAAAAAGGAGAAAACAAAAAGCCTGATGTACATAAGTAAGTAAACTCGTGTAAATAAGTGCCAAAAAGTTGGGTATATGAATGTAAGTATTTGGCGTCACCATGCACCACCACTAACCCCGCTCTATCTGCTAGCTCTTTCTTGTTGCTGGGCGTCCCTCTACGCATTTTTTATGTAAGAACATCGCCGAAATCCCACCAGTCATGAAATGGTTGAAGGGTGAGCTAGCACGGGGACGGATAAGCGTTGACGGACATTTCAAAAAATGGCCAAGTGCTATTCGGACATATGACCACGGCCCGTAACGCGGCTGGGGAGTGAATGCCAAGTATAAAAGTGAGTCAAGTGGTTTGTTGTATGTATCAAGTTGGTTGGTTACTTGGTTTGGCGTTGGTGGTTATCTCATCATGTTATGGAGTCTCTCTCGCGTCCTGAATGGTTTTGACTTTTATGTTCCCCTCGCTTATTTTACTTATTCTGCTGATTCTCCTTGTGTTGTGGATTTTGCATGTTCACGTTTATAACATTTCGTTCGTGATGCAACATAATACGTACACAATAATACTGACTCCTTCCTTTGTGTTGTGATCCTTTTCCCCCTACAAATACTGCATCGATTGGTTGGTGGTGGTTGGCAAAAAGCAACAATTTATCTTATACCATGAAGAAAGGATGAGATGGATGTCTTCTTGAAGGGAGATGGACGAAGAAGAAGAAGAAGAGACCACTATTTTTTTCTTCCGAGTATTTCTTCGGTGTACAATCACAATTAAATGGTGGTGGGTGAGAGAGGGATAAAATGGGCACCTTTTCGCTAGATATGGTAGGTAATAGTAGGAGACGAGAAATTCAATTGACAGCCGTCGTTAGTTTTATACATACCCAATTTGCTATTGTGATCGGATTACTTGAGTAGGTTTTTTTTAGATGTGGGGGCACATCTTCAATTTTTATTGATTGGTAAATTAAACAGTATTTATTAACAGGGCAGTTATGACATCTAATTTTTAGCAGCTAGTCAGACATCACTAGTAAATATGCACTAATGATGCGTATGTAAATATATGTAAATAAGCATGTGCAAGTTTTGTTCAATGTTTTTGAAATCGTAATCCATGATAACATTTTGAGCTTTTATTAAATTGAGCATTCCCAACCGAACACAGTTAATTCATATCGTGCACATGCATATGGTGCCGAAATATTTGTATATAGAATTAATTATGGTAAGTTGTAACAGTGCATAATATGGAATGAATATCTTTGGTATCGTTATAATTGTGACTGGTGCATGTGAGAATGCAGAGAATTTGCACTAAATGTTTGTCTATAGCTGCCTCAGTACATAATTACAGTACTGATTTTGGAACATTAAGAAAAAAATTGTTAATATGTTCAGAAGCTAGCTTTGGTTCGTTCAAGTGTACGAAATGATTTCCTTCCACTTCAACATATTCAAATGAAGCACATTTCGCCTTGTAAATCCCCAATGTTTTTGCGATAACGGGTTCCGGTCCACCAAATGTGGGAGCACTTTTGGCCTTGACGATGAGTAAATGACATTGAATGTTGGTCAAGAAGTTCATGCTCAGTTCGTGGCTAAACCGGTAAATTGTTGGACTTCGAACCCTCAAATCTCGGCGAAATGACCACTTTTCTTCGTCAACACGAATCGTCCCTCTCGTCATTAAACATTTAGCTGCATCCTCAGTTAAGCTATTTTGGATAGAAAATAATATTTGATTTTTTAAATTATCCACTAATTCCAAATTTGTATTCGTCACAAGGAAATGTAAAATAACCTCTCATCCGTTGCCGAGATAAGCCTCTGCATCGCATCCTGATACGAATAACTCGGAACGAAATCCGGTTTCAGTTTGTCTTCAATGGACAAAAATTGTTCGATCGCTGACGCCATATTTTCCGCAGTGACTCCTTCGTCCTGACTGATCGGCTTGATTATGTCCAACAGCACGAGCTTGTCAATGATTTTTGGGTACATGGATGCGAAAAAAGACCCAAGAGCGCCACCCATACTGTGCCCCACGATGGAGAACCTTGACCACTTGAGATATTTCGTAATTCTTCTAATGGTGATTAAGTAGTCGCCGAAATGGTACGGCATTCCGGCAGGAATGTGAGAACTTAGGCCATGACCTGGTAAATCCACCGCAACAAAATACATGGAATTGGTCAAGTTTGGAACAAGACGGTCAAATGTTCCTGTTAAAAAATTATAATAATTTTACAACCACAATAAATCCATAATAAACCTTGATAGGTAAATATTTACTAAAACTGACCAGCATTATCCATCCACCCGTGTAATCCAAGTACCGGGTTTTTAGAAGGATTTCCCCAAGCCTTGGCTGAAATGTGCCCCCATGGCATTGGAATCCGGAGTTCCGAAGGCTCGTCGAATTTTAGCGTGGCTGCCATGATTTAATTATTTTGCTAAGGACAAAATTATATTTTTCCACAAATTGACCAGCATGGAAAAGATGAATGAGTCGGCAGAATTTGTACAAAAGCCAGTTTATGATATGGAATCAGAGGGCAATGCAAAGTACAAAAGTTGTTTTAGCAAATCGCGGTGGTATGATGTATACTATGACGAGATCTTCATTTTTGGTTAATAAAGATCATACACAGCAGAGTCTGCATCTGAATGCATGAGATTTGATGTAAGCCATTCTATGTGTAAGAGTGTATCAGTAATTAGAAAGCAAGTTTGTATGCTTTCTCTTTGAGTGGCGAAATATTTACGTAGGAATAAATAAAGTGTACACGGCATTTATCCAGATAAAACCTGTGGCATATTATTTTTGTGTCAATGTCATCTCTACCCACGATACAATCTTGATAACAGAGAGAGAGAGCACCCTCTTTCGTATTATATCTCTCTTCATACATGCATATATAACAAAATTAAGCGTTACATAATATTATGATATAAATTTGCTAAATGTGCAAAAAAACTCGAGTAAACACGTCGCATAATCGCAAAATACTCTTGATGGAATATACGTAATTGTGCATTCCTGTTCTTATTAACTCCGAAAAATCTTTAAGATTAAACTTCTACCAACATGTCTATAACTTTGACAAGTAGGATTGTTCATTTGGAAAGCCTTGTGAAATTACATGAAGAGCAACTGGAACAATTTTCTACTGAGACTCAAAAATGGAGTAGTAAGCTTAATCTTATAGCAGAATGGATTTCTACAAAATTTGGTAACACGAATGCATGAAAATTTCATTGAAAATTTCAAATTTTGATATTATTATGAGAGAGACAATGCAATGATGCTTTATAACATCAAATATGTATGTACATAGGTGTGGATTTTTTAAATCAAACAAATCCGTCATCCGCAAATATTCCTACCAAAACCAATTCCGTTGTTTTACCTTTAGAAGATGCCTTAAAAGTTAGAAAAATATGCATGTACAGCAAAAACACGTTACATCGGAGGTTTCGACAAATCAAAGCATCAATTCGTAAAAGAGCGTGTTCCAGTTTAAGCCAAGAATCAAAAATAAGCAGTAAACATTCTTACATCCGTCGTCCTCGTGAAAGTCATCAACCTTCAGCTACTTTCTCCGACAGTTTAAGTGAAGGCAGTAATAGCAGCACTCCCGTTATTATTACTGACAATAATAGCTCTCAGGATTCCGTACTTAATCTCTCAATTCCCAAACAAATAGGTTAACAAATATGCGAGTTACATACTAATTTGACGTGGTGAAAATATGCATTAACTTTTCAAATTAATATAAACTACTCACACCCAGGTCGCCACACTTATTCCAGACGTGATCTCGAAAGCAATGAATCAATTAGTGGAGTGATTACTCACACCAACCTCACCTCTAATAAAAATTATTCGCCTCAGGTGCAAAACGAATCAATACCCTCACACCATGCATTATCCAGCACGACAAACATAGACAATAATCAAACTCAAGGAATTGATGGAAACATCAAAGAAACTTGTAAGAAATACAATTTTAAAGCTTTCTATAAGCCAACTTTCTCCATAAATTAACCCTCAAAATGAATGATTACACAATTTTCTTAAGACCCACAGCGAAGGGGTCGTCCCAAGAAACACCCCGACCAGAAAAGTGAACCTCCCTTGAAGAACCGCACCACAGTTTGCGACCAGTGTGGCAAAGTCGTCAAGGGTTCCTCCCTCCGGAGTCACAAACTCAGCCACTCTAACGTCCGCCCTTTCCAGTGCTTCCTCTGCCCAAAAGCATTCCGGATGAAACACCACCTCGACTTTCACCGACGCACGCACGACGACGGAGAGAAAAAGTGGACATGTCGATTCTGCGAGAGAGGATTCATCGCCCAGAGAGATTTGTAATTTGTGCTAAATACCATAAACTCTATTATTACACAAGTCTCGAAACTTATTTTATTGAATTTTAGACTCCGGCACGAAAGAACTCATACGGGTGAAAGACCTTTCCCCTGCCCTTATCAGGATTGTCGGAAAAGTTTCAACGTTAAGCAGCATCTCACCCTCCATATCCGCACCCACACTGGCGAGAGACCTTACCGTTGTACAACTTGTGATAAGACCTTCACCCAAGCGAATAGTCTACGAATTCATAAAAAAATCCATGCAAAGCAAGAATCCGCAGAGTAGAAGGTTGCACGTTTTTCTCATAACACAGTTTGTAAGAAATAATAATGCAGTTGAACATTAGTGTCGCAGTCTCAATTTGGCTATTGATTGTCCACCCACGCATTTTTACCACCATGATCCATCCATAATTTAATGAATAATTACATATGCACCGCAGAGATATTGACTTAACCACACGTTCACGGTAAACTTGCTTATCAGTGGGAGAAGATAAGCCGAAAACCATGGCAGGATGTCATGCTAAATCTAATGAAATGAACAAAAGGTGTGTGTGTACATAATGAGACCGTGTCTCAACGATTCTCATATGCCCCAATTCTGAAGAAGAACAGTCATCAGTTGAGCAAATGAGCAGCTTTTTTTGCACAATCGCAAAAACGTTACATTTATTATTTACGTATTTTGAAGTGACGTTTTTCAGGATTTTAATTCGAAGTAATGCAAATTTCAATAGTCTACCATTGATATTTCCATTCCGCATTTCCAAATTGTTAAACAGAAGTTAACAGGTAATTTATTTACTCTTCAAGCAAAACTTTCTTCAATGGATTTTTAATTAAAATCTGTTGAATTGCGTATTTGAGTTATTGTTTTTGACTTAAAGAGACGAGATGGACGAGCTACTTTTCACCCTGAACGATGACGAACTCCAAGAACTCAAAAATACGTCGTCAATCGATGGGGATGAGGACGACCATTTGTTTGGCACACCCCCACCACGAAATAGGTCTAAATCCACGGGGTCAGGCAATGAAAATGTGGACTGGTGAGTACTTTAAGCAGCTGTGGGGTTAATATTCCTTCTGATTTGGACTTAATTCACTTCATCCTCCTAAAAATAGGGAACTTACACTCTCACTTGAAACGACCCTGCAACTTATTGAAGGGGAGCCGACGGCTCCGTCACCAAACTGCTCGGAAGAACTTATCCAGCGTATTCTTGACGTCTGCCGAGGCAGAGGTGGACTTCCGGATCATTTGAGGGGAAAGGTCAAGTTCATTTTTTAATAAATAACAAAAAAAATGTTTATTTTCTTTAATATTCGAAAATTGATTTATTTTTCTAGGTATGGGTAATCCTGATTGGCCTTTATTACAATAACAAGTCAACGAAACATCCCCTCATTGAGATCTACGACTTGAAAGAGCAAAATGAATTACGAAATGACTGTACCGAATTTGTAGGTTAGTTATTTAGTTATAGTACCTTTAATCGCATAGTAAATATGTGTATTTTTTACGTACGAGTAATAAATGTCTTTGATTTGAATCTCTTCAGCAAAGACATACTCCTCCAACAGTCCTGAAGAGCATTCCTCGATCGTTTCCAGTCTAGAGTCAATTTTGACGTCTTATCTCAAACATCAGAAAGTGGCCTATGACAAGTCCATCATTTTGGGATATCTTCAAATTCTTAAACCCCTTTTGACACTTAACCTAACCGACACCCAGTTGTATAACACCTTCAGAATGATCATAACCCAGTATGTGCCAAGAGATGTGTTTAACGAACATGGACTCCCGTTTCATATTTTTCGACTCTTGCTACTATACCATGAACCGGAAGTATGTTCTGTAGTGGACAGTTTGAGGGTGTTACCGCACAGCTATGCAAGTCAATGGGTAACTGAGGATAACTATTAATTTGTGAATATAATATTTATGTTATAATTGTACTATGACCTATTCCAGTTTCTCAGCTTATTCTCGTCTGCGATTGCAAATCTTCAGTCGATACTGGTCTTGTGGGATGTCTATCTCCAATACCGTGACCCCTTCCTTATATATCACATGGCACTTGTTCTCGTCCTTAATGCCAAGTAAGTTTTTATAACGAACCAGTTAAATAATGTTTAACCTCATATGTATATTTTTTAATCTAATAGAGATCGTCTACTGGAGATCAAGCATAGTGATTCGTCAACCAAAAAGGCCGATACCATTCAACTCTTGTCTACACTCCCTGCCAACCTCGAACCCTCTGACATTCCAGATTTCTTAACCATCTCTCAACACTATGCGAGTCAAACCCCCAACTCTTATCGGCGCATGTTCGAGTCGGCATTGTATGGAAATGATTCGTTTCTAACGTTGAGCAACTCATCGACTTCACCATGTCGTCGCGTTGCAATGCAAAGCTTGTGCTTGCCAGTCGCAGCAGAAGAATTGCTCAACAGTATTCGAATGGCGAAAAGTTTGTCGTCCAATGACTCGACGGATAGTAGGTCCAGCACGGATGCGTACATGTTTGTCAGATTTTTTGTGGTGGATTGTCGTCCTGCAGAACAGTAATATATATATAATGAACAGAAATTGGGAAAATATAATTACTATACTTTATCAAATTATATCTTGCAGGTATAATTCTGGTAGATTACCCACAGCATTTCATCTCGATTGTGCTTTGGTGAGTAGTGTATCTCTATCTCTAAAATACTTGTTAATTGCTTATTTGTGACTCTTGATATTCAGATGCTCCTAGAACCCGTCAAGTTTAATACAGCCGTCCAAGGGTTACTTTTAGCCCAGAAGGATGCCTTAAATGTTGGTGCTGCTGCGGGTGGAGAACATTTGTGCTTTGTGGGGTCTGGACGGGAAGAAGAGGATCAGTACGTCCACATGGTATGCATTAAATACTACTGCAGACGGTCATTGTGATGAGAATTTAATTCTCAACCATTTATTATAATAATTCCCCAGGTTGTTTCCAGTTTTCTTCAACGCAACACACAGAAAGTAGCATTATTATCTGGAGGGTTTCAATGTATACTTTATGCATAGAAATTTAACCTGGCTAGATCCTCTTGCTAAAAAAATTATATTAATTTACAGCTCTACATGAATTGCTATATCCAGACAATATTGAAGACGGTCTGGCTGACCACAACCCATTAACATGCCCGGAATGTGTACTGCAGAAAACGTCTGTGACACCATCTTCCTCTACAGTGAGCAGGGATGGCTCCCCAGCATCCGATTCTAGGTCAAAGTTGTTCACTGCTAAACTTAGTTTGTTTAGTTCAACTCTCAAGGCAAAGTCTGCAGAGATGAAGGGAAAATTGATCGACTACATCAACAATCCGGTTGCTTCTGGTGGCTCTTCTGGAGCAGATGAGAAACATGTTAAATCCAGTGACAAAAACAAATCAAAACCATATAGAAATCTATTGCCCGTATTTATGATTGATGATGACGATGAACCCAGTGATGAAGCTAGTCCATCTGGTAAGTCATTACTTATAATACGAGTGATTGTTGCAATAGCTATGGTTAATTCTTCTATAGCCAAACTCTAATCATTTACATGATATATTAATTTTTTAGGAGGTCTCGCTGACCTAGATTCGACAACAGATGTAACTCATTTCCACCCAGGAACTCGGATCCGTTCTATCAAGCAGTTCCTGAAACAACACAATTTCCATTGGTCATGCAGCGAAGTTCTTTCGGATGGGTCTCACTACGAAGGCTACGTCATCGTCACCAGGGACAATCTACTAATGATTAGAGAATTGGACAGAGACACTGGAGAAGTCAGTTTGAATCGTTTGCTAAATTCCATTATCAAAATCACAAGCAAAAAGAAGCATCCCGAACTCATCACGTTCAAGTACGGGCATGTTGTCAAACTCCCATCAACATCTAGCGATCCAGGAAAAGAGGGAGATGAGATATCAGACAAAGATCGTGGAGGTGGAGAGGAGGAAGAAACTGCAGCAGAAATCACACATTCCGATAGATTCTATTTGCCATCTGGATCGAAAGATTTTGTATCGAATGTCAAGAGGTTTATCGATTCCAAAAATAGTTCTGATCAATAGAATGGATAAGCCTAATAATGAGCAAGCATGTTCAGTGCAATGCAATTTTTACTCTGTGCATACTTTTAAAACATGTTATGAATAGTTATGATGGTACCAGGTTTGTTATCTATCGTTATCTTATGTGATTTATCTTTATTTATATTTTCAATATAAAATTAAGAAATATAATCAATATAAGAAATCGCGGAACTTATTCTTGCTCATCCGACTCTTCTAAATCTTCCAATTCATCTGCAGCAAGGTGTTGAGCTAACTTCCAAGTGGTTTCTGAAAGTCGGTAATCCCCTAAACACGTAATACATTGAAAGTTTCTTATACATTGCAGGCCAATATTTAGTTCAGTGTAGGAGACTTACGCAGCACTTTCTTGTCCTTCTTACAAACATCTCCCTGCTTCTTATCTCGAATTTTTGTTTTTAGCAGCTCCTTTTCACTCCTCCACTTTCTTCTTGGCATATTCGACGAACCACTCTTGTTAATGTATTATATTAATTATTAACAATCGTAAATTTTACGACCCGTATGAAAGAGTTGGGGAATAACTTACGCAATCCTCTTTCAGTTGCGGTGGGCATGATAAAGTTTCTTGTGGGTGTCTGCCACACATTTTATTTTTAGAAGTACCGTTTTATTTTAAAAACAAGTTGCATTTCTGAGAAGGTTGGATGATTGAACAAAGTATAGATAGACATTGTTACAAATACATGATCTTTAGTATGACTTAGGATTAGCGTAATGTATGAATATGATAAAAACATTCGAGTCAACAATATACATTAAAAATCACATGCATGTATTAATTAAGTTATTACTTAATTAAACGTCTAATCGATTTCCATATTTATAATTACTTGAGGATGCAATGTGTCGTGTGTGTGCGTCACTTCGACAAGGGATAAACCAGTAAATAAAGGAACCCTTTCCACAAACTTCTTCCATCAGGAACATCTTTGGCTGCTTTCGAACCCGATGACGTCCCAATTTCTTGGCTTGTTCAATCGCAGTTTCATCGCTGAATATGGCAGATATTTGATCTATCATGATAGCCAATACGAAGAGTCCAAATAGCTGAAAAAAATAAGATTTTTTACAATTGGAAGTTGTTTCCTATCGAATTTTCATTAAATTTCTTTAAATTTTCAAGTTTTTACCATTGACTCCAGCATTAATATCACTGTGTGCAATCTAAGAGAAAATTATTTCAAAATATTATGAATTAATTTCGAGCAAATTAACATTACATGCTAATTAGTTAGGCTTACATTCGACTCTGCTTGGTAAGTAAATCCTCCTTTGGACAATGTAAGCAAATCTTCAAATCATCGGTGGAGTTGACCCAGCAATATACAATTAATGCCATTGAATACATGGATAGAACACCCACGTAGAATAAAAATTGCATGAAATATTTCTGGTTGAATTCCCCGACGCAGTTGTTAATCCTGACAAATGAGGAAATGAAACATTTATGTAGAATCAATGCTAATAGGCCAAATATGTAAATATCTAATTAAATGTGTACCATGGGCAGTGATGATCCATTCGGCGGACGCATCGTTTACAAATTCGACAATGGTGAGCTGAAAGTTTTAAAGAGTACGTATAAATTGCTGCAACATGATTTTTGGCTGATTTCATTTTATTGTGTTTGTTTGATTGTACCCCTTGGAGGACGATATGCTTCACACCGAGTGCAAACTGTCCAAGTTCCATGTTCTGACTCGGACCCTGGTGGTCCACCTCCATCATTTGACCCCGGCCCCAAAAAAGATTTTTGTTGCTCAACTAAACAAATTGAGGTCGTTCCCGTTAGTGTCGACTACATGCAAGACAACATAGGGTATATAAGCCTATTTGTATTCATTTACCGTTATCGTGATAATCTGAAAAATCCACTCTCGTCTGCGGCAAAGGGACAATCCCAGGATCGGACAAAACGGCTCTGAGATGCTGTTCAAAATAGTTTTATTTCACCCACCATATATTTGATAAAGAGTTTAAATTAATCTGCTTCGTTAACTCACAGCCATTGTCAAAAATGTGATGATTATATTGAACAGGATAATGTGAAAGCACCCCCATAAACTGCAAGAATTATCAAAATACCGTGAATATTGTGAATTGTTCCTAATTACAAATCAGAATTAGAATTTAATAACAACCTTCCATCGAAAACTGTGAGAACGATCCATCTAACCAAAAGTAAGATAAAATCATTAATTACATAAAAACCACTAAACAACAATAACAAATAAACTTGTAAACATAAATACCTGCATACAACGTAATCTGCATAAAAGACTGCAGCATACGTGATGAAAATACAAATAATACCACAAGGGTCTTTCCTCAAGTGCATTTCGAATGATGCTGCTGAAGAGGTGTGTTTGTATGCAATTTCGATATCCACAAAATCTTAACCACACTTGCGGCTACCCGTCCGACTAATTCATAATTAAACTAAAGTAGACATTACTAATTATTTGACTGTTGTTGATGGATTTTGTACTACATAATTAAGTCTTGGACTGCTCTGATTTAATTAGCCAGGAATTTATTTCCATTATTTTCGTATAAATTGCTCCTGACGACCATTATATTTATCTTTTCCAATAAAATTACTTTTGCTAAACACAAACCCCACCGTACTGACTGCTCGTGTCCGCTATCATCTGATAAAGATACAGGGCGTAACCTTGCTTGTTAAATAAAACTGATTATGTCTGACAAATGTGATGATTCATTTAGTATAATTTGCTTCAAATTGTCATCAGCACTTTATTCAACTTGTTATTATTCCTGTCAGTATTACGAAGAGTGAAATTGTGATTTGGGCAGATCCGAGTGATTCTGGGCAATGTGAGTAAAACTTTGTCCAATCGATCGTACTTTCACTACAAGCAATGTATTTGCAGATGCATTGATACAAAATAACGCTTTATTTTAAAAACATTTTATTTTTATCTACACTGTCCACAAAACAAGGGTAAAATATTTAGAAAACAACTCGAATACTGGACTAGGATTACATGCATAGTACAAAAAATGTTGCATGATGGAAACTAGAACGAAATAAATAACATAGTTATAATACATGGGTAACAAGTTGTAAATCACAAATTATCGATCAATTCGATTATTATTGTGCATGCTTCTAATCGGTTTTAGGTTTTAACTGATGCGCAGATTTCCAAATGGTCAAAAGTCTTTGAAATATTCCTCTCAGACTGAGAAGTACAGGAATTCCGACGGGCAAGAAGAGTGGAATGTAAATTGCATATTTCTGATCGTCTGGAAAGTAGAGTTGCTTAAGATTCTTAGGATGATGAAATGCAATCTCAGAAGATTTGAAGGCCTCGATCGCGTGACCTTGAGCAGCCTCTAAGTTTCCTTGCGAAGCTTCTTCAATAGCGGCTTTGATCGCGGCAACGCTTTTTTCAACTTGGTCCCCTACTTCCTCAGTTACAACAATGTTGGTAATTTCGTCCAACAGTTGACCCAATGAATGGAGAGTGTTTGCCGCAGTGACGATAAGTTTTGTTAGTCGTCTCCGAATCAACATGTCCACTTCCCAGTCGCGAAGGGCTGATCCGCGGAAATCGAGGACGTCAATGGAAGACTTAATAAACAAAGAGTTCATTTTTATCGTATATTAATAAGGTTTACTATAAATTTAAATGAGACCAACCTTTTCAGGAAGTCCGATCAATGACCGGAACTGAGAAATAACTACGCTCATCACATGTTCTGTCGATACTTGATGAATTTTGAGTTCAGTTGAGTTTTCTCCGGTGGTGCATGGCGGATTGTAAATAAAAATGCCTATAGAAGGAGGACAGTAACCTTAAATTAGCTTTGCTTTATATCATATTTTATACCACATTGTACGTTACTCACCACCCCATTGGGGAACTAAAAATGCATTTGATGCCAAAGGCGTGCCATCATTTTCCAGGATTTGAAGTGGTACTTTGTTGCAAGGGGCAGTGTACGTCAGAAAATTTAATACGGGATTTTGTGACACGAATGATGCTAAAAATATTAACATTGCTTTAGTCAATGTGCTAAAAAATATTATAATAACCTGATATAAAGTTTATATATACATACTCAATTTGGATTCCACAGGATTTATCACTAAAGGTAATTGCTCGTAGGGAATTTCATGATAATTTTTATCCGCATTCCACTTTGGATACACATTTAATCGGATATAAGACAGGACTTGTGACCTTACAGAAAACTCTGCAAAAGCGCTTATTTTCTTTAACATTGGATTTAGAAAATCTGGAAATTGTAAATACAGTAAATTAGTCAATACATATTAATTATCAGACAAATTATAAATCCATGTTGATTAGTTGTACCAGTAACAGCAGGTTCAATTTCCCATTTCGACTCTAAAACTTCTGGCTCTGGCACAAGTAAACTTAGCAATATGTTATATCCCGAGGATAAAGGGAGTTGTAAGGATTCTTTAACTGATGACGATCTGGGATTATTCGGATCCGTTAATTCCCAACCTCCGTCAATTTGTCCAAATCCAGCAATTTTCCTTAAAACATTCCAAACAGTATCGAATCGAATTTTCGAAGAATTTGAAATGTAGTACAGGCTTTTGCAATTTCCAAAGATAACTTTCTGTCCATATTCTATTAGCAAATCTGATCTGCCAACCTACAGGCATACAACATACATCCGTTATAATTCATTAAATACACTCCATTTTCCTGAACAAGTACAACTTACATAGTAAATAGTAACGGGATGAGCACTGCTATTCGAGTTCTTCTTAGCCAACTTGCACATCTCCTTATCAACATCGTAAAGGTTGGATGATTTGTAAATCGCATCCATTTCAAGTGAAGATGTTTGCGCGTAAGAAATGCTGAAAGAGTGTCCTTCAATATTATGAAACTTGTTGTCATCATTTGGCGAAACTTTTGCGAATCCGACCAGATGGACAGGAATTTTTATGAGAAATGAAGACTCCAAATGACCACGAAGAGAAGCCATGTCGGAATATGGCAAAGGCACCCGTTGTACGGCCGTAGTTTTCCACCACAAAGGAAGTCCGATTAAAAGCATCACCACGGCGTAACTCCCAGCAGTCCAAACGGTCCACATTGCTGCAATACAATTTAAATATAAATTTAATTAGCTATGTATCAGTCTTCTACACACAAATCATACAGTGTAAAAATAACTTACGAGGCGATTCTTGTTCTCCTTTTGGTTTCTTTTCGCCAACGCCTTCGCCAACCGTCGTCGTTTCCATCTTACTAAATAACTTACTAACTAATTACTATATGGAGGACTAAATTTGGAAAACTTTACAGTGCAAATTTTATCACAATAAAAACAATTTGAGGAACCTGCTGAGTGAATGAATCCGGTTTTTTGGTTTTGTACAAAATTCCGCAATGAAGGGGTAATATGAGACTTCTTTTTCTCTTTGAGAGATTTTGGTAATTCATGCATAAAAATTATTATGCATGGTACAACTTCATGAAATTATGCTAAAAGGTCCACAGAAACTTGTAACATAAGATGTCATAAAAATTGCCGGTAACATCCCAGGAGCAGTTGTTTTTGCATATTAGGGGCTTTCAGTTTTCCATGCGACGCGATGAACCACGTATGTTACCGTAATGGTAAAATGAACAAATGACGACTTTCTGAAACACCGAACCACTTTTTAGGCGCAGCGTCACAATGTTTTTTCGATTCCTCTCACCAGGTCGAGTTTGAAAGAGCGTCTTATTTCAATTGTACATAATTAAATTAAAGTTAAGAATATTTTTAGTCATTTAGAATTGATCTTATTTATGTTTATTTTAGATTTAATCGCATTTAATCGTTGCATTTAAACTCCATCTTTAATAAAAACAATGAAGAAGAGAAAACAGATAGATTCTGAGCTCGACGAGATTAGGCAGGACGTGGCATTTCTCAAGAACAAGATGGAATTATTGTGTCAATGGATAACCAAAAAATTTGGTGGTATAAATAATAAACAAATATTTATTAAGTTTATTAAATTAGTCGGCTATATTTATGCATTTGTGTATTGTTATCCATTTTATACAGACTTAGATTTTGAGAAAGACTTGCAGAATTCGAGACAATTATTATCCCAGCCAAATACTCATAATCATAATCACTTCTCATCATCCTCTATTGAAAATGAACCATTAGTAATAACAAAAAATTCGAAGCCACAAGAACATTCATATTCCAGCATCTCTGTGACCACACCCAACCCGAACCTATACGACATGGTGGATGAGGAATTGTCAAATAGTATGTACATAAAACAAATGAGTGAATATATAGATTTGTTCTTTTAATCACATTGTGAATTAATCCGTCTAACAATTTTGTCCAGATTCGGGTGAAGACATGTTCATCTCACCCCCTGCAAATCCCTCAATTCTTGACACACCTAAAAAATCTAAACCTCCACTGATAACCAAGCAAGTAATAAAATCTACAAATGCGTACGCTCCACATCCTCCACCTTCAGTACCATTAGTGCACAATTCTAATTACGCTTTCACCACTCCTCCTTCTTCAGCCGTTTCTAATGATGAGCAAATTGGGCAAAATGTAAGACAACCATCTCTGGTTATCAACAAAGAACCGAAAAGTAAGTCAATCTTTGTCATGTAAATTATAATTCTTTAGAAAAATTTTGTCTCATTTTTTTCAGAGAAACGAGTTAGAGCAAAGCGTGTAAGATCTCCCAAAAAGACATCTCAATCTGCCTCCTCCACCACGAATCAGTTATCGTCAGACGACGAGAATCCTACTTTGACCTCTAAAACACAGACGCAAATTATTCAATGTGAGATCTGCGGAAAGTTGATAAATGGACCGGCAGCAATGAAACGCCACAGCCAGACCCACACCAACGTTCGTGCCCACAAGTGCTCAGACTGCGGTAAAAGTTTCCAGAGAAAGTTCCATCTCAAAACGCACCGACTCATTCATGATGGCGAGAAAAAACATCAATGCAGATTTTGCGGAAAATTATTCCTACTTCCGAAAGGTTGGTGTAAAATAATATGCAAATCGGCAAATGTAAAGTAAGTTAACCAAGGCTGCATTCTCAGATATCGTCGCTCATGAAAGGACCCACACCGGTGAAAAGCCCTACGCTTGTGAAAATTGTCCGAGAAAGTTCACACTAAAGAGTCACTTGGTAATTTATGTAATGCAAGAGATTTTCAAATTTTGAAAAATTGATTACATTGTGTGATTCGATAGGTTATGCATATGAGAACCCACACTGGAGAAAAGGTTAGTCAGTTTTAACGATTACAAAGTTTACTTCAATTTTCTCACTGCTAAATTTTTGCAGCCTTATAAATGTGATTCATGCGATAAATGCTTCACTCAAGCCAACAGTCTTCGTGTTCACAAAAAGGCACATTTGCCACAATCATCGACAAATCATCAGTATGAAGAGAAACCTAACAAAATTGCAATAAAGAAAGTACAGCCTCCACCGACAGACACATCGGGTCACAATCCTGCTTCCACTTCTATGATAACTACAATGTCCGAATATTCCATGCGTTCCTCCAATAATTTCAACATTATTGGCCAGCTCATTCCAATTTCTCCAATTTCTTTACCAAACCAACTCAACTTTACGCAACTCCAATCAGCCTCCATTTTACGAATACCCACTCAGTTGCCAGTCACTGTAATGTCGGCAGGGGGAAGTGGTCAATCTAGCAAAGAGGTCAACTCAAGCTTGGAACCCAATGGTAATCAATTGATACACTCGTTGCAAGATGAAGAAAGTTATTATGATCTTGAAAATTTGTAACACAATAAAGATTATTGTCAGAAATGTATTTATTGGCCTTCCACAATGATTTAAACATGGGACAATATTTACTTATGAAATAGCTTACAATTTTTTCATCAATTTAACGTCAAAATTAAGGTTAGGGTATCCATTTAGGATAAATAATTTTAGCTGCTTATTGTAATATAAAGCGAAAATAGTCGAACATCGAGTCAATTTTTAACCTATAAAAAATACTTTTGTGTTAAATACAAATTAGTTTGTTTGGCGACGTACATGATTAAATTGGTGGCAGTAGTGAATGTGGATCAAGTCGCAAGTGGAAATGGACCAAGTACTCGGCATTTGTTCTTTGTACACTTATCGCAAAGGGTGCTGAAGGGTGGAAGGTGAAAGCGACGAGTCGTCGACCGGAAGGTGCACTCCCTCTGGATAATATTCCGGCATGAACTTGAAACTTATAGATACCTGAATCTCGACCGTAGAACCTAATAATCATCAAAGTCATCATCAACTATAGAGTAACCAAGTAAAAACATGTCTTATTACAGGGATTTAGTACCTAATTGGAATCTCTCCACACGCTTTTGGTCGTTCCATGGATGACACGCGATGATCATCGTAGGAAAACAACGCCTGATCCAGGTAGGGCGAGGAACTGTATGACTGTGAACTGATCGGAAGCTGCGCCAATATTCGCTTCGTCGCTTCAACCGGTCCTGTCATTTAATAAATTGGTCGATTAATAAAAATATTAAATTAAATAGAGTAACTTTTTCGATGGAATCAACTAATCTATTTAAACCTTACCACCATAGCGAGCACTGGTTATGGTTTGTCGAAATTTTTGATGGATTTGTCTACGAAAATGAACAAAATAATTTATTTTGCATACTTTTCGTTTGTTATAAATACATTAAAACTACTGAGTAATTTTAGGCTTACATACCTTGCATACATGTTGTTTGATGGGGATGAGGTAAACCGTCCCTCCATGGTCAAATTATTGTTGCGAAAATTGTCAGTAAAATTTTCAAAAAAGTCAACCAATTCTTCAGTTGTATTTTCAAAGACTGCAATCACATTTGTTTTTGGTATGTTGTATATCACGAATAAACAATGCTGTGAATTTGGCTCTGGGGTTTTGAGAGTGACAACATCTTCACTTGAATATTTAAGCAAGAGGTGATCTTCGTCGAGAAGTTGCATTTTCCAGATTCGAAGATTGACAAGTTGTTCATAATACTGACGTAAGCGAGCAATCTCAGTCAAGTCTTGATCCACCGATTCGTGCGCTTTTTCGTACGCTTTACGGAACAAGAATGCCAGTAGGCGTTGTTTTAATGTACTAAAAAAGACCTCATCTTTGGGACGAACGCTGAGGAAACTGGGCACAGCTAAATGCATATAAAAGAGTTGTTTTAATTACATTTTATGTAACAAAAATCGGACCAGCAGATAAATCAAATAATTACCCGAGTAAAGTAATTCGTCATCCTCATAACAAAATCTACCGATTGTCCTGACTGGCCAAAATTGACCATTATCCACATGAAATATCGAGATTGTTTGATGTTGAACTGACAAAACTGCCAAAGTGTTGTTGAAAAGATAGAGTCCTTGATTATGTGATAAAAATATCCTATCAGCTTTAAAGCTTTTCGAATCAGTCAGAACGCCATGTTTCAAGTCTATAATATGAATTGTATAGTCTTCCAGCGGAAATCTTTCATTCGGTTCCACCGATTCATTCGTCCGATATATTTCATTGTGACTGGGTTGGGCGTAATCATCATGTGCATACGTAGCAGATCCAACGACTAGGTAGCGAAAGTCTTCGGTGAAAAGAGAGCATTCTCGATTCAAGTCCTCTCCTTGAGGAGCGACACGAACGCGAAACTTTAGCTTAAAAAACGCTTGGAATATCTTTTTCCGAATTTCTTGACTATAATTATCCTTATCCTCGGCGCTGATAATGTCAGGGAATCCGCGACTGTACGGGTCGTTCTTAGCTCGTCGATCGCTGACACTCATTTTTGCTCGCTATATAATTAACAAGAAATTAGTTAAATGTAGATGATAAATGATGTGAGTATGTATCTATTGACATTACTGATGTCTACATTGATATTTTTACACCCGTCACCTTCTCTGGAGGTGGTTTAAACCCAGACGAATCCGAAGGATTATTGCGATTATAATTCCAATTTTTTGCCAAATCTTCGAACAAAAAATTGGCAGCCTGTGGTCCTTGAAAGTAATACACCTCCACAGACATCTGATCAGCAGAGAAAGCCACAAACAGCTTTCCATCCGGCGTAAACTTGCGCAAGAAACATGGTGGTTTCTCAACATGAGTGACAGTAAAGTTTGGCACGATGCTTTGATACATGGACCGCTGGAGGAACTTCTCCGTCCCAGATCGTGGTCCGAACCCACCCCATACTTCACGTCCGGCGAGACGCGTAGCGATATTTTGTGGTGGTATCCGTTTAGCTGTGAGGACGTTTAATGGGTCAATCTCGTCCTGGAAAATTACAGCATTCTTCGTAAGTCTAGGAAACTCCATAGTTGATAGTGGTCCGACTTGTCCTTAAACCTCTTAGTGGTCACACATTGGAATGTTGAGTCAAGATAATTCTGAAAATAACAATAATGGATTTTTCAACTTTTACTCTTCACATGTAAGAAGTACGTTCGCATTTGTCATAAATTGTGAATTGGCAAAATTAGCAAATAAAATTTTTGACAGCATTCATGACAATTCGCTTAAAATGTCGCCCCATTTGGTAACCATACATTTACATTCCAAAATGTAATTTCATTACAAGACTCCAATACAAATATTATGGATTTCCGTCTTACAAATATTTACACATACTGACATACATAAGTTCAATTGTACAATGAACAAACTTACGAAACTGAAAACAAGACAATCAACTTACTTGTTTTTCTACCAATAATTTGGTTTAGAGTGATTGAGAATTGAGAATACACGATACACGAACTACTGATAAACCCATAGATCTATAAATATATACGACTAAAACTAGTATTAGCGAATTGTTTAACAATTAATTTTTAATTTGCAAAGTTCCTAAAAACTATCAACACCACACCACAATCCCATCTGTGCTGCAACTTTGCTCTGCTGCACTGTGCGACTGTGCCCCAATTCGGAATTCACAACTCTCTTTATAAGAGAAAGTGAGATCAGAAAGAAAGCAGGCAGCTGATAAACAAGAATTTTATCTATTAAATTAATTTCTTATCCAACTAAGTGTTATCGTTATGTGATATCGTCTTGAAAGAAAATTTCTACAATCCGTCCTGGTAAAAGTTCTGGTAACGACGAAATGGCACCCCTTCGTCCCGTGGGTGGTGCTGACAAGGAGAAAGATTTCACCAAGCAGCAACGCAACAGGTCACGAGTCGAAACCAACTTAATTCGTCTCTTGTCTCGCTGCGAGGATATGGCGATGGACACGGAAACACTTCAGGACGATTGGAGACTAGACAAAGTAAGCGTTTGTACACGTGTCACTACTTTCTCTAAATAAACAACCCACTTTCTCTTAACAAATATGAATTGTTATATATAATTACAGTACGTTGAGGCTTTAGAACTCATGCTGCGGGAGTTGAAGACGGGTCCAAAGTATGTAAAATATTGAAACTTATGTATTTATGCGTGTGGAGTGAACTAATCTAATTAGCTTATACATTGTATAGTCTCCCTGAAAAGGACACCCTTTTAGAGTATGGCAGAAAAATAGAATTCATCAAGGAAGTGCTCCACACAGCTAAAATGGTATATATGGATGGAATATAAATCATTATACTTGCTAGCATTTTACCAATTTTTTCATAATTTTAGCCAAACGTTGCGGAGAAAGCAATCGCATCTCAATTAATCAGTCCCGGGCCCCACTTTTCTTCGGAACTGGATCACAACCGCAGCATGGAAATTAAACATCGTCACATAACAAAGTATTCGGAAGATTTACGTCGAGAACTTATGGGAACTCCGACGTCCTCCTCGCCTTCTTCGACAACGAATACAACTAAAGGGAAGCCTGAAGATATCGATGAGCTATTAAAATATCATCACACTATGCAAGAGAAAATTGCGGAGCACATGATAGAGTTGACCAGAAGTATCAAAGAACAGGCCATGACTGCAGGAAATATTATTAAGAGTGATACCGAGGTTTGACTATGTTTATTGCATAAGTATGCATATGACCAGTGTTTAGTAATTTTGCTAATAACTTAAATCTTAAAGGTTTTGGAAAAGTCAGCAAAGTTGATGGAAACCAACACTGGTTCACTAAAGGTGGAAGCCGATAAAGTAGAAATGTATAACAAGAGTGCGTGTAAATGTTGGGTGTGGGTCCTACTTTTTATAGTTTGTTCCGTATTCGTCGGTAAGTACAACTTATATCACACATTTTATCGTTAATTTAGTATGAATTCTTAAATTTGTATGTTGTATCAGGAATGGTGCTGTTCATGAGACTATTTAAAAAGAGAATACCCACGTCTTGAACATGAGACGCATATACGACGTTCAATTAACTTGACTGTGATTTTAATATATATTACAGTTAGTTAATAATTTTAAATTGCAAACAAACCTAATTTTCAAGATAATTGTAAAAGAAAAAATCCATGTTGAATGGGCAATATTAATATTAAATAAGAAACTACATTTTCTAGAGTTTCGCAACCTTTTAATTGTATTGACAATATAACTATCAACATATAAACTCTCATAATATGATGACTAGAGTATAATCTAATCGTCCTTCATTATCATTACCTTAATACTCAATTACTATCGTTCGAAATGCGACTTGATATAGACTGGAATCGACTGCTTCTTTAATCGTTCTTGCGTTTTCCCCTGTTCTTTTCCCTTCTTTCTCGCCATTGACTGCGGAGGCACGTTCACCGGTCTCGGATACGGCGTCTTATAATGAACAGCTACAGTTTCAAATTAAAAATCTTAGACAAATCATCTAAATCTTCTCTTTCCAAGTTGCTCACCTAACTCCAACCTCGCTTGAGCTTCATGAATACAGTCCTGAATAACTTTTGGGTCACCAAGTCCTGAATTTTGTCTGAACAGGGTTGTGGCTTCGGTTTTGATGTAATTACGTTCCATCTTCGTGTCCTGAGTCTTCCCCGAAGCAGCCTCCCACTTCCTCCCCAGTCGGAGTATCTGTCGGTACAACCGAAGCACTTGGGGTCGAGTCGTTAACTGTGACATGATAAATATTTCTAAAAATTATAACTTTGCATTTTTTGCACGTGCAATAAAAATTGCGTTGTTTTTGTTTATTTTTATGAGACTGATTGGTTTGAGTTTTGTTCCCGGGACAAATTTCTCAGCGGAAAGGAACGTGTTTGTAAAATGTGTGCGAGCTGCACATGTTCTTTTTTTTAGATTCACATAACACAACACGATTACAAAGTATTATATTTACCAAATTTAAGCTTTTAATTGTGGTAATTAACTAATTCATTCTCAAAATGACGAGATTTACTCGTGTGAAAAGTACTCATCAACGCGTCGAGGGTGACTCTACTTCTTGGGGAGAACTTAAAGCCACGCCAGCCAAGGATGACACGAAAAATCACAGAGATACGAAACGAGGAGCCCCTTCAAATAATAATAAAGGTTCCCCCAGTGGCGGAGGAAAGAAGTTCAACAACAACAACCGGACTAATCAAAGTGATGGGGGTGGTGGTGGAGGTGGTAAAAAGTTTCAAAAACGACGACCAGATCGAAGAGATAACAAAAACAAAGGCAGAGGAGGAGGAGGTGGAGGAAGAGGACGAGATAGCGAAGAAAATCCAAATTTTACTCCGTTGGGTGGGAGCAATCCGAACGTAAGGGGACAGGGATCGACGAAATCGGTTAAAGTTTTTGGAAATTTCTGGGTTGGCGAAGACGATGCAAAGAGACTGCAAGGGGTCGCAAAAAAGATGAAAAGTGAAGGTATTTCCCGGAAAGAAATCCTAGACTCGCTGCAAGGGGAGAGACGGAAGGCAGAAAAAGCGTCGAAACGGCGGAGGGATAAGACCTGCTTCAATTGTCGACAGTTTGGTCATGTCCTTGCTGATTGTCCGGCGACAAATACCAACACTGGAGAAGGAGGAGAGGGAGGAGAAGAAGGCAAGAAAACTAGCTCGGATGGCGACATCTGCTTCAAATGTGGCTCTACAGAACATACGTCAAGGTTTTGCAAGAGAAAGGTACAGTTGATAGATGTGTAATTTAAACTCAAGTAAATGGGTATAAATTAATTTTTACTTTTGATTTATTCAGAGCGACAAATTCTCATTCGCCAAATGTTTTGTCTGTTCCAAATCGGGCCACATTGCGAGACAGTGCCCATCAAATCAGAACGGAATCTACCCTGCTGGAGGAAATTGTGACGAATGTGGATCTGTTCAGCATTTGAAAAAAGATTGTCCAACCGTTGTTGGAGGAGCTCGAGGGGGGAAAGACGATCCGGAAGCACAAGTGGGGAGAATGGCTAATCCCTTTGCTTCCACGGAATACGAAGACATTCCAGCGTCTAGTAGTAGTAGGAATGTTGAAGAGGGAAACGAAGATGAAACTGATGACAACAAAGACAAAAGAAGCAAACAACCAAAACCCAACAAGTTTAAAAAGAACAATAAACGGAAACATGCCCCCAATCCTAACGATAATTTTTCTAAAGAACCCGTCTCTTCTGTATCGAATGATTTCAATCAGAACGACAGTAAACCAACAGTTGCAAAGAAGCGTAAAGTTGTAAAATTCTAAGTATTTCTATAAAAACAAATCTCGTTAAAAGGTTATTTTGTTGGCGCATTAATAAAGTATTACGCACAAGTTTAACAATTCTATGTGTCTTGTTTTATTATTATTCAAAAATACTTGCGTCGAACACATAGCTTTTAATACTACACAATTTCATCATGACTTTAAATCATGATACTATAATACGTGTACCCCCAACAATTCAGATTGCTAGAATAATAAATCACATAAATATCTGTATGCATCGCGACACATTCCCTAACTTTAGCTGTCTTCTAAATTAAAGATATCATCAATTGTCTTCCTTTCTCATTCAAGATCTGTTTGTTTGTTGCAAGTCATAATTGTTAAATAGCGGCTGAACTAGATTACATACATAAAATGAGCTGTTTGCTGTTTCACAATTATGATGATGGCTATAATACAATTTACAAATTAAAATACGTATGCAGTACTATGCAAACAAAATTTTGAAACCCTGATCTATATGAATTTGACTCACACCAATAACTTAAGATATATGTACTATTTAAATAATTGACATTTTATATAAATAAGCATTAAACTGGTGTATGAAACACAATATTATTAGTTGTGTACTGCATACGAGGAATACTAGATCATATTTCATCTATCAAAGATACTACAAAATAAATTGCATACATAATAATTTTGTAATTCGCAACGAGATGATGTTTCAGTACTACATATGTCCAGTGCACAGTGTGTCATATTATAGTAATTGTTCTATTATGCAGTTTCACAATCATTAAATCCAAAAGAGGACTAAATGTTATTATTATTTACGGTGCTGCTGATAGATTCTAGTCGGTCAGGATTCTTTCATTCCACTTCTTTGAGACTAATTTGTCGTGCGACCTCTTAGCGGATTATTCTGTGGGTTTAACATTTTATAGACTAAATAGGCCATTGTAGTGACCAATGCTACTCCTACGCCGGTCTTCACCCATGGAACACTCCCGTCCGGTATCACTCCCAGTCTTCTTAGATGACTGTAAAAATTTAAACATACATTTTAGAAGTTGTCTTTTGTCTCAAACTAAACTCCGTTTCAAGCTGTCTGATTTCACCGCCTTGAGGACATTACATTACATTACCCGAATGAGCCGAATTATTTTATTATTTGACACCACTTATTTTTATTTGGGCGTTTAAATTATTCAATTTCGTATGATTTCTACGCCAAAATAAAAATAAGTGGTGTCAAATAATAAAATAATTCGGCTCATTCGGGTAATGTAATGTAATATCCTCAAGGCGGTGAAATCAGACAGCTTGAAACGGAGTTTAAGTAATTGAACTAGTATATAGCAGACAATCACAAGCAAGCTGAACATTATCATTATTGGCTGCCATCTAAATACAAACCCCAATTTGATTCTGCTGCAAAATGTGCGTTAAGCGCTAGTGTATCAAGAGTACACTACTGACCTGTTTTTATAAAATATCATCCACGCAGCTTGGAAGCGACTATTAACAATACCAAATGAATAATTTTCATATTTTTATTTCTTAACATGTTAACTAAATTCTGTCCAATTTTATAAAATTGGAAAAACACATTGCATCTTGTATATGATTGAATCACTTACGGAAAAGCAGCCATTGTGGCCAATTTAACGTAAATCTCCTTATTAACTTTCTCCAAGCAAGAGAAGCTGTGAGGGGGAGGGAGTTTGTACTTGGCACAAAAAGCAGTCGGCTGAAGAATGTAATCTAGATGGCAAACGAAAAAAGGTCATTCTCCATTTTAAATCTTTGGTGTTCCATTTTTTAATTGAGTAATACCCTGCATAACGTCCCCACAATCTGATTTGTTTCCCACAATCAACACTGGAATTTTTTGTGTCGCATAGTAGTTCTAGAGTGGGCAACATAGCAATTGAATAGCAATTACTACTTACGACATGAGATGAGACTGTTGGTGAATACATGTTTTAGAAATAAATAAATATTACCAAATAGGTTCTAGCAACAAACTCGAACGATTTAGGATCAGAGGAATCAAATACGAGGCATGCAACGTCGCATAAAACTGAAATAAATTTAATAATAAGAATGATGTATTATAATTTACAATTGCATATCCTAATCATGAATATGCGTACCTTCATTAGTTGGAAGAAAGTCCACAACACGGTTCAAATCTATATCTTGCATACTATAAAAAAATAAAATACTCATGAATGAATGTCCCATTTTTTTCGTATGAATTTTCTTACCACAGATATTTTTCTTGTCCGTAAACTTGTACCATGTTGACGACAAAGTTAGGTAACTCTTGGCCATCGTTTGCAAACCGTTTCGTCTGTTCTAGAGTTCTTCCAATCAAACCTTGGCAAAGGGTTGTCTTTCCACTATTTTTTGCGCCAATTACGTGACACCGATAGACATTTCTAGTCGATTGCTTCTTTGCCAAGTCTAATCGCTTTTCACGTGTAACTATAATCAAACAAAGGATTTGTCATTAGTCCATTCGATTCGAATTGGGCTCAAGCACGTAAACGGTAATACAACTTTTTCGTATGTACCACTAATTGCCTCGGTTTGATTCCTTTCCTCCGTGATTGGATATCCTAGATAAGCCATGTATTCCATAGTTTTATTTACATCCAACAGCGTGGTGAGAACCCATTGACAAATAAATCCAGAGTAAGTTAGCCACCCTTTCTCCGTGGTTTGAACTGCCTGGAAAAGTTGCTTTCCCCATGGAATATTTGGGCACTAAAATACAACAAATAAAGTCATTAATTAGTATCGCAATACCTTATTTAGAACATCACACTTGATCTTACCGTTGCAAATAGACTCATTAATTCCTCCGGACAGAGCGCTCTGTCTCTATCTTTGTCATGTTTTACAAACATGGAAGTGAAAAAATCAAAGCCGATTTGGTTTAGTTCAGTTGTTGTGCCGAGAGGAATGCTAAGTCTAGAATCGTAAATAAAAATTATAAGCATTAAGTATAGTCATTACGCATTAAGGATCCATCTATTTCCGAGTGTCTCACTCACACAGGGCACAAATAGTCGTTACAGACATTCAGCTCATCATTGTAACCATATTTTCTTAGGGCTGTCCACGTCGTCTCGTGTTTACCACGCTGAATGAAAAGCCTATGTAATACAATGAAACCTGAAAGCGTAATGCCGTTCACGAATACTCCATCTTCACAATTTCTCTGGATTATGGCCTTCACAGAATCTAACGCTTGGGGCTGGAGAGGTGCACTAAATCAATGAAACAGGTTAATGAATTGCAATGCGTAAAGTAACTATGCTAATTTGAAATTAGTACTTACTCGTAACAAAACTTCTGGAAAGCATACATTTCTAAGTCATCCATTAATCCATCATTATTGACATCACAAATGCGAAAAATTCTTTCAAGTGCCTTCTTGCACTTGTCAGTCAGCTGAAATTGGACACAATAAAGCATTTTAGAATTTGAACAGTAGATTAAACAAAAATTAACAAAAATTAAAATAAAATGTATAAACAAACCATGTGCACGTTTATATTCTGTTATTTCTAAATATTGCTTTGGTTATTATTGGTAAAATGTTGCATTTTCTGCGTATTACCTCTTTCTTGTCAGAGTTGTAAAGAGGAGAGGTTGGATGAAGAACGGCCTTTTGTGCATAGTAAAACAGTTCAGAAATATTCCTTAAAGTCTTTGCGGAACACTCAATGCATGTTTCAATTTCAGCAAATTCATTCATTAGAGGAACCACCATCTGAGCAACAATAAAATCACAAAAAATAGTAATAAATAATCAATTTGTAAAAAAATCATAGACTAATCGTTTATTACTTCCATCGTGGTGTAGTCAACGAGGTCAATCTTATTTCCCACCAGAATAACTGGGACTTTGTGATCTTCACCTAGCGTTGATCTTATAATTGGAAGCCAGTACGTACTTATCCTATCTATGGTCTCTTCATTATTCACGTCGTATACCACACAGATTACATGTGCTCTAAAAACACCATAATAATTATGATATAAATTGAAATATGCATGCTGGACAGACTGAACGCGTTAAAAAAACTAACCTCAAAAGTTCTTCTCCTAATTCAGTCTCTCCTTGTTCTTGTGCTAGAGGGGAAAGAAAATACGAAATCATTACAATTGCGCTAGTATTGTAAATATGGAATGGAATAATTAGGGGTAGTAATTGGCGTTTTACTAGAGTAGTCAACAATGTTGGTTGGAACCAGTTCAGGAGTAACATCCGCAGGTATTGTGATTTCTTCCGATCGTGGAGGAACACTATCGGCAAATTCTTCAGACACGAGAGATAAAATGACGGATGTCTTCCCAACACCAGGTTCTCCGACGAGAAGAATTCGAACGTCTCGGCGACAATGACTCCGAAAGTATAAATCTTCCGCTTGGCGATATTCCCTGGTCGACGGCATCATAGGAGTGGTCACCAACATGGCGATATCGAGAGATTTTCTTTTATAATGGTCAGATCTTCCGACCGCACAAGTAACTGGAAAGGAATAAGTAAAAAATGTAATTGATTATATAAATATTTACAGAAATCAGATCAGATATACTTATAATTGAAACGATGGTATTATTATTAGTCTTGGCAATTGAGTTGAGAGTTGAGACTGCTGAAGAAACACGCTGAAGAGACAAGAAACTGCCGAGATGGGATGGACAGCTCTTCCTGGAAGAAACCACAAGAGAAGATTGATAAATTATACAGTATCGCCTATTATTATCGTAATTTGCATAATGCATGCACCATTTTATTTAAATACAGCCAGACTTAACCAGTAGGCCAAATACTCAGTTATGCCCCTGACGATCTGTATATGATTAATTAATGTTGCTGTTTACTAACTAAACTTGTACACCTTCACTTTCAAAAGATTTCAACGATCAACTGGCCACTCTTACCTATTGTCTACGCGCCCCTTACAGCGACCCCATCTTCAACAAAAATGGGGATCGTTTCTTTACATTGATTATCAATTATGGAAATTGTAAATTGCATTCAAAATGTAAAGTCGTATAAAATTAGGACAACAAAGTAGCATGTAGAATTTTTGTTGTCATGCAATATTCTTTATTAAAGATTTTCTGTCTATACATGCACACCTCGATAAACCCCAATGATAACCCTACTAAATACATTATTTTGTTTCTTGATAACATTAGTTAATCAATCACAGTCAACAAACCTCCTTGAAACTTACCTTGAACGCCCTCCAAATCCTATTTATTGCCTCAGATTTTCTGCTTTCTTTACTTATCTCCTGGAATGCAGTCTTTACATCATCTTGACCAGATTGCAATGAGATCTTAAAACCTGCAACTATCTTTTCCCAACAATTTTTGTCTGCTATCACTGAAAAGTATTGAAAAGTGCAGTGGATGGGAAGAAAGGGATGGGACGGTGAGACTCGTGACACCCGGGCAGCAATCCCAAGTTCCCCATCACTAGAGACTCGTAATAGTGAGAGAGAATCCTACTACTTTCACTACTGAATTCCAATTTCTCAACTTTCTCCACCCAAATTTCTTCCTTGGTTTTTAGGATGATGAAATAAAATCTCAAATCCAAATTTACAGCAATACGAGTATTTTGCATTTATAGAACATTGGCATTGCTAACTACATGGATGATTGATATTTGCATACTTGTACTATAATTCATGCGATATAAAAGTTCGACAAATGAGTGGATGTGTGAACCATCATAAGTTTATGTATGGTGTAAACTTTTCATATTAATAGTAGAATTGATTTTCATATGACTTCCTTTAATTGTCTAACAACACATGTCGATTTAAATGCTTTAAATTAGTGGTGCATTTCCTAAGAAAGCTAGTAATCAATCAGTAAAGCTAATTACATAGTTCCTTCGCATTTATTTAGTAGTTTTAAATAAGTTGGCCGATTTTTCAACCCAGGTCTGACCCTTAGACGACAAGGGCCTGCTTTTATAGGGTGAAGATCTATCGATATGTACAACCGAATAGGCATTTTATCAGCAATGCAACAACAAAACAGAGAGAGGAGAGGAAAAAAGGAGAAAAACAACGACGAGTCGGTGGCCAGCAAAAACCGAGTCCTTGCGTAACAACGATTCCTTCCTATTGTAACGTGCGTCGTATTCTCTTCTGTCGTGCTTCAGCTGGATTCATTTTCATTTCACGGGATATGGACACACTTTTTTTGGAGAAAATCGCAAAATCTAGGTTATTAAACCATCGTCTCGTTTTTACCGACTGATTATTCTGCATCTGACTTTATCTCTCAGCACAACAATCATTTTGATAAAAGCTCTAGTGCAAACTCCAAAGTGTGCGTGCACTGCAAATTCTTTTGCTCGGTATAAATAAATGCAAGGTGGTTTTGATTTGACAAGTTGAAGCATATTAAAAGTGTACAGCAAATTTACGAAATATAGAATCTTGAAAATAAAATCTGGGTTCCTGCCTGTCCATCTGTACAACAGCCGGAATTATAATACAGCTATAATTGTCAACGTCAGCGTAAGTTCAGTTTTAATTTGCTAAAAATGTAATCATAATTTTATTCCTACAATGCATTGGCCATTTACTTGACAAACTCTGTCACATCCGTTTTGTAACTAATTTGTTACAATTATAATTACACCCGACATTATTTACCAGCCTAATAATTTGCAGATTCCCATTTTTTCCTGAGCATTTTATATGCTATCTTTTACTTTATCTTGAAAATACATTTCTAACGGAAGCAATTACAAAATTATAAAAGCATTAGAATTTTGTAGTCGTGGGGTGAACATTATTCGAAGGAAATAGTAGGAATTAATAAACAAGAAAACGGCATATGGTAAAGGTGGTATAAGTTACACCGTATAACACGACAAAACATAGGGTCAGGGTTGGTTGTGGGTGGATAAAATAATACTGCTTATGGTGTGACCATGCAACACGGCTGCAGCAGTGGAAATTTCATAAATGTGCATAATAGATAATACCAGCATGAGTATGGACAACGAACCAACAAAAATGCTTCATTCTTGGTGCTTGATACCATTCATTTTCGTGTGAACTTTTTTAGTTCTGTTGATAGACGTTGAGTCATCCTTTGTGTTTGTTCGTTATGCTGCATTGCCAAATGCAAGCACATGATAATTCGCAAATCGCAAAAAGTGCAAAACAGGAGCTGAGTTACTATCTATACTGGCTGGCTTCATGTCATGGGGTTACTACTTTTGAGGTGAGTTGAACCTCCTCCTTTCCAAAAATTAGTTTAAGATTGTCCGATTATCCAAGAACCAACTGTAGCATTAAAAGATAGCACAAAACAAGGCGAACTTTTTCTTCTCCTCCTCGAATTGGCTACTACGTGGGTTAGGTTAATGGTCATTAAACTGCGCGTAATGGTTTATCGTGGTATTCTTCAGAAACTTTCGGTTTAATCAAGTCATATATTTTTTTACTGAACGAGCGACATTATCGTAGAAAAAGTGTTTTTTAATTGGTTGTGATTATAATAATAATAAACGACCCGCGGCTGAGTTATTAATCGTTGACCTTAATTGGTGTGGAAATCGTTGTCAATTGTTTCACTGGGAGATCGAGCCCATGCTAAATGCAGGTATGTAATAAACTGAAAATGAACAATTTATTAAGATTGATGCTTGAACTCAGTCAGTAAAAGCGTTAACTTTAAACTTAAAAAATAATAACAAAAATGACATGTTTATCATTGTTGTTTATCTCATATGAGTCATAAACTGTCAGGAGATTTTTCATGCAAATAACCCTTGAACCGGAGGAGAACTATCAACAATGTAATCGTGTGAATAATCTCATGGAATAGAATAGAATGTGAGTTTATGTTTACATCGCAATTGATTCAATGATAAAAGGATGCCTTTTCGGACTTAATAACGTGTAAACAAAGTCACCGATTGTTGATAGAAAGTTTTTTTTTACACAATTACGCATTTACTTATTTACCTAGTACAACGCATGACGAATTTGTATCCTATCATAAATAATTTAAGTTACCAGATTAATAAGGGCAAGCCTATTTAAAAAATTTGCTAAAATATTTTCAAAATTTTTATAATATATCTATAAACCATTTCATTTATATGTACACATAATCACGTTCTTCTAAATGGAAACAATTAAATGGGAACATCGACCAGGAAGGATTTTTTTAGTCTTAGAATTTATTAGTGTCATACACAATGGTGTTCTTAATATGCATAAATATGCAAACACTTTGGAATGAGACGTTCATGCATAATATCACGCTGCCAAATTGACAAATTTAGCTGCTAATGTATTCGGATCTCGTGATACATTTTAGTTATTACCCTGTCATATATCTTACAAGTTGGACATAAAAGTCGGTCCAGTGAGAAACGATCGATACCCACTACATAAATAATTAGCTTTAAAAAATCCCACTATTTATAAAATTTCCGATGAATTATTTCTGTACTTCAGTTTATTTAATGCCAAATGCAGTCTATGACACGACTTTTACTACAACAATTTAAATCTCATTTAAATTCATAATGGAATAAAATCAGTGGCTTAAACTGGAGTTTCTACGCATTGGTTAAAAGATTTAAAATATAGAGGACCCCCAAGGTTGATATATTTACTACAAGTTTTACCTTATTAGATAATTGTAAATATAAGATTTTTGCTAATGCGTAATTTACGCTACTCTTGCCCACATTAATTAATTAATTTTTAAGAAATTAGTTTTAAAGTTAAAAAGGTGGAGACAAAGAAGGGATATGTGTATTTATTGGCCTTTGGGGTTAATTAAACGTTAGTCATTATTATTTTGTTTTGCGCATTTAATTTCAAAGTACTGGCGAGAATTTTATTAATTGTTCGTGTATGGACATCAACAGTTCAACACTCTTGATTTTCAAAAAGATATTTCACTCAAAAGGAATGTTATGGTTCACTGATTTGGGCTCACCAAGTTATTTTTAAATTATTAATTGACTAACTAATATAATTAAGAGAGCTTATCTCTTGCAGACAATTATTAAGAGATAAATCGAGTCAGAATCTTGCGTCATGGAATTGTGAAAAGCGTAACGAATTTTTGTGATGAAAAGGGAAAAGGGAATAGTTCAGGATACAGACCTTAATCTCATAACCTTTTTCCCAGAACATAGACCGAACGAGCAATTGCTATTTTCTGAGGGTCATGCATGCAATCTTGATGAAAACTTGAAAGAATTCTATAAAATCACTCAAGGGGAGGGAAACATCTGGCAGTTGAAAAAAATTTAAAATTGTACTTTTTCACCCTAAAAATACAAAAAAAATCCGAAAAAAATGTATTTTTGGGGGGTCGAAAAATAATTTCCTGTGGCGAAACACGCTGGACTGTGTTTGCCTTAATTATGTGCACATTTTGGATGTGTAAATCAAAAATTTGACCAAATTGTGAAATTTGTTAACCCTCCACATAAGCTGGATTGAGTAAATTATGTAGCGTGCGGATGAGTAAGAAACCCCTTGCCTCCAGACAAGAGAGTGAAGAAAGCCGCGAGCTCGGACTCATCTGCACAGTTCATAATTTACTCAATCCAGCTTATGTGGAGGGTCAACCACTAATTTCACAATTTGTTCAAATTTTTGATTTACACATCCAAAATGTGCAAATAATTAAGGCAAACACAGTCCAGCGTGTTTCGCCACAGGAAATTATTTTTCGACCCCCAAAAATACATTTTTTTCGGATTTTTTTTTGTATTTTTAGGGTGAAAAAGTACAATTTTAAATTTTTTTCAACTGCCAGATATTTCCCTCCCCTTGAGTGATTTTATAGAATACTTTCAACTTTTCATCAAGATTGCATGCATGACCCTCAGAAAATAGCAATTGCTCGTTCGGTCTATGTTCTGGGAAAAAGGTTATGAGATTAAGGTCTGTAGTTACAGAAGTATCATATTATGTACAAACTAGTCTCTTAAGCCCGCAGTGCGGGCTCTAAGCAAAACGATTTTATTATTTTATTACGAAAAACGTTCACTCACGACCCTATGGGCGTGACCACGAAAAACGTTGTCACGACTCTAATTGGGTGTGTCCACGAAAAACGTTGTCACGACTGTAATTGAGTGTGACCACGAAAAACGTTTAGTCACGACTCTAAAGGGGGTGCCCACGAAAAACGTTCAGTCACGACTCTAAAGGGGGTGCCCACGAAAAACGTTCAGTCACGACTCTAAATGGGGGTGGCCACGAAAAACGTTCAGTCACGACTCTAAAGGGGGTGGCCACGAAAAACGTTCAGTCACGACTCTAAAGGGGGTGGCCACGAAAAACGTTCTTCACGACTCTAAAGGGGGTGGCCACGAAAAACGTTCAGTCACGACTCTAAAGGGGGTGGCCACGAAAAACGTTCAGTCACGACTCTAAAGGGGGTGGCCACGAAAAACGTTCAGTCACGACTCTAAAGGGGGTGGCCACGAAAAACGTTCAGTCACGACTCTAAAGGGGGTGGCCACGAAAAACGTTAAGTCACGACTCTATCGGTGTGACCACGAAATTCGTTTAGTTACGACTCTAAAGGGGGTAACCACGAAAAACGTCCGGTCACGACTCTATGGGTTGACCACGAAAAACATTAGGTCACGACTCTAAAGGGGGTGGCCACGAAAAACGTTCAGTCACGACTCTAAAGGGGGATGACCTCGAAAAACGTTAGGTCACGACTCTAAAGGGGGTGACCACGAAAAACGTTAGGTCACGACTCTAAAAGGGGTGACCACGAAAAACGTTAGGTCACAACTCTAAAGGGGGTGACCATGAAAAACGTTCAGTTGCGATTCTAAAGGGGGTGTCCACGAAAAATGTTAGGTCACGACTCTAAAGGGGGTGACCTCGAAAAACGTTAGGTCACGACTCTAAAGGGGGTTACCACGAAAAACGTTAGGTCACAACTCTGAAGTATGGCATTGTTCTAACGTTTTAAGTACGTTTAGGCACTTAAACCAAAAGCCCGCCCTCTAGCGCTGAAAAACAGCCAACATCCGATAGGTGGCGCTGGTAGGTAATTAAAATTAGTAAGGCACAGGTCAAGTGTCAACTTTGCCGTGGGGCACAGAGGTCACAGGTCAAGTATAGTGGATGTGCCCAGGTCACAGGTGAAATGTCAAATCTAGTGGGTGTGCCCAGGTCACAGGTGAAATGTCAAATCTAGTGGGTGTGCCCAGGTCACAGGTGAAATGTCAAATCTAGTGGGTGTGCCCAGGTCACAGGTGAAATGTCAAATCTAGTGGGTGTGCCCAGGTCACAGGTCAAGTTTAGCGGGTGTGCCGAGGTCACAGGTCAAGTGTAGCGGGTGTGCCGAGGTCACAGGTCAAGTGTAGCGGGTGTGCCGAGGTCACAGGTCAAGTGTAGTGGGTGTGCCCAGGTCACAGGTCAAGTGTAGCGGGTGTGCCGAGGTCCCAGGTCAAGTATGATGGGTGTGCCCAAGCCACAGCCACAGGTCAAGTGTCAACTCTGTAAAGTGTCAACTTTATGGGTTGTACGCAGGTCGCAGGTCAAATGTCAAGTCCAGGGGTGTGTGCCAAGGTCACAGGTCAAATGTCAAATCTAGTGGGTGTGCCAAGGTCGCAGGTCAAATGTCAAATCTAGTGGGTGTGCCAAGGTCACAGGTCAAATGTCAAATCTAGTGGGTGTGCCAAGGTCACAGGTCAAATGTCAAGTCTGGTGGGTGTGCCCAGGTCACAGGTCAAATGTCAAGTTTAGGGGGTGTGCCCGTTCATTTGATCAAGTCTCGGCAGATCTAAAGGGTGTGTTTCGTTGTTCTCGTGTTCGTCAACGTTTTGACACTTTAGCGAAAAACGCCCTCTAGAAACGAAAAATGTAACATAGTGCCCCACCTGCCGCTAGGTGACATTAGCTTGGACAATGTGAGACACGTGTGTAACCAAGCGCCAAGTTCAACTGGTAACACCACTGCACAATTCTTGGTTCTGATTGGTCCACACGTCATCGTGTCAATTTTATTTTTTCACTTGTAATCTGTTTTAACTTAATTTAATAAAATTAACTTGGGAGAGTAGCTCACTTGCTTGTACACAGATTTTAATCTCCTTTTTACTACAAATGCAAAATTCTAAATACGCACAATTGCATGTATAAAATTTGTAGATAGAATTTTATGAGAACATTAAAATAACCTAACCTAACCTTAAATATTAAAATAACCTAAAAGTTAAGCCCCAGTTAAGCTCGATGCATATTGCGCCTAGAACAGTTTGCTTGAGATTAAACCTTCTCCAAAATCCAATTTTTCTGACATTTTGAGATATCTTGGTCCCAGAGATATGAGAGGTACAAATATTCTATGATATTAAGTATCAAACTGAATTTTTCTCTTATGATTGCATTGAAAGAGAAAGAGTGCAGTTTTGACTGACAGTTTTAACCAAGTATGAAACTATGTTACACGACGCTTGCATACGTAATTATTTGAAATTATTTTGTATTGTTCATAGATTGACATGCTTGCATCAATTAAATTAATCCTAAGATGCATGCACCTAAATGCTTATACATATATGCATACTATGCATTGCATAAATGCAGACCTACTTGCGTATGTACATGTCATTGCACTATTTTTATCATAGATGAAAATAGGCATGCTTCTTCTACTGTTAACTATGTCATGCTATTAATTGAATACTAATGTACAATAATCTACATTGTTCAACTAGCACAGTAATGTCTATCATCTTCAGTCTCGGGATAGCCCGTGTAAATATAATTTCTTTACTGAAAGAAGACGACACAAGTATTGACGAATCTGCGAAATTGAGTGGTTATATTTATGGACAAAAGGCATTTTATTACAGGGTTATTCTTAGAATAATAAATTGCAGTCATTATTGTAGCTATTTGCAGATATTTAATGTCGGTTTGCACAACCATTGATGCATCACATGACTCCCTGAAGCAAACTGCGTTGCAATTTGCTCTATTATACAACTTATTGCAAGTACCCGTAAGTTATATACATATTTCACTCGGTCAATTATCTATATTGTTGAAGGGTTTAATACATGCATAAATATATAAATACGGCTTAATTGCGTAACAAATTCTACTCATAATAGCCAAAACACGACTAGAGTCTAATGGGTGAAAATATATTTACTTGGAAGGAATAATCAACATTAGGCATCATTTTAACCTTGAATGGTACTGCACATATCCTAATTACCAACCTGTCTACAAAATTGTCAGCTTGCCTTTATACGACTTAGCTTTGCTATGATTCATCCATCCAGGTTCTCACAGTTTGCGTGTTAATATTCACTTGTTTACGCTAACAAATAGATCATTGAAAAATACTTTTCTTTTCTCCATTTCATAAATTCAGATCTTGTACCGTTATGAATGCACATGCATAAATGAAGTTAATCCTTCAGCAGAAACAGGCAGGCAAGGCAAGGTCGTTTAAAGACCACTGCATACGGCGATGCGCTTTTTTTGTTGATGGTCGTGTCGTACTGCACTCCCTTGAACCAAGATTAAATTAGTAAATTCGACTTTAATATGCTGTGAAGGCCGATTTGGATGATTGTCTTTTTGTTGGAAGTCCTCTTGTGCAATGCACTTCTTTGATGCATGTATAATTGCAGATGTGAGGTTAAATTTGAATAAAATGGCATTGATGTATTCGATTTTAGACGTGAGATGGTCATGACGGAATGTACACAGTAGAAATAATTGCGAGTGAGTGCAGAATTACAATTCTTTCATAGTGTGAGATGAACAGTTTTTCGAAAACACGTTTTATAATTAGAATGTGCACCTATCTTTTACAAACTGCATTAAAAACTAGGACAAGCTGCTTAGGTCTCAATAGGCTTAAAATTTGAAAAATTGTTGCGGTCAGTATGTAAGCATTTAGATAATAATAAACAAGTTCCGTAGGTAGTGTTTCTCGTTTATATTTTATTTAGTGGAATTATTTAGTGGGTTACTCAGTTAAATATTTAGTAAGGAGACCTCTATTATACGGACATGTTTGTAGAACAACACATAATGAATTAAGAGTTAAGAGAGTGACAAAATGGAATTTAAATTGTTTCAATCGTTCCCCTTATATGAAACAATTGGCCAGTATGGATAATTGTACATGGAAGTTTCCTGTGTCCTGAGTAATTGCGCTTTTACAATATTGGAAACATCAGGGCCATTTTGCACAAATGTACTAAGGATGATTTTTTCATCTAAATCAACCAGCTTAAGGTTGATCTTTCAAGGATCATACAGGCTAAGGGGTTACCTATTTATTGCCTTCCGTTACATAAATGTTGATCATATTTATTAAGGGCGAGTTGATTCACCACGGGTCGGGGCATGCAAGCTATAATTCATAAGACATAGATAGTAGGACTACATACAAACAAGTTTTTAATCCTCGATAAAAAATAGTTATTGTCAATTCTGTTTTCACAAATTTTGGCAGACTGGTTTTACTACCACTTCAGACCTCGACCAGATACCAGATCATTGAACAACAAACTCATCATCATCATGTCCGATTGCAGTCTCATTGACCCGTGAAATTTATTCATGGGTTTACATTAGATTTAGCCAAGAAAGGTTTGATGAAATTCATTTTCAAATTATTTTGGGACTATTTTAATCCCTACCTCTCAACGGGTTCTGTTTAGTTCTGTTATTGACCAGTACCTATTATTAGTAGTGGTTAAGATCAGATGTGGAGGTGGTAATAAAAAAACATTGTGTATTGTTAACTGCATCCAGTTATCTTTATATTTACATAACAGTTTGTATTCTGCCTGTTGAAAGTTGCAAGAGTGGAAAGCATTCAATAAATTATAAAGATACCACAATAATAACGGATGGATGATGGTAAACTCTGCCTAAAATAAGAAGAAGAGTACTGAACTGACACTTGTGGATTATTTTCATTCGCAAATAATGTGTACATGTGCATGCAGACTTATCGCATACAATAAAATATGGACGAATACAGACAGATCCAAGTTGTGTATGTATTATGTTGTGTAAGCCTGAATGTTGTGTGTGCATATGCATTGACACTATTACAATTCTGTGGCGTATATATCGCTTTACGCGATCCTACTGCGGTTCAGTTTTATTTTGACTCGTGGGTTGACGAGATGGTTAAAGTGGTATAAAAATAATGCAATAATATTGCTACGTGTTAAGTGAACTGTGAATTGGCAAAGTGTTATTGCACTCGTATGTAAAAAAAACTTTGTACCAACCGTGTTTTTTACGATTGACAAACAATTCCAGAGAGCTTGATAAAAAGTCTGTTTGGTTTTCATACAAAGGTTTCTCTTTGTTTTATTTGCTCGTGACTGACAAATGAATGCGATTTTTGAAGGAAAGGTGCAATTTTTGGGCCAGTTTCATTGAATTTTAGGATTTGTGCTCTTTGTTTCCTTACGGAATAAAGGAAACATTTTCAAGATGAGGCAAGTGTTGGAAAAATAATTTTAAATTGTTGCGTAGTTTACGGTTAATCTCATAGCATTATATTTTACATCCTGTAATTTGACGTCTGTCTTCCCTCGATCTTCTTTCATTTTTAGCTATTTTCATATGAAAATTGCGACTAAAGTAGTGGGCATAATTTTAGTGTAGATCGTCACAATTCGCATAATAAATTGGCTTAAATTCTATGTTATTATGAAACGGTCTTGGATAGTGTGCATGCGCATTTTGAGGTGTATGTGATCTCTGAAATGATATAATACCGTTGAGAAAATATAAAACTAAATTAAGACGGTTGGCAGACAATAAACATCCAACTTGTGATGACAGCTTCCATTTAACAAGTTGAAGGTCGGCTTTAAGAATAAAATATCCTTGGCTTTGGTCAATTATGGTTATTTCTGCTGAGGTGATGATGATTAATAGCAATTTCGTTTGAAGTGTGAACTTGTAAACAATTATTCTCGCCACATGATTATGCCCATCTTCATCTTATGAGATTCAACGCGAGATAAATTATTCACACTTGCTGGAAAAAAGGCTTGTTACAGAGTGACCTCGTATCCCGTCCCTTTTTCATGATGCCGTGTACGAATGTATTGTACACTTGAACCCAACGAACCTTAGAGGGCAATCTTGACAATGAGTTAACAATAACAATCATATTTGGGCCGGATTCGTGTGCCCTGTTACACAGGGTACTATTTCCTTCCCGTTGTTTAAATCAGTCAACTGTGAATAATGTATCTTTGTTACAACACTGGTTGAAGGTTTTCAATTGTTACTCAATATGTACTGATTTGTTGTTCGTCCTTGTTGTCTCCTTGCAGTGGGTGAATGGACTTTCCGGACGTAAACGTGGTCCTGGAACCCATAATATTAGGGGGTCTCGTAATCGAAGAGGACGAAGCCAACCCCGAAGCGTCCAATCGATTCCTTGAGAACTTCAGAAGGAATCAAATCCAAGGAGTGCAAGGTCCTCATGAAGGTGCCCTCGTCCTTATTCGAACGAACGGGCTTCACCATCGCAGAAATTTTATTCTTCCTGCAATAATACCAAACCAGCGTCCAACTCGAAACCACTACATCCCAGCACATCGAAGGTCTGCGATTCCTTTACCGGAAGAAGCCTCACCCCGAGCTTCCACTTCATCGTCATCTCAACTTGCTCACAGTTCGAGCAGTCGTGGGGGAGTTGGAATTGCTAGTGCGAATACGGATGAGATGGGACCTTTTCAAAAACTTTGGAGCTGCGAATGCCCTATTCCAGGGACGCAGCCGTTGATTCCCTGTGCAGATTGCAAGCGGAGAGAGTGTAAGTGCCAAGAATGATGGTGCATGTATTTTTGAAGAACATTTTTTTAATGAAAGCTTATTTGTACAGGTTTCGAATGGACTTGGGACAATGCAAATGGCGATACTACGGCAGTGTTCCAAAATAAAGATAGAGATATAACGTTTAATCCGGGATTTAGCGTAGGTACCGTTGCCGTGAGGGGGATGCATCCGTTGAAACAAGGTTTGACAAACAACACGATTCGTTGACCATATCATGTATTTGCATATCAGATGACCGACTTACTGATCAATGCGTATAATTACTCTTATTCAGGCTATCACCATTACTGGGAAGTCGAAATGAGCAGTGATGTCTACGGGACTGATATGGTAAGAAATACTTTAGGATATTTGGATGATGATGCAATGTTAACTTGTCAAGTTGTTATTTTTGTGGAGACAAATATTGTTAGGAAAAGTTTTTTCTTTGCTACCGCATGATGCGGTAGTTAGTGTTATTTCCCAAAATTCTGTAAACAGATCTCGAGGACCGAGGGTATACAACATTTTGTTCGTTATCTTACTGTTTGTTGTGCTGTTTTATTACGTGTCATGTCAATTGGAACATGACTTGTTGTATAGTTGTACATAGGTAGAAGAGATAAGATAGTTGTGGTCATAATTTCAGATTGTGGAAGCCACATTGGGTTTAAAGTTTAACTTCTTACGACTTCCTTAATAACGTTGACAATTTTTTGCAACTAAGATTACAATGATGTCATTAAAATATGCTTGAGGACACAAGCAACGAGTAAATCCATTGAGCTCAGTTTAATTGGACCAATTTACTTTAATCCCCACAAGTGAAACATTAATATGGCTACCACTTTCATTTATCCAAAGTTCAAAAGGGCAATGCAATCTTGAATGAAGCGACATCGTGACACAAACGTGATATTTGATTAAATAATTCCAGATGATCGGAGTCGGCACAGACAAGACAGATCTGTTGAAATACTCGCATAGCTTCGTGAGCTTAATTGGTCTGGACGATCAGTCGTGGGGTCTATCTTATTTGGGAACAAAACATCACAATGGGAAAGGTTTGTCATCATCATAACTAATTTATTACAGCCATTATATTAAAAACCAATCTAAGACCAACCATTAATCTTGACTTAATTTTAATTAGCTCAACATTACACAAAAAACTTTGGACAGCATACAGTTGTCGGTGTTCATCTGGATTTGTGGTCTGGAACGCTGGAATATTATATCAATCGTAAACCCATTGGTATGTATGCATGTCTGTCTGAGTGAAATGAATTAATATCATGTAACTTTCCATTCATGTGCATGTGGCATGCATTTTCCTGGTGCATGTAAATAAGCCTTTCTTTTGATCATTCATCCGAGATTAGGTGTTAAATATAGCAAATCGTATTTTAGACAATATGAAATGAATAGTTTGCTATATTTTTTACAGGCAAAGCATTTAGTGGACTCCAGGGCAAAGTTTTGTACCCTTTGATCTGCAGGTACATACATATTGAAGATTTTCTTTTTATTTACATGCGCATATACTCCAATAAGTATTGAGCGATTTGATTCATGTTTTTCATTTTCAGCACGGCAGCTCGAAGTGGGATGAATTTAGTATTTTGCCGATCATACCCTGCAACATTGCAACTCCAAACTATGCTTTCACTTGGAAAATCGATGCTTCTTCCTGACAATGTTTCGCTCTTTAAAGTTCTTCCGGATAACATAATCCCTCCCGGACTTAAAGTTTGGATGAAAAACAATTTCTGGTGGATCACATCTAATAAAGAAAAGCAGAAGAAAGGTAAGGAATATAAAACAAAAGCAAATTAAGTGTTATATAAAATCGAATTTTCCGAGAGTTCAACTAACGTCTAATTTTACCAACAGTTGAAACAAAGACTGACAAGAAGCAAAAGACAGCGATCTCCACGTCTATTGAAACTCCTGGACCTAGTCATGGTACCCGTCGCGCCCGTAAAACGAAGAAAGACCAAGAGTCGGATGCAGGAAACGCATTTTCCTTCCATGACCGAGTTACAACTCGAAGCATGGCTGCAAGACGGACATTCATGCCAGGAACTAATCCAATCTTTGCACCTGCACCTGCTGCTGCTGATTGTCCCCTACCTGCAAAATCGCCAAGGGTGTCGCGCGTTTCTGAAATAACAAGACCCGTTACGCGCTCAAGCTCTTCACCCTGCGTACATGATGCACTGAATGACGATGACATGTTGTTGGCCGACGAGAGCGAAAGACCACCTCGAGCATCTTCTTCTGCGTCTAATCAACCCGGAAGCAAGAGAATGTGTCTGAGATCAAACAAAAAGTCCAAATAAAATTCTGTGTTAAAATTGTTAGCTTCAAATATGATAAAACAACACCCGTTTACTATTACTATTTCCCGTTGTTACTCTATCAGAGGTGATAATTTTGTTACATTAATTATGTTATGTATTTAAGACAACTATGGTTGTACATATCCCAACGTTGATACACATAGAGATGGTGCAACTCTAATTGATGCGTTCTTCCTATATGCTACTAATTTAACTATAAACAGTTAGTACTAAATATATACTTACATATATACAATACGAGATGATATTGAGCTAAAATCTAGTTATGATTGCAGTTTGTAATAGCAATTACAATCTCAAAAAGTTGTTACCCATGCGTAAGAAAAGCCATATTCATATACACCCAACTATTCAACCCGACGACTGAATAATTTACTCGTTGTTAGATCTACGTTACTATTGTCCAGTTATGAACACTATCTTGGTTTACCTTTTAATGTCAGAAATAAATAATCACAATACAAAAGTTTAAACAAATGGTTGATTTTATTATTCTGCAATTTGTAAGCTTTTATATTATTATTATAAGTGTAGTATAAGTACTGATTTGATGTTTTGCAATATTAATTAGAGGAGGAAATTTGTAGTTTCAATTAAGCATGGCTGTTAAGCTTATCGCAAGTTCAGGACACCGGTATAATTTCCATTCAAACAAAATTGTTCGGGTGTGATATAAAAGCATTCTTTTGAGTAGATAGATGTGTCTGGGTTAAACATGATTCGATTTACCTACATAAGTGCTCATTAGACTTGCTCCAACGTGCATTTGAGCACTGATTGAGTCAGCATAAGCAGGACTGGAGTTGAGATATGAAATCCGACTAAAAATTTTCAGAAAATCATAATGTTTTTCAGCCATCATAATTTACAGAATGCATAATTAAAAGTGTTATCAATATCACTTTCAGGAAGATAAGTACCTACCTATTTGGGCTGATGAGTGCTGCAGAGAATTCGGAACTTCGAGCACCTTCCTCGAGTTACTGTTACTGCTCGGAATTCGTGGTTGGATTCTGGTTATGGAAGCATCCGCATAAATGTCGTAAAGTGTGGCACGACACTTGATGAAGGTGGGGCCGTAGGAGCTCGTGGGGAGCGTAAAGTAAATCACAGAAATGGTCGAAGATATTCTGTCATCTTCCTCGTCAGGTTCGGTCCGAGTAATTACTCTCTTCGTCACCTGAAAAAATGGTGATGATGCCAATTTAATCATCGATTCACGCACACCAGTCTCTCCTCCAGTTCATTTATGAAGTACCACAAAACCCATAAACTCTAAAATTCTGAGAGGAGATAAAGTATGAAATGTCATCTTTTTAGTATCATAATGATCGTTCTGACCCCGAATGCATTACAGGAGGACAGGACATCAAATATATGTACAGGCTTCATTTGCATTTCAAGTTTTGTCCGTGCATGCACTTGAGGGTCAGATTCAGATATAAAGATGGAGATGATGTGATGATACGAACTTGATGTCTTTCCCCTCGCACAGCCAAGTCAGGCCGTGCTTTATATTACGGAATGTAAAGTAAAAGTACGTTGTGGTGGGTGGCCTTGTTATTCGGCTAGTTTGTGGATGCATAGTCAAACCGTATCGTGGTATTCGTGGTGTACCTATGTATCTTTGTGGGGAAGAGTAAACAGAGAGATAAACCAGGAGTGGAGAGTTTAGAGGTCGTAAGATGATTTCAAATGTCCCATTTTACAAACAAGTCCCCATTTCCGCGATAGAAATGATGGGCAGAGGAAATGGTCATTTGTATGTAAGCGGATTCTCCAGAGATCAAAAACTCAAAACTTTCTCCAGCAGGGTAAAAGTCGAGTTGTCTGAAGTCTGAAGAACGAAACTGGGAATGGTGCACGGCATGATGGTGACTTTGAATGGCTTCCTAGCAATACTTAAAAAACTTTCTTGGCTGAACTGTTGTACATAACACCAACGTTTCACTTTCTCCCCCATATTTAGCACAAACTTGCATATTGGAAAGTGGACTTTTTATTTGCACATGGAGCAGTACATAAGTACGTACGTAAACGCGCAGTTGGGTAGTAGACGAAAAAATATATAGGTTATTAAATTACCTCTTCGTTATTGATGAACCAGGTCATATTGACAGGTGGTGATGTTCGATGCATTCGGCACGTTGCTTCCCCAGGGCTTCCGGGCTCGTAATGTAAATCACGTAGAACTAGTGATGGAGCGTCGTAACCAATTACTATAGAATGGTAAATACAATAGTTATAAAGCAGGGATTATTTCTTCCTGCTATGCATATGTATCTTACCGACAACTGTGATTTCCTTAGAGTCGGATATAGTTTGGAAATTCCCTTCAATTGATACGCTACATTTGTACTAAAATTTACAAAAATCATTACTACAAAAACTTAACCACTAATTTCACCTAAATTAAGTAGTACCTTTCCACTCGTTTCAAATGATGCATTTCTCAATAAAACGTGATGGTCATCAGATCGAAAATACTGCAAATGTTACACTTAAAAGTAATTTCTCTTAATAAATTTTGTATGTAGGACACAAAACTACTCACATCAACGGATATTCCAGTTCCGGGAAACACTTGTTTCGGTCTTAGCTCTTTGGGTATAAATCTGCGAAATAGTAGATAATTTTGTAGTAGTAATTTTTCAGGAATAATAAAAAAAGTTCTCATTTATTTGGATATTTACCTGTAAAACTCTTCAACCCCACGATACCACTTGACCTGTATCAAATATTAAACTTTTAGTCATTAATATCTTTATAACTTGAAACATGAATTAATAATTCACAATGTAAATTATGTTCATTTTAAGTGAATATATTTATTTGTAAAAAGATTCCACCTTTCCAGCGGAAAGTATTTCATACCGCATATAATGTTCCTGCCTCTAAATCATAGCTGCACCGGAGAGTAATTTCTTCCCCGAGTCTATAATTTAAAATATATAATGCATTTCTGTATTTATGCATTTACCATAAACATTTACAACTTAAATTCATGCATGTCCCAACTAAATAAATATTTACCGTGTGTAGCGATACGCTTCAAGCCTAACATCCCTCAGACCTTCAGACTCTGCAATGCAAAGAATTGGCTTGAGATATTTCCCTTCTTATTAGGTTACGCAGATGGTGGTGAGTTTTGTTTCAAATTTTACGACCTTTACATCATCCCAGAAACGGAAAAGTCGTGGAACCTACATGTGTCACGGAGCTCGAGAGAAATCACACCATCGTCTCGAAAGACAAGCGACGACCCAACTTTTACTTTCACCTCTCACTCTCCTCCGCTATCAACCATCAAACCAACAATCAATGAAAACGTCCAAATGGAGAAGAAGAGTGTCGAATTTGGCCGAAATCGAAATGTGAAATGGTTGACTCTAATGTTGGAAGAAATGACGGGACGACTCTCTCTCGCAGTGTCGAACTTTGAGGCTAATGGAGTGAAGTGAAAGCGATATGGATGAGTTAGTTTAGTTACTAACTCACTTTCTCCATACCTCCAAACCACCCACCTTTTGCTTCAGCGGTAACAAAGCCATCCGCATGACGAGAAGGCAGAGAGAGAGCACTTTGGTTCTTGCTGGAATTCCGATTGAACATAGACTTGACTTTACTTTTTCCATCAGGATCGTGTTTGGAATCCTGATATTAGAGCAAAACCTTGTAAACTTGTAATGTGTGTCTTAATGTTCCGGGTTTGATTTGGATTTTCACTAAGTTGTAAGTCAGCCAGTCAGCCTGTCCTGCTTTTCTTTCTTTTTTCGCAATAGTAAATAAGAAGTGTTGTTGTAGCGGTTGTAAACCTGCTGCTTCGATGAAAAATTCGCACATTGAAGGACGGACTTTGTATCCTACACGTGCTGAGTGGAAGGAGAGACATGTTTTTCTTCACGGTAATAAAAGAAAATAATTCCAAAGAAGAAGGTGTACCAACCAACAAATGCTCTCGCCCTGATTTCTCTCCAGATTCCCTCGAGAGTGTCAAAATTGGGTAAATGCGTAAAAATGTGAGAAAGAATTGTTTTAAGACTACGAGTGTCAAGGTTCAGATTTAGAGATGCTTAAAAATTAATTCGACTCCCGTTCTCACCACTTGGCCCAGATTACACGAGTAAATTATTTACTACGGGCTCACTCTTTTATTGCTAAATAAAAAAACGTAAAATATGTAATAGCAATATAAAACAGAGTTGGGCGAGAGGAGGTAAGGAGGTGAGTTGTTGAAATTGGCATATATAAAAATTACATAATATTTTTCATGAGGCAAAATTTCTATAAAGTTTTTCATTTACTTACCTAAAATTTTGAGGAAAAAACTGCTAATACTGAGAAGGTGAAGGATCGTTCGAGGTCCGCAGGAAGCCCAACGCGTTAACAGGTTCATGATTTGTAATTATCACAAAAATTGTCAATTTTCCAATACGTATATCAAACGGTTTTGCTTATTTCTCCACAAGATTCACATCACCACGAATAAACCAGAATTCTCACTTTCCCCACTTACTCTCAAATAACCGAATATTTATCCCTGTCTCCACTTTCTTTCCTTGTTTGAAAGCTTATTACTTATTGAAACAATTCCAGCCACAGGTTTTAGATGAGACAAACTTGAGAAGCCAAAATAATTTGTTGCACTGTCCTTCTCACACCCACGACCACGCACCCACGACCATCACCACCACCACATCCCCTCTCCCAGAATGAATGAATGAATGAACGAGTTGTCAAACTTTGGTGAAAGTATTAATCAATTTCTCTCTCCACTTTCATTTCTGCCACCGATACATTTGTGTGTTGTGTGTGTGTGACTGACACTAAATGCCTGGAAAGTTGTCTCTTTGGGGTAAACGCTACACAACTGATGCTATATGATTTCCCTCTTGTCCACCAAAACCGACCCGAAAACTTATCCAGCCAGCAGAACAACCCGACGACTGACTCTCCTGGGTCGAAGTCGAAGGCAGACTGACACATCGTGAGAGATCAAATTCCCTTCTTGTACCGTATTCCATCTCCGCTTTCCTCCTTACCATCAGTCAGCATCAGAATCATGCCTCCTTTTCTTCTCCCCAAAAGGAATCCTCTCCGTCCGTCCACTTTCTCCCACTGTTTCGCTGTTTTGTGGATTTCTTATTTTTGCGATGCGTACCAGGCTACGTAGTGGAATGAACGAGGTTTATGTAGAATAATGGGCCTGTGGATTGTTCCATAATTACTGGAGAAGATTACCCGGATAATCTGCACGGTGGTGTAGCTACGTACGTATTTATATCGCCAAAAAGCTAGACAAGGATAAACCGCAAGTACAACTTATGTCGTTATATATTTGTTAAATATCGGACTTGACCAGGAAGAAACACGAGTTGGTGTGTGTGTGCAGCTAAAGAAATTAATACTGAAAGAGAAGAATTCTGAAAATAGCCTGCGTTGCGTTGCGTCCTTGTTTTCTTTACTTTCACCAATTCTTCTGCTTGCTGGCTGCGTTATTCAACTGGTTTTCTGGTGTGTGGCCAAATGTATAACGGAATGTTTAGAATGTATATATGTACAAGTGGGCAAACTTGAAAACAAATGTTTTGCAATGTACGACGAGAATTTCTCATCCATTCCCTCGTGTAGGCGAAATAATAGGCCAACAGCTATCCATCCAGTATAAGGTTCTGCTGCGGCCGCTGTCCCCTTTTCAGATCAGTAGGTTACCTACCTCAGACCCAACTTTTTGCTTACCTTTTCCCTGCTGGTGATGTGGCTCTTTACGTCTTTTCGAGAATCTCAAATCCCCACGGACTTTCTGCAACGCTCTCAGAAATTAGGTAAAAGTCCATTCAACGCTTCAAGATTTCATCTAAAAATTCCTTCCCCTCTTGTTCTTCTTGTTCATCCAGTATGTAGCGAAATGTGAGAGAACAATCTCTAACTCGACGCGACTCGTGGCCCAATAAATTTGAAATTCGCATTTCTTCGCTGCGGCAGTCGTTCTGTTTCTGCGGGAGTGAGCGAGTATGTATGTGGTCAAAACTCTGGTCCAACTTGAAAACAATTTCAAACTAAGAACAGAGAAGAAGAACAACTGACCGACCTACAGACCTAGAACTTGGTCTCTACTAAAAACTCTGAATGAATCACAACATTCCAAATTGGTCTTGTTTTATGCAGCACTCTCATTCTCCCAGTTTTCTCGGCTTTATTTCACATTTATGTACGACGCGGACGCTGACCGACTCAGCATCCATCCATATATTTTGGACCAGTTTTACAATGTATGGATGTAGTTTGGGTTCCCTCTGCTATGCCAGAAATTCCAGTGTTGCTGCTAAATGGAAGGGATGGAAATTCCTTCTAGATTTCTCCTTATTAAAAATTTGTGCGAAGACTTGGGAAAATATTTCATGCATAGAATGTAGAATGATGCACGAGGACGGAGAAGAAGGAGCTGCTGCTGTTGATCTCAGACATTCTTGACTTTTATCTTATCTTGACTCCTATTAAAATGTCTCCAGCTAATAGAAGAACTTAGAAAGCAACATTAAAGACTTAAGATTTGGCTCTCTCTCTTCTTAACTAGATATGTTTTGGAGTGAAAGATTTCCAGACCATATTTCCAATTAGATTACATAACTTTCATCATATCGCAATTTATTTCACACACATAAACACACACAGCTTTAAGAGTAAACAACCGACTTTTTAAATCGGATTCATCAATATTGAGTAGCAATGCATAAACTGGTTGCAATTTTGGAAATCTTGAGCTAATCTCCGAAACTGGGTGGAGAGGGATGCAAAAAGAAAGTGAAAATCCTCCTGCAAACTTTTCCACTGCTGCAAAAAAAGTGAAAGGTGTGGCTGGCAAGCGACAACTCCAAATCTGCCAAAGAAATGGACAGAAAAAGTCGAATGTCAAAAAGATAAATTGACCTTGCGATGAGTTTTGTTTCTGAACTTGGGCAAGTATTTTTCATGCTTTTACTACTACAACTGGGTGGTTGGTTATGTATATTTTGTGAAGGATACGGCTCCGCTGGATAATAATACAAAAAATATACGTCTTTGCTACAAGGAGTACCGAGTGTAAGTTGATTGGTTGGTGGGTGTGTACTACAATTAATTGCGTTGGAACCACGTTACGGAAATTTCTTGAAAAATATATATATTTCAAACACTGTAACAATTTGGGACAAATAGGTGGTTAATGGAACCGTTCAAGATGGAAGATCCGTCTCCCAGGCATATTTATCGATCTTTATGTGCTTATCCGTTAATATGTCGATCTATTGAGGTAATATGGATATCTTAAATTTACAAGCATGAATGGTGTAATGCTTGCCAATATCATATAATGCAGGAAAAGACATACAGGAAATCTTAGTATTTATAAAAAATCTCAAAGTCTGTCTTCTTTTATAGTTATTTTTAGTTATTTCCTTTACAACCCCCACAAGTATTACGATAACATAATTTAAAAACTTTTTAAGTGGGTAATATTTATAAAGTTGACAAATTACTTTAATCTAACTTATTTAACTCTTTATTTTTGTTAACTTATTAAAAACACGAAATTTGATGCCACGTCAATAATTTGTAAATATTTTTCATTTTCTCTTTACTTTTCACTGCGTACATATGTGTACATATTTACATATACTTTGTTTGCATCACAGAAAAACCTCACTGCCTTTGAATTAAAATCACCAAAAATATATAACTTTTGCACAGGATAACTAGTAAAAGTTGTAATTTTATATTCACTCTTAAATTTTAAAAAGTAATTATAAACAGTGTGTTATATCACCATTATTTATTTCACGTCCTCCATTCATATTCCATTATACGTGTTCAGAGCGAATTTAGCTGGCTGGTTGTACTTATGTCCATATTATGGATGGACTTTCCAAATTGCACGGACGTACAGCACAGAAAAAGAAAAAAAAGAAACCGAAAGTGGAGTGCATTTTCCTTGCAAGAAATGGGAAAGAAAGTTACTTCATTAATCTAAAGGTTGGAGATGGTCATTTATTTTTGTTTTTCTTCCCGAGACAACAAGAAGGTAGACAAATTGGACATTCTGGCAGGCAGACTTGCTCCTCGTAATCCCAATTTTTTCGCTTAACCTCCACGTACATAGAAAGATATGAGATATTTGACAGAAAAATACACCTACTTACATGTTCTTGCAACTGGCACAACCTGTTATGCATTCTGTTATATATTTCCAAGTTTTTCACGTAAAATTATTGGTCATCTCAAAATTTTGGGTATGCCAGAGCCATGTATTAGCAATGGGATGAATTAGCTCCATAAATTCCCGTAACAATCCATTTAATTTTCACTGTAACATGAGACTTAAGCAGTTGGCCGACGCTAGCATAACCATATCGCAATAAGTACAATGAACGAAGAATAGAAAATTCTGTGGGGTGTGATGAACAGATGATTGCAAAAATTAAGTAAGTACCAGATATGTTCCATCCATTCGGAGAAGATGTGAATGAAACGTAAGGCTTTTGAGATTCCCAAAATGTTGGATTGCCAGCAATGGTGGTAATGGTAATTTGGAAGGAATGCGAGTAAACACGAGTCCCAGTTAGATAACCTTACGACTTGATGAAGGGAATAAGTAAGTATTTCCGTAATACATATTTTGGTCTCATTTGACCTCTAAATTATATAACAGCTTAAAATAGGTACATACATATCAATATATGTCATGTGTCACAATTTGCTTTTAGTGGTGTGTACCTAATTGCAAAATAAATTTGCATACGTGCAAAATTATTTTTATTTTAAGCAAATACTTAATTGAGGGGTAGAGGTTTTTGCCCTGTTTTTGCACTAATGGGAATGAGAACCATCATGCAAAGCATGGTAAAGTCCATACTTTGATTAACGGGTGCCAATTCCGTTCCCTCTTGATATTACCATCCTTATAAAACACGTCCATTTCCACTGCAGTAACCAGTCCGACCAGACCCACATATTTAGCAGTGGAACGTCAAGAGCTTGTGTGAATGTTGCCCTGTGTTGAAAAAAGGCAAAGCTCAATCCGCAACTCTTGGCGAAATGAAACAAGTTGCGAATCGAGAGAGGAATAGACGAAGCCAAAAACAGAGAGAGGATAGATTGAGGAAGCATTTACCTGTAACTCCAATGTGGTTGCAGGCAGGTCTCGGTTGCCATATATGTTACCACCCAGTGATAGAAAACTTCAGAAAATAGCACAAATATTTTGTGGAAATTTCATGTGAATTTTTTAATTGTCCGTAACATACAATGCGTAAAAATTTGTTAAGGAGCATTATCACAGGCTTCTTTTACAGCCGAAACTTCCGGGAACATATCCCCACCTCCCCAATATGTACTAAACCACCCACTTGGTATACCTTTTAAAGGGCCGTTCATAAGTAAGTAATAGGAACAATACAATACGAATTTATTAATTCGATATGTTCCCGGAAATTGTCAAAATTCCAATTTTCATCCACCCCGTATGTACTATGCACCGCTATCTGCTCCAAACAATACTACCCACTTTCAAAAGGAATTAAAGCCATAGTTAGTTGAATAAGTGCAAATACGGATCTCAATTTTTAATCCAAACTTGCTAAAGAAAGCTCATCTGGATGTAGATGAGTTTGAGAAGAAGTGATGAGGAGCTAGAGCTGAATTACTGCACAGAATCTCTAGAATAGAAGAGTTGGCAGACTTAATTAAAACGCAATGACATCCAACCAAACCAAGGTACTTGTGGAAACCAACTTCATCTCTTTTCCTTCAATTTCCAAATTTTCTTCTTGTAACTCCCAAACTGTTCTCGAACAAATGGGACAAACGGGGACAGAGGCGATGACATCGACCTTATACGAACGATGCCAACAACCGCACGTCCCACCTTACCCAATGCTTGGGTAAGATATATAATGTAAGTTAACAACAGTAAGTACGTTGGCAAGATAGGGATCCCTTAAGAGAAGAAATGTGCACTTCTTGGTTGTTTTTGTTCCCTGGAATCAATCCAGCATTTAGGACGACGTTTCCCCTGCTCCAACTAAAATAGTTGGATTCGGAATCCTAAATAATAATGGAACTTCTTCTTCCTCGCCTGTTTTATAAAGCATTTGAAGCTCTCTCACACACACTTCTCCAGTCACTCGACTTAAATCTGATGGAATATATTTATGAAGTGAGTAAGCAAGCAAAGTGTGGATGGAAATCTGCTTCGAGATAATTTCCATCTCTCCAATCCTGGAAATCCGAATCTGTCACCACCACGCGGAACGACAGCGTCAGATCCCTGCCTCCTGCCAATGAACATTTTCGACGAGTCATCTCCTAAGATTTTATCTCCTATGCGTTCCTTACTTTACAACTTTTAGCTGCACAAATGCCAGAATAATAACGACTTGTTAAATGGCTAAAATATTGGTTCCGACCGGATTTAATGTATTCTTTTCAATCCTCGTGTAATTGTTGAGAGAGATTTTTTTAGAAAATATTTAAATTCCTAATTTAATTTCCTGAAAATTGGGCAGATTCATTTATTTGCATTTCACTCACTTTATGCTGTGTTACAGAATTAAGAAAATAATTAATTTGCACCAATTTTCTTATTTTAGGTATCAACTTCCCCTTGAATCGAATTCCTCGTTTATTTATCACTCGTCCCCATTTAAATTTGTGTCGTTTTACTTACCAAGGATTTTATTTAGTGACACTGATGATTTTGTGAGTATGCAACAGTGTTATGCATGAAATGAAAGTGGAGAAGGGTTACTCGGTCGTCGGAAGAATGAAACAAATGAGATGTTGTGTTTCCTTTGGTGGACGCGAAGGGAATAATAGAATAAAAGAAAATGGTAATGGATATTGCCCACTCGTCGTATTATTTGTCCCTGTCCTCATAAACAACGGTTGGTTAGTGACAATGTACTGTGGCTGGTGGTGGTCCGTCGGTCCTCTCCTTTCTCCGCCGTCGACAATTATCAAAGTTTATCTCATCTCATCTTATCTCGCTTTATGGCCCGTTCCTCTCCCCTCGAGGGAAAGACGATACAAAACCACGGCTCGGTAACTTTCTTTCTCCTTGCAGAGAGTGCAAATTGACACTTTTTTGGCCAATTAAAAAACCAGGGTTATGATAAGGTTGTTTATTACATGTATAAAAAATACCTACAGTGTAAAACTTGATTTAGCCCGAGTCAGGGTCAGAGTAGTATTTTTAATTTTTGTCTGATGACACATAGACAATTGCCATAATACGGGGTGTTCTTACCATAATTATACAAATATTAGCAAAAAGCTTGATATGTTCCCGGAAATTGTTGAAATTCCATTAAGACCCCTCTATGGAAATGCCGTCTGTCTGTCTGTATCCAAGATAGCTTCAGAACGGATTAGAATTTCGACATGCGGTTTTCGCCAACGTGTTTTAAATTTTTGAAGTACGGATGATTTCGAAGATGGGCGTTATAGGTCATAAGGTCACGACGCCACGGTGATGACGCCAACGGTCAAACGTGTCGAACTTTTTGTTTCCACCGTTTTAGACGCAGTTTTGGGCGGGGGTTTTAAAAACCACCATAATTTCGGCGTGCGACGATCCCATGACCGTGTGGGTGGTGTCGAATGTCGAAAAATGACTTTTGTCATGTGGGGTGTCTATTGAAAGGTATGGTTATATACGTTCGAAGTACGTGGGTGGGGTGTCAAAACGGGGCAAAATGAGACTTTGGGTGATGTGAGACAATGACGGGAAAGTGTTGAAAGACGTTGTGGGCGTGCCACAAAGACAATTCCACGTGTTTTCACCCCTTCGCTACATCTCGTTTGCAACGGTTTATTCTCATCCACCCGGCTATGTTCTTACCATGACTATACAGGGATAAATATTAGCAAAAAGCTTGATATGTTCCCGGAAATTGTCAAAATTCCATTATTCTCACCCACCCCGCTATCTACCGTTATCTGCTCCAAACAATAATACCCAATTTCAAAATATTAAGTTGGTCAAAATCGGTCTAGTGGACCGTCTGCTAGCCTGGCCCAGACTAAAAATTGGACTATTTCTCAATTGAAACGATGATTATACCAACACTTTAATAACATCTAAACTGTTTCATCACTAATTTCGACACTCATAATTTATTGTCAGCCTCGAAGTCACAGTTTTGTGGAACTTTAATGCACCCCATAACTTTTGCTCAAATAAGTAAACAAGAGCTTGATCCCAGTCTCGTTTCACTGGAGAGAAAGAGCAAGTCTCAAATTCGTCCCATTCATCTTCAGCCCTTGTCACTTGCATTAACAAATATTACTGCACTTTAATAGGTTTGCGATGCGTGGTGCTGGTGAGACGGTGACTTTGACTTGTGACAATTTTATCGAGGGTAAGTAAGCAAGAGAGCCAGCAGTGGTGCAGTCACATTACATTCATCTCTGACTCTGATTTAGGGGGAAGTGGACCTAGACCCAGAAGAGAAACTGGGAGAAAAAGTGTGAAACATTTCCAGCCTTGGATGCTGAACCTAGCACACTTTTTGCCTCAGTCAGAACTTAAAGTTAAATCCATTTAAGAGCAAAAATAAAAAAAATCGAATGAAAAAAACTTGGGACAACCAAGAGGAGGAAAAACCGCTGGTACAAATGCCATAAGATTTATCTCCCATTTCAAATCGCTTAATGCAATCCATTTTTCTAAGTGGGGAAAACACTTGAAAAATGCATTCATTCCAGTTTTCAGCCCTCTTACAAACTTCCTTATTTCAGAAGAAATGCACTTCCTGCTATAAGTAAAAATAACTTCGACTGACACTTAAATTCCAATTCAAACATCATCTCATTAGCACCATTAACGGAAATATAGGCCTTCTTTGATGCAAAAAAAACAGTAAATAAATGCAGCAAGCAATATGTAAGGAGAGACCCGTTTAATTAGTTTGGCTAGGCTTTTATTCTTACAGTTAGGATAGAAACGTGTCTTTTTTCCTCTACTTTCTCGGCAGTTTAGTAATCCGGATCTGGAGAAGCAGATGGGGTGGTGGTTCTCCTTCGACGCTTTCTCGGCTTCTCGGTTGTCGAATCTGAGGATGCCTGGTTTGCACTCAGGGCACTCTGCAAATCCGGATAGTACATGTTGTTCACAATGACGGGTCGTTTATTCCCAGCAGAGACGGAGGCAATGCTACCTGTTCCACCACCACCAACGAGATAATTCGACGAGGGGACAACTGGACTCGTTTCCGTGACCAGATGCGATGATGATGGTAATGATGGTTGTTTTGTGGAGGTGGTGGTGGGTCGAGTGTAGGGTGGACGCGTTTCCTTGGGTGGGACAAAATAAGACGTTGTGGGTCTGGGGGGTGGGACATGGCGAAAAGTTGTGGTTATTTCGTGGGGTGATTGGAATTCTTTATCATAAATTGGCGTTATTTTATGATGAATGACATAAGATGAGCGTGGCGTGCTGGGGTAGGTATAACTTGGGCGACCACCATATTGTAGTTCTGACTCTGGTTGTAATTCTAATGTTGCTGGTGTCGATGTTTTGGATTTTATGTGGGCAATGGCTTGCCATAATGATGCAGATACTGGAGAAATGTGTTGGTTATGCAGCCCAGGGTAGGAAGAAATTTGGTGTCGGTGTGGGGCCGATGGTGGGGGCGGAAAAATAGGGGCCTCCTGCTCTACTGGTTTGGAAGGAATGTTAAATGTTGGCCTGTGGGGTTGAATATCAGCGGAAATTGGACTTTCACTGTATGAATCTTCATCTTCTTCAACAGTGCTTGCAAATGCTGGGATTGGTGCGAAAGTACTACTGCTGGGTGATTTCAGTTTGTTTAACGTGCTGGAAAATGAGCTCAATAACTCGGAGTGAAATCCTGAATTTAATATGTTGTTGTTGAATGGTGGCTCTACTTTTGGAGGAGGAGGAGGAGGTTCAGGTACTGGTACGAACGGTGCGTAAGTTTCCCTTGGCGCGGTTGGTGCTACCGTGGTCGTCGTGGTCGTGGTCGTCGTCTTAGGTTTCGTCCTCCGTGGTGGTGGTGCTGGGAAAAATTGACCGTTTTCTCCCGAATTCGATGCCGCAGCGGGCGGACCGACAAATTGGACGGTGAAAGGGTTGTAGCCGACCTCAATGGGAACAGCGGGTAGGGCTGATCGTCTCGTAGGCTTTAACGTGGTACTTCGTGGGATAAGAGTTGGTCGTTGGTGGCGCTGCCCTTGCGATAAGCTGTTGGCCGGGTAATTAACCGACCCCGCGACTGGTCTGGCAGGGGGTAAGTTAAAGTATGGAGGTGGCGTTGGGGCTTGAGGCTTGATCCCCACGACTTGCCCAACCTGCCCAAACAAGTTCGTCACCCCACTTAAAATCCAGTTTGGAAGACTTTGACTCTGACCGGCGGAGGACTGATTGACGACTTGGTTTATTCCGGTGAAAGCCTCGGTTAAAATCCCGAGTACTTGGGGGACTCCACTTTGAAGAGTCTCCGCAACGAAGCCGGGCTCCTCCTCCCCTCCGTCGCCATCTTCTTGTTTGGGGATTCTTTTGTGATAGTAGCTCGCACAAATCAGATACTGGAACAACATATTTATTATAGTAGCGTTACATTTGCATATTTAATTATAACGTTAAAAGCATAATTGTCACCTCTTCAAAATTTCGTTGAAACAGATTGGTGCACTCGGCTCCTCCTGCAGAGGAGAAAACATTCTTTATCCGGGCTAGTTGGTCATCCGACAGGGTGGAAAATACCGTTCCTGCATCGTGACTCGTTAGGGCGGAAGAAGTACCTGCGACATTCTTCACAGGAATTTTATTAGAAAAATCAATTACTTAATTAAAATTATAATTGAATTATGATCTTACCAACAATCCAGCAATCGCAAATATAATTAAACTTTCAACTCCCCGTAGTTTTAGCTGCATTTCAAATTCAGTTGAAGCTACTGTAAAAGAACTGCATAAATGATTGCTATGAATGTGCCAAAAAACATGCAGGATTGCCCGATTGCACTGGTATTCCCAATAAAAGTGGCATATTTCCACAACGGTCTACAATCTGTTAACATTACAGAAAGCGGCATAATTGACCTCCTCCGTAGCAAACATGACATCACTTTGTCTTTCTATTATTCCACCAAATCTGCAAACAATCATTCCCCATGCATATTTATGATGGATGTGGACTACAAATCTACAAATCTCATATTTCCTCTGCTCTTCAAATTAATGCACTTTTATTGAGAACAATAATTTTATTATGTTTAACTCCAAATTTAGACATATTATTGTTGGATTTTTAGTCTGCAAAGTCAGATAAGCTCTCTTCTACTTATCTTGCGGATAAACGACACCAATCTGTTTCCTAATTTGTTCCCGAATCTCAGCAATCAGAATGGATTCATCCAAAGTCATTTCGGGACTCTCGGTCAATCCTATAGCACACACAAATTGTTCATTTTATTGATCCACCATTCCCCCATTGTCCACACGTTTATACAGATATTTCATGCATAAAGTATATCAAACGTACCTTCTTGAATGCACCTTCTCACTTCCCGACATTGATACGAAAGGCCGGTGCTGTTCCAGAAATTGATTTTCATGTCTGATTTTGGAAGTTCAAACTCCAGCTTTTCCGTCGGCGTCTCCAATTTACTCGAAGACCAGAACGGGTATGGCAACTGCAAAACGTTGTCCGATTATACGACGTCATCATAAAAATAATAGGTGCGAGGGATACATTTGGTCAAATAGAAAAGTGGCCATTCGACTTATTCCGTGAAGAGGGAAAATATCAAGAAAGGTCATTTGCATAATCGTAACATTACATTACAACCCTTCTACAGAAAGTGTAAAGTGATACTCGAGAGAAGATGCAGTAAGAGTGACCATTTCGACGGCTCTATTACTTTTATGGGAAAAATTGTTATTTCACATTTCGGAAAAATTCCATATGCCGTCGAAACCTAAATATACCCAAATCCGATGGATAATTTTCGGTAGCACAATATTTAGTAAAATCACAACCTCTCTCTTTAGCAAAGTACTTGATAATAGTCTCCAAATTGCTACTACCACCGTCCAGCGAAATCAGAGAAAGGGTCACACTTACGACCGAAATAAAAGTGGTCTTAATGGAATTGCTACCTTTAATGTGCCCTTTGTCCCAACAACGATCGCTTCAGATGGCAGATTCACTCGACTGTGGGTAATTAGCGTCGCAGTCTTTCCATTTGGAAAAATGACCGTTGCACTGCTACTGTCATCTGCACCAGAGGCGTTCATATGGCCTCCCGCAATTACTTTAACCGGCTTCAACCCTTTAAAGCACATTGTGGCAAATTGCACCGTGTAAGTGCCCATGTCCAGCACGGTCCCCCCACCGTTCTCACGGTCCCTGTGGGAAAAGAAAGAAAAGAGCTTCAGACTTGATAAATAAATACTTTGTGGATCATGTAGATAAAGATTTGACATAATCCTAAAACCGCTTTTAACTAGTTTATATGTACCTTCGCCAATTATCCTCGCCAAATTCGATCCCCATTTCTGCACGGACTTGGATCACCTCTCCAACCGTACCTTTCGCAATTTCTTCCCGAAGTCTGATGTAAGCTGGGAAGAATCTGCTCCAGATAGCCTTGATATCAAGTACATACAAACGTGAATTACATACAAATCAGCAATCATTATTAATCATAAAATGTCATACGATATGGACATGTATGAGCAAAATAATTTGACGACAACGACAAACTAACCTCCATAAAAAAGACCTTTTTCTTGCGAGCATACTCGACCAGTTCTTTCGTTTCTTTCACATTCATGGCTAATGGTTTTTCACACAAGACGTGTTTCCCTTGATCAAGAATGAGCTTGCAGATGCGAAGATGTTCCGTGTGCAGAATGCCCACATAGACAACATCTAAACACAAGAACAGAATTATTAGACTTGATTTTCGACAGAACTTGTATTTCTTCTCGACTGGCTTTTATTTGATGAATCTTTTTTTTTTACAAAAACGTACCTCTCTATCCCAAATCTAGTAGATAAATACTTATAAGATCAGAGTAGGTACAGTACAAATAATAAAACTATGAGCAGTTAATTTTAATTGTGCATAATTACTTTAAGCAAACAAAAAATTTTAACACTACATTTTAAGTCTTCGTCATTGTATGACTGTTTGAATTAATTGAAAGATATGTACATATTGTGTAATACTCACAGAGAATGGACTACGTAAACATGTGCTAACTGAATGATAGCACGTTTTGCACTCAAACCCATAAACATGTTAACATTCATCCGATGACAACTTACCGACATCGCCATCCTTGATCAAATCTTCGTACGTGTTATGAACTTTAGGAATATTATGCACTTGTGCAAACTTCTTGGCCCTGTCGACAGCTCGGGCAGCAACGGCAACAATTTCATGCTCATTTTTTGGCAAGGTGGCCACAGCTACGGCCCAGTCATGACTAATCTCACCTGCCCCAATGATACCCCACCTTGTCGCCTTATTTTTTCCGGACATGTCTTTGGGATGGGTCAAATTAAAACGAGGTAGATATTTAGTGAGTCTGTTTTTTAAAAAAGTTGGTAAAAATGTCGGCTAATTTCTTTTTGTAATTTTATTGCCCAAGGGGATCAGATAGAATTCAAGGGTGGTTTAACAGCTCGTATGCTACAATAATGTGATGTCACGTTGCTTTTATATTCTCGTGTCCTATTCTGTCTCCAGTTATGACGTGAGTTGGGGTTTTATTATCTGGAGTGCTGGATGAATGACAACTTGATTCTTCTTGATGGACCCGGTCTGTGTTATCTTTTTCCAAATAATAACCCAAGTGGCTCGGTGGTCGATAGAGTAAACATGTGCAAATTATCAGAGCATGATGATGATATGATGGACGTTCTATTGGCAAAAGGCAAATCTTGACTTGGCATTGATTGCCAATAAAAATGAGAACGTTGAAATGAATGGCATGTATACACAGACGTGATGAATTGCTTTGTGGTCTGGTCATCTATCGCTTTAATCAAATCAATAAAACTCTTCACTTTTTAAACTATGATGGCATAAAAATCATTATCTTTAACTGCGTCGTCAAATTAACCTTTGTCGTCATTGAACTCGGTCGTGACGTTGCGGAACGAACAAATTATTTGTCCATTATACGACCACGACCACGTTTTGGGAGGCTGAAAGTCATGCCGTGAACGTGATGTCAGAGATTAATGAAAATTATTGTGGTGGTTTGGTTGTCGATTCGGTATATGAAATTATTTGGCTAAAAATTATGTAAGAATTAGCATCGAACAAAATATTTTTTTAACTGTTTCATGATAAAAACTCGTTTTTTATTATTCAGTAACATGTATCATTTCTTTACAAGTTGATTAAAATTGATCATCATCATTAGGCAAAATTAAATAAGACAGAGAATCCGTTGAGATTATGGGTTAGTATGTATATGTATGCACATATAATTATAATCATGTCATGTTGTGCTGGTTGCATAATAATCACACTCTTTGATTACTCCAGACTAAACTTCAAGTTTCAGGTTGGCAAAAAGATATACTAATGCAGATGACCACATACAAACACAACAAGAAAATGCAATAAAGGCGATGAAGGATGAAGTCATGTCCAAAATTGTGTACATATGTATGTCCTATGACTTCACATCCAACCAAGATTTTGGCATCTGTAGGCAAATCGACAAGTAAATATTTGTAATTTCTAGTTTTTCACTCGCTTGAAGAAGACATTATTTCATAGCAAGCAAGAAAACGCTGTATATTGTTTATATCATTTCAAGTTTTATTTGGTTCAAGGCGTGTGGAAATTGAGTGGAGGGATTATGCGAATTTGCGAAACCACATTTTTGTTAAAATCCTGTAAATTAAAACATAATAACTGGAACTGCATTTGTAAGTCGAGTTAATTATGATTTGAATCACGGAGCATGTGTTGTATTTCTCACGAATAATTGTTGTTGTAGTTAATTAAGTACTAATCAACATTCTGGTGTATAAAGATGGCCAACACTATTTGGGAGTAGTTAATATGCATTAGATAATCCTATCTGCCTAATGAATCTTAAATTCTTTAGCTGAATCATTTCTTAGCAGATTATGTATGTCAAATCATCGCCTTAAAATATGACACAAAAACTGCAATAAAACTTAAACATTACAGAACTTACATCGTCTAATGCGCACAAAATCTCTCACAAAATTTATGTATTTTACGTGTGTCTCATCATTATTTCCTTTGTTGCAATTTCACCGCAATTTTTTACACATACCTCCACAATCCATTCATGTTATTCGCAATTTATTCAATTATTTTCTTTTGGCAGCCCACTGACAGAGATCAGTGGATGCATACTACACACATACGCCAAACTATTAACAATTTTCGACATGGACTCAGGAAACTTCCCACCTGCCAAAAAAAATGGGTCTTTAGTGGTAAATTATTGACAAACTTATTAGCGTCAAAAGAAAGAAATAACCCGCTTTGTACAGAAATGTCGGCAATTATTAACCTTGTTATGTGAGGGCACAAATCAAGGGGTGCAAATGTAGACTTCCGTCCCTCCCGATATCCACCATTTATCAATAGGATAGGATTTAGTGGTGAGTGTGCTGCATTTATTTGATTTGGAGCAGTAAAGTATTCTCTTATCTCTTCATCCTCCTCCTTCTCTTCATCACGTCCGGTTGGATCAGAGATCAAAAAGAGGAGATGAAGAAAGTTGCTACAACATTGTCCAACTTTGCGTCGTTATAAACTTATTGCTAACATGACAGGACTAGACCACCCACCTTAGCCTAACTTATTTATTAGCTTACTACCGTGAATCCCAAAATAATTGGTACACACATTCCCTCTGATCTGACATTACTCCGTAAATATCCAAGCAATCAAAATAATTTTTTTCCTGTGTGTACAACAGATTTCCGACGAAGAACACATAATAATGTGCAATTTTTTTGCCAGAACAAATACCCTCCCACATCCACTACTAACCACTTACGTGCATTACTTGACAAAGAGGAGGAAACTATTTTCATTGTTTAACTAAAGTACCTCATTTCTATGATGATGATAATGTAGATGTGCAGAAAGATATGTAGACCACTACACACATACCTTTTGCTACCTCCTTGTCTTTGACTCATACTTCAAGTAAGATTAGTTGGCCATTAAGTGGTACTCTGGTCTTCTTTCTTCTTCTTATTTCACCTTTTGTCCAGTCCAGTCCTACTACTCACCAACCAACCACCAAACCAAACGAAACCAGTAAAGCCAAACCATTATCAAGAAGGAGTTAAGTATAATGTGTAGTTAGTTCGTAGTAAAAGAGTTCGCAAAGACCAAACCAAAACCACTTGACTCCTTGGCCCGATCTGCTTCTCTTGCTTCTGCTTCTCTTCAGGAATGGAAGAAGGAACATTGAGTTGCGTCTTTGTTGAGTTTTTCATCGACTTTTTCCACATCTCTTCATGTTCTACTCTTAGCGAGTGTGTGACTGCTCTACAAAAAGAAGTAAGTTTGGTTTCGTGTAGCTTGTGCTACACAAGGCGCCTCCGAGATACTACATAGTGAACATACATAGTACAGCAGATTTGGGAGAACTGAGAACACACGGAACTCGGCAGCCAGGCAAGACTGGGTTGATCTCTTCCATTCCACCCTCGACTTTAGCCTGCTTCACTCCACTTTCGGGGAAACGGCTCCATTTATTCGGACTCCAACTTTTCCTACGGAGTGACTCAAGTGAGACGAGCACCACACATACACACTTGGCAGAGGCACACATACGAACGTATCCACCAGTGGATGAGAAGATAGCCAAATTACAATTTCAAATTTTCAAGTCGAGAATTGAGATCTCTTCGTTTCCGGGTGTTCGACATCTTCTCGCTCAGCAACCAGAGACAAATTGCTGTTCTATAGTTCAAGAAAGTGAAAGTGGTCAGCACAGCACTACTGGAAAAGACAGCAAAAGACTTTATTGCAGCGAGGAGGAGGGAGAAAGTTGCCAACTTTATAATGTGCTAATACATACGTACGTACGGGGAGGATAACATGCTAAAAAAAGTTTGTATTTTTTTGCGACCACTATTATAAAATTCGAGTCGAATTGACCAACTTATCAACAAGCTCGTTACGCATTACCCTCCACGGCTGCTCGGGTTTTGAGTGACTAAATAAAAGGGAGAGCGAGTTAAGAAGCACGTGCGGAAGTGTCTCATTCATTTCTCCCAGAATTTTGGGCATGCATGTGTATGTGGGTAAAAGTGAAAGTAAAAGTTTCCCCTGAAAAAACTTGGCTGGATTTTTTAAATTTTCTTATTGACAAGAGTTTACCAACTTTCCCTGTAATTTACTAGAAGAGATGTATTTTCCATCGAATCAACAGCATAATTGAGACTACATATTGCGTGTTTCGCTGTAAAAAAAAGTTGAGATAGAAGCGAGATGGAGACATTTTATACACAATTTCTTCTCCCATCTTCAACCAGTGGCACATCGACAAGGGTAAAAATGAGTTCGATATTGCTCCTCGTCTTTACATTACTTATCACAGGTAAGCAGTATTTAGTAGTAAATATCTGGTTAATTTATGGCATCCACGATTTGCAGGGGAGAATAGATAAAACCCCCTGTTTGCTAACTAAATAAGGTTCAAAAATTTTCTCAAAACTGCGTGGGAGATATTTATATTTTATGTGCCGTGGTTGAGCACACACTCACTTAGCTCATGATCATCTCCCCATTTCATGCTTTGGTTGGACAGTGATGGAACTGTTACTTTCTCCCGAAGAGACGTAGTATAGCAATTGAATTCATGCGATGCTGAAATACTGAAGTCCAAATCAAACATGAAATTTGGAATCCATTACTGGGACGTGTGTGAATTGAAGGTTCTTCTTCTGGAGATATCCTGGTAGTGCTGGATGGATGGCTGGATAGCTACCCCTCCGCCTTGTTCGTAACTTACATATCTCCACGTACGTGACGGTGTTTCACTTTCTCTCAGATTTGCTGGGAAGGGAAAGAGACAAGGAAGAGCAAATATTTGATGAGGAATTACACACAATGCAATCTCAATCCCATCCAATGTCAAATGTTCAGACCAAACTCGATCCAATTCAATTCCCTCTTCACTGAAGAAACTACTCTCTCAGTCTGCACAGTTCTGTTTGTTTTACCATTTTCAGTGGATATATCGGTTTCAGCGAGGGGATAGAAACTTTGAAAATGGGATGATGGGTGTAGGAGTGGGATCAAATTGGCAAATTCCATCCCGGCCAGTTCCCTCGGACGAGGGGGGAAGGAAGGCAGGAGAGATTTAGTATTTATTAGATGTACAAATAATTCTGGTCAATTTCGCCACTTGCGAATATTCCATAAATCTACCTCGTTGGTGCAAATGGGTTCAATCCCTACTATCACGTTTAGCGGGGCTTATATAATGAACACCAAATTTCATTGAATGCCGACACAACCCCGCCGGTTTTCACACCTTCTTCGTGTAAAGATGAAAGGGAAATTTTGATCGGGAAAGTATATAACATAAGTTCCAGTTGTATACGTAACTATTCGAGTCCATAGAATTACTTATAACGCCTTTGTGTCAGTGACTTGTTTTATTAATAAATACAACAAACACGGTAAATACGCCGTGTTTCATAATTTAATTGTGTTTTAGCTTTCTCCGCTCGAGTTTGTTTGAGAAAGGGATTTACCCGTTTTGTTGTTGCTTCACCTCCAAAACTAAATAAGGATCAAGAGGTAAAACAGCTTCAGCGTAATTCTACGTACATATGATAGCGGCGGCTTATTTACTCAGGCCGTGTATACCTTTTACTTACCTGCGTATGAATGTGTACCTACGTAAGTGCCTTAGGTGCACATACCTACTTTTGTACCTACTTGCGTACACTAATCCATGAACAAATAAGATTTACATTTGTTCAATACGCAAGAATTCCCCACTCTTGTTTGCAAATACAGGGAAACACAATCAGCTAATGTGTACTCGTGTCGACTGTTATAAATAAATTTTATGTAGGAGGGGTCCACCGAGATCATTTGCAGGATGGGTTGGATTTTAGGATTTTTTTTCGATACCGATGATGATGCGATGCATTTTATTGCTTTTCTTATATAAAGTCACTTTATTACTTTTTTTCTGAGATATTCCCAACAGAGAGAGAGCTCCATTAGGAAAAGAAGTATGCGGAACTCTTGTTTCAAGAAGAATGTGGATATTTTATCCACATTCGTTTGTTGATCATTGTGACATGAAGAAGACGCGTAGAAACGTACGTACATAAATGCACTCACTGTAAAGGCAAATATGTACCTTGCTGTGTAAAGTTGTTCTTTTTCGGGTTATTGATTCCTTCTTCTTGAATTCTTGTGTTTATTGTGATGATAGAAATATGTCCGTCCCGTTTGATTCACCCTTTTTCATATTATATCCCGACATTAAGACAATAATGCTCCTGGCACCAGTCTACAAATGAAGTTGATTTGTACAGCTTACTAGAGTTGCAGTACGAGAACAAGCAAGTTTGGCAATATCAGTCCTTCCTCCTCCTCCATTTTCGGAGAAGGATACGTAGAAAAGAGAAAGTCAGGTCAGCACAACGCCCTTGGCAAAAGAAGAAGAAGAAGGAATTTACAGATATTTGGAATTTGGGAAGATTACGAGAATTACGTAGAATCAGAGGGTCGAATCTAGGGAGTTGGAGGTAGGAGCAGTAAGTTAGTAATAAGGTCAACATACACACACATATAGCTGATTATATCTCATACGAAGGTGGAATGTGCCCCACGGTTGGGAAACCTAATGTAGAAAGTAAGTAGAAGAAGTATCAAAGTATCAGTGAAGGGATTTAGCACGGCAGGACGGAGGGCCGCCTCGTTTTTTGGTGGTAAGGACGACGAGAAGGCAATGAGCTTTCTCTCTTTTTTATCACCTGCCCAGGCTCAGACGACTTTGCTGGGTGGTTTGGTTGGTGGTCGTGTGTGTGTAACAATTTTGTAAAATCATATATCCCGAAGTATTTATGACCTCTCGCCCAAACTAAAGCAGACTCAAGGGGCTGACCTCTCTCTCCTGGTCAGATATGTTGATGGAGAGACCTCGTGGCCGAGCAAGATATGTAGTTCCAGAGTGGTTAAGGTGGTCCATAATTTGGGAGAAAAAAAAGTTATATTTTTTGCAATCTTTCCACCCACATACCTGCTGCGTACCTGTCCATTTGGAAGGTTGGAAGGTTGACGGAACTAATCTGTAAAGTGATGATGACGGAATTTTCGTCAAAACATCCAATTTCACAATATTTGCTATTTCAGATCAAGAAAGGATAGAAGGAGGTGAAGATATTTTGCGAAAAGAGTAGTGAATCGAGTGATGCTTTCTCACTTATTTTTGGAACTTTTTAGACTAGAGTGAGGAGGAAGTGGGTGACGAACATTCGGGTCAGGTAGGCATGTTTGGGTTGAAAAGAAAGTAAACATTTTGAGTGACTCCTTCAAAGCAAGAAGCATCATTCAGTCAGCAACAAAGTTTTTTGACAAGTCCAGATTGCTCAACTTTCCTACAAGTGCGCAGTTTTAGGAGCTGTAACGCCTTTGTCGTATATATTAACGATATGGTTTGTTAATAGTCCATTAAACGAGGGTTCCGTTAAGGTATCATCTGTTGGTTATAGAAGCTAAGCTTTAGCGTTCCCCATTTTTTGAGAATTGGGATCTAAATCTGCATCTAAATGTTGCAAGGAATGGGATCAAAGTACTTACCACGACTTTCTCCTCCAGGTTCAGGTTGAAGGGAGAAAGCATGCAGGCTAAAGAAACTTTATCCAAAATCTTTCCTAATATTACAGTAGGAGCGCAGAACAGCAGAAGAACGTTAATTGCACAGCTGTGCACTTTAGAAAACGTCAACATCAGATGCTTTCTTGTTGTCTAGTTTAATATTCTCTCACACTCGCGATTCTTTCTCTCTATTTCGCATTCATCGATATCAAATTTATTCTGCAACACACATCCAATCCAATCCAGGTGATGGTTTGGAATGAAAATAGACCGTTTTTTGATCAGTCTTCTCTCTCCACTTCTTCAGGGTAGTTTGGAATATTAAAACGGCCAACTTTCTTCCTCTCCTTGTTATTAGGATATGATGTACCTACGCACTTTCCGAACCAATCTATACTTTTGTGAAGGATGGAGCAAACTTGAAATTCTGCATGATTTAAACTTTTTACTTGGCCTGATGATAACCAAGCAAGTTTTGCACACACACATTTTTGGATGGATAAGAAGCCAGCCAAACATACGTCGGGCTTTCAGGCCTTCGACTTATGCACCACCTCCCACTTGGATTCAGCTAAACTTACCTAAAGAGTTGACTGCTGGAGCCTCTTATTAAAGTGAAGTGAGTGTGCATCACCACATTCCACTTCCAGCCATTAAATTCAGTTAGTTACATTAGTTATGTTTGTGTTTCCATTGTGCTCTTACTGCTGCTGCTTTTTGTTATACGTAGCTATGAATTTGTATACATGCATGGGTTCCACCACCACCAGCCAAGCAGCCAAGCACTGCACAAAAGGCTTTCTCTTTCTGGTGAAAGTGTTGAATATGAATGGAATGGATGTGTCTGTCAGTCCATATTCTATTAATGTGGCCTCGCTGCTTGGATGTGTGTGGAGCTTTCCACCACTTCACACTTGGCCCATTCAACAGAATCTGGCTACATTTTGAATCTGCATGAATAAACTACTCTCTCTCTCTCTTTGAAATAAATAACGATGCTTGTTCCAATGGCAACACCACTACACGTACTGCTTCACGATGTTGTAATGACATATGTATGTATGTACATTCTAGAAAAGGAAACTTGGTACAGATGCAAAATTTAACAAGGTATGAAGAACTATCTACACGGGTGTGAATAAAGTATGCACAAACATATGTACGTGAACAACAATGGTCTCATGTTCCTCGGTGTCTTGTCAGATGTGAGAGGTCCTCTCGGTGTCGTATTTATAATGTGGATGATGTGAACTGTGATACTCTAGTTCTTTCTACACCCCCGCGTGTGGCTGTCTTTTTGTCGCAAAACTTTGCAAAATGATGAGTCACGATAGGTACGTGTAATGACGTTATTGTTGGAAGAGTGACACGAATTAATTGGGTTCCAATTATTGTTGTGGAAGAGAGAGAGTCCGATTTCAGGGAATATAAAAGGGTACTTAATTCGCCGTTATCAGGTTATGGGTTGAGTTGGGTTGGTCGAAAATAGTAGAATTTTCCCTGAAGCCTTGCTCTGCCGTGGGTGGGATTATTGTGTGCTGCTCAGCCTCACATATTTTTTAGCAACGCATTTATATTCGGGGGATAAATGACAAATGAAAATAATATCCATCTCACTTCACCAGAGACCAGACGCCGTATTCAACATCCAATCTCGCACATGTGTCTCCTTTCTCTCGCTGCACGACGTGAAATCGAATTTTTCCTTGTGTGCCGGTAATACATCATACAACACTTCAACCAGAAGGCTATCACATTCCTTCACAAATAAATATTAGGCTGGTGGAGGTGGGTGCAGAGCTCTGGATGTAGCGTGGGTACAAAGGCATAATGCCAGAAAAGAGAAAGGCTGCTATGGTCTGGTCAAACAAATATTCCATTCCTCGATCCCAACCACAAAATGTACCCTCTTCCATCTACTACTTGTTCTACTCTGCAAGGAGGGAATGCGGTTTGTGCAAAACAAATTATGTAAATTCTGCCCATGTACTTTAGCAAAGAAGGGAAAAATTGTGTGAATTCTGAAAGAGATTTTTCACATGATGTTTATGTAACCCTCGCCATTTCTGGATTTCTGGAGAGAAAGCACATAGGTAGAGAAAGTACGTTATATGACTACTTTCTACGGATACGTCGGCCTTGTCACCAGATCAGCCAGATCCCTCACACTGTCATCAGCATTTTCTATTACTTTTCTGGATTTGTCTTGTATTGTGTTTTGTATTAGTGTTAGTATTATTAGGAGTATAGCATCGACGGGAGAAAGTCTGCTGGTCTGCAGGTTGTTTTATTACTGGGCTTTTTGAACTCACTTCCACGTTAGAAGACGAGTCCCATTGTTCCCTTTTACAAGTTGGACGAGAAGGTGAAAGCGAAACCCAATACGAGATTGACAACAGAATACATACACGCGATGACTAAAGCCAAACTTGTCCGTGTGTATACAATTCTTGAATAATATTCATTTTCCTGCATCCTTGTCTAGGAGAAAGCTGTCTCATATTGCGTAGAATGCATTGGAGTGAAAGTGATCCGCAATTGGATGATGCGTGAGATGTTGATATGCGAGACTGCTCCTTTTTCTCAAGAAACTCGTGCCAGACATTAATCTTTTGTACAAATTGCGTAGTATTTTATATTAACGCACATCCCTCAATAAATTCTGTAGGATATTTTTTTAAGATGGAAATAATTCAAGACATTTTCCCTCGAAACTGGTACTTTCTTCCCCCTTTTTCACCCTTTTTTCTGAATCTCGCTGGTAATCAAACTGTTAGCAAATATTAAATTTTGAATGAGAGAATCAACTCAAAGTTTGTGGTGGTGGTGAGAGAGAGCCCAAATTTTAATAAATGGCAAAGTCATTCCCAAACTAATATGGAATCTTTCTCCAACTTTTTTGTATATTGGGTCGCATTGTGATAAATTGTTATTGTTTCCCATGAATGTAAGGAAGGATAAGAATGATGCATACACGGAAATGAGATGAAAGAAGGGGGAAATATTTTTTGTTCTCGGAACGCATTTTCTTGAAATTGTGACAGAACGGGGAATGACGACGACGACGTCTTTTTTCAAATTACATTTGTGCCACGAAACGAGCCTTTTCGTGGAATCCATATCGTCTGCCCTTGAAATATTTGGGGTCCTCATTACTTCAGGACTACGGGGAAAATCAATTTTGTGTGGGGAAATCCATCCTGTCCTTTGCCATTGTTATGTAATGGTCTCAAAGTGAGACTGGTGCATACGTACGTAAATTTATCTCGTTGAGGACAGAATGAAACTTGATACCTTTTTGTGGTTTAACTGATTTATTTGCTGCGTGCACTTTAGTAATTTGTTACGTGGTTTGAGCTGATGCGAGTAATTTTTACTTCTCTCTAATGAAAATATTTATAGATTAACAATTGTAATTCAAGTCGTGTAGATATGTAACTGTTGTCTATTTATCACTTATTTCAGGGTTAGATGGTCTGAGGAACGTAAGACTGGAAGGTCCACACCATGTCCGCTCCGGGGAGGATGTGATACTCAGATGCAATTACGACCTGGACAATGACAGCATTTACGTGGTTAAATTTTATAGAGATTCCAACGAGTTTTATCGCTTCGTTCCCAAAGAAGTTCCACCAAAACGATTCTTCCCCAGTTCAGGCCTCGCCTTTAACGTGAGTGATTTTTAAACTCTACAATAATCATGTATATTTACAAAATATCTGTAATTCCATTTTTTAACCAGACAAACTGATGACACGAGTAGATTTTTTATGTAATCTGTTGCATAATGCATGATCCCCATCGACACGATGATTTTGACTTCAAGTCTGTATAATAAAGCAACATTTGGTGTCACTCCCCCCAAAACCACGACCACATACTCGTCTAATTGAACCGAGTCGTCGATACAGATTTATGTCCTTGCTCGTGATCAATACGAATAATGCAACGCTTTTCTTTCCTTCCTCCAGTTCCTCCTCGTAATTATTTCTTTGTAAGGATTCCCGAATTTCATTAAGCTTTATCATTTGTTTTCCCATCTCCTCGTCAGTTGCAACCCCCCGCACAGCGTTTAGTGCAACGATCCCCAAGACAATATATTATTGTCTCTTCGTCCAACCATGCGGAGGAGAAAGTCGTCGTCCCCTTCCCCAATACCTAATTAAACGTTGAAAAACTAGCAATGTGTATCATAAAATGTTTAATTTTCCCTTCATCTTCTTCCGAAAAAACGGCACACATGCAGCACAACCCAGTTTGCGCCTCTTTTGTTTATCCTCATCTATTGTGTTGTGTCTCTGTAAAGTAAAAAAAAAGTGGAACTAAATAAAAGTATTTATTTCTCTTGCTGATTTCTTGTAGTTTTTTGTTGGAAAGTTGTTGAGACTAGTGGTGGTGGTGGTCTGGTGGGTGAATCGTTTGTATCACTGTACACATTGGAAAAGAAAGGCCGCCCGAGGTTGTACTTTTAGCAGTGATGAGAGAGCCGCGGAACCTTTTTTTTTCATCCAGTTTCTCTACTTTCTTGTTCATCTTCTTCTTCTTCTTTACTTTTCCAACAGTTTGTTACAAGTTTCACTCCTCACTACTCAGCAACCATTTACTGCTCGTTGGCCCACTCTTCTCGTGTCCGTGGGGAAAGTGGAGTTGAATAAGACAAATGAATCATTGTGGATTGGATAATTTAATACTGAAGCGCACTCCTTCTTGTACAACACAACACATAACTTTATTGCTGAACTGTTTCTTTCTACTCCCCCGCTAGTTAGTTAGCAGTACAAACAGAGTTAGGCCCAGGATTTCTCGGGAGAATCTCGTTAATTCAGAGTCAAGTGGATATACGCAAAACCTCGACTCTGATGGAATGGTTAACTCAATGTGACACGAATTTTGTGTTATACTCGGTTCTGTAAATAATGGAAAAAGTGAAGGAATGAGTTTCATTTTGTACGTGATTCCCCACCAACCACTGTCAGTTGATCATTTCAAGTTTGAACAGCGAGAAAGGGAGAGAAAGTTTCCTACCCAATTAAATCTTTAAAAGTCCTGCTGGAGATGATGATGCGGCATCATGTTAACTATGCTGATGAGATATTAATCTGCTTAATTACCATTTATTATTCGCCCACAGGAGGTGTACTGCAACGAACATGACATCTTCCTGAGGAACGTGAGCTTGGAAACGACGGGCCGATTTAAATGTGCTGTTAGTGCAGAAATGACGTTTCAGACTTTCATTGCGGCACAGGATCTCGTCATAGTTGGTAAGAAGACTAAATTGCTTACTCTGGTGTTATCTTCGCCACTGATTTGGGGAGCCCTTCACTCAAAATCAAAAGTGAGAATATATACGAACTCAACGGTCGAGAGAGAGAGATTGAGTTTCGTATATGGACAAGGACAAAAATTGTCTCCCCTTCTTCTTGGTGAACTTGTGTGAGTGAAAAATGGGTACCAGAGATCAATGCCTTTCTCGATATACATATAAATATATCACACAATGCATCGCTAGATGACTAGACGACTGGTGTTCATCGCTCCCCTGTCCTCAGAAACTTCACTCTGCCCCATTGTTCACCTTAATCACCAAATCAATTGCACAGAGCCTGCAAGTCTTTGATCTTTGAGATCTTTTTGAGACCCAAAGTGATCCAGAGGCAGCAGCTACACACCAAAGGAGAAGAAAGAGAAAGATGAATAGTGGTGAAAATGATGGTGGTGGAATTTGAAACCTCATTCATACATGGGCATGCATGAGGCTGCTTTCTCTGAAATCGGATTTTCTCCTTGCACAACTGCCACTAACTACCTCGTGTGTCTATGATGTAATGCCTGATTAGTACATGTGCCCTTGTGTATTTCTTGCAGAAATCGACTACTCGCCACCCCTCATCGAGGTGGATCAACCGAGTTATTATCCCGGAGAAAATGCAAAAGCCAACTGTTCCGTAGGACAGGTTTCACATTCTCTAAATTTCACCTGGTTCATCAACGATCAAGAGGTGAGTGGGTGGAATATGTCGTTATTTTTAATAGTCAAATACTCATAATAATTGACAAAATCATAAGAAAATATGTATGCACAGACAGAAAAGTTGTTCCACTCGAACTATCAATCACCCCGTTTGGCAAGCATTGACCTGACAAGTTTGCCGATAAATATTAAGTAGTTTGGTGTTTAAACTCTTGAAAGCAAAAGCGGATAAGTAGGGGCTTAAGCTTGACATTACTGAGCAGGAGAAAGAGGACTCGTTAGCACATTCACTTTGTTGTGTAGCCAGCCAGCCGCCAGCTCCGACGTAACACCACTTGACTCCTGAACAAGCTGCATAGTTCAGATTCTTCTAACAAGCTCCATCCATATTGTGCAATAATGTACTCTCCGAAGGTGAACTTGGGGAGGTTAAGGCTTGCAAAATGTATGGCGATGTAGGTAAAAAACATAACGATAGCTTATTGTATAACATTTTACCTCTCCTCACGTACGTACGAAGGAAATTCTTCCCCCTCCTCCCGTCAGACAATAAGGACCTCGCTCATCTTTACTATCAACCAACTTCATCTTCATCACTCAACAACAAATTTCTATTCTCGTCGAGAAATTCGAAAGGAGGAGTGAATCAAGTTGGAAATAAGAAAGTGAAAGCGGAATGAAAACTAAAATTTCCTGAGGGATTTCGCTCCTCTAAAAATACACAAATTCCCTATTGAATTATGAATTCTTCCTTTAATGAAGCAAGACCAAGAAGTAAGTGATTCGGGAAGTTTGGAATTTTTGATGAGCGAGAGAAAGAGGGAAGTCTGAAGAGAGGAGGAGAAATTGTTTGCTGCTTAACTTTGCATCTTTCTCCTTGTTTGTTTGTGTATGTGGAGGAGAATGGATGGATGGTGGCTGAGAAATGATGAGTAATGGATGAATGCATGAAAGAAACTTGTTTAAAAATGTGGGGTGAGTTATTATGAAAATGGTGACTATACAGAAGGCCTCGATGCAACGATTAAGCGGAGAAAGTGCAGAATCCGAGATTCGTGGCGATGAAATGAAATGATGAAGGAATGTTGTGGGTGAAAGTCTTGGATGCTTTCACCCGCAGAATTATACGACGGATGTCTACACAATCTTCTTCCGAGAGTGAGAATGGTTCATTGTTTTTCTTATTTTCCGTCTTGATTCCTTGATTCCTGATGAAGAGCAGTTGCTGGTTTGGTTTAGTTTGAGCTCGGAAAAGCAGACCAAGAAGTATATAACTTGCTCATTATCTTGATGGAATGAGGCTCGATTTCGATGTGAGGAGAGGCTTCGTATTTCCCATTTGTCCATCTTTCCACTCACCTTCTCCTTTCCCTCTTTTCGATGAAAGTTCGGCTTACAATTACGTAATAATATCTTGGCCGGCGGCATCACGATGAAAATGGAGACGGAATAAAGTGCACTCTCTTGTTTTGGTTAATGTGTTATGTATCTGCGAATCGAGTATGAAATGGAGTTGTGCTGTTTATTAGTAACATTTCTTAAGTGGATCACTGCTGACCTGTTTTTAGATACGTAATGCCACCACCTTCTTAATTACTTACTTTACTTACTTTGAAACAGGTGCCAAAGGCGTTGCACAGACAAATCACCATTCCCGACGCGGACGTACCTTCTTTGATGAAATCAGTGTCGCTGCTACAGTTTGAAATGGGGACCACGAGTTTCACTGCCCTTGATTCTACGAAAGGGGGAGGACGCACATCTCTCAACGGGGACGATACGAGGTTAAAATGCAGAGCTGAGCTGTTCGACTTGTATTCTGAATATTCTAAGGAAATTGTGATTCAAACGACGCAGCCGAGGTACTCTCCAAGCAACCAGGATACGCTTCGGAGGTCCAGTCCACCCATAAATGGAGGTTAGCCACCATACCACCACCACTTTCAGTCAGATATCTAGTTACCTACGACGACCAGATTATAAAAAGCGCAGTCTGCTGCTTTACGATTTATACGTGGGTGCGTTATTTATGAGGCAATTAAACTCTCACATTTGAATGAACCTCAGGTGGTCAATTGATCACGGTGGGGAAAGGATGCATATATTTATTATTGTACAGATTGCATTTTTAGGTACGGATTTCCCTTTAAAAAATAATACTCGAGTGGTATGCAGAGATTTTCGCGAGTTGTACATGTAACCACCATTTGCCGACTTTCTCCATATACGAGTATGTACAGGAACATGATTAATCTGGATGTGTTGGAAGGGCGGCTTTCATTATAAACGAGGCCCTGTCGCTGGCCTGACCCAAAAACAAAATAAAGATTAATGACCACAACTTGTAATTATATCAGATGGGATTGTGAATTGAGGCTGAAAGCTCATTATTATTGTGTGCATTATTCGCGAGGCTACGTATTATATAAATATTTACTCATGGACGAGAGAAGTGTGTGGTAGTAGACGTAACACAATATATAAACACAGCTTTCCTTCCCCTCGTGTTGTTCCTGTTAATCACTGTAATTTGTATCTGATACGAGATTAACTAGATTATGATAAAGTTGATAAGTGGATAATCTGAGGGAAAAGAAGGGACCAGTGGACTAATTATTGCCGGTCTTTGCTTTCCCCTCCCTCCCTCAACTTGTTAGTTTTGTTCTCGTGGTTGACTTGGTGGTTAGTTTTGTAGCTTAAAGTTTTGTTTAAAGTTACTCTTTCATCTTAGCCGACTTGATGACTCCCAGAGGAACCCTCAGCGGAACCATCGTCCCATTATTGAACTCTTCTCATAAATTCCAACTCTGAAACAGGAGAGAGAAACACAACCCCTCCTTTACCTTCTGCTTCGTGTCCTCTTGCTGAACTTGGTTTGGCTTGGCTTGGTTCACCACAAGGTAGATGGTGGTTGGTTGAGAAAAGGAATTTCTGCCAGCACATGAGACGAGAGGGTCACGGGGAAGGGAAAGTGCTGTGCAATTCGTAGTGAGTAATATGCAGTCAACCATTGGCACTAAAGCGAAAGAACGATTAAGTACGTGACTCATAATCCAAATCATGTCGGACATGTTTTCAGCCTTAAAACACATCTATTGATAACGTTTCCAGTGCTGGATAGATACATAGGACCAGGTAGCAACGTATCCCAAAGTGCACTTTCTCTCTCTCCCCGCCATTCATAATGAATACCTTGAGGGTACCCGATACCCTGTAAATTTTAAAGTAAATACTATCCCCGTTAAGCAAGTTTATTGCAGTGTAGCAATTTCCCCGAAAGTCTTAGAACTTTGGTTGTCACTTGATTCTCTTAATTGACGTTTGCATTTTCCATGATGCACCTCATGAACTTTTCCTTGCTACCCCAGGTGCAGTGGCAGCATCATCCTCTCCTTCACCCACAGTGCTTTCATCCTGGAGGAATTTGATACTCTTGATGATAATCGGATGGACGGGAGCAAAACGAGGTCTTCATTTTCACTTCTGTTTGTGACACCAACACCACCAACAAACAAACTATTTCCATTCCGGATGATGAGTCAAAGTCGTTCTTGTTTGTTACTGCTGCTGCTGTTCCTGCTGCTGTTCCTGCTGCTATCGAGTTAAACATGCAACATCAACAACATTCAAGCCAAATTACTTCTTCCTCTGCACCAGACTCGGAATGAAATCAAGGATGACTTTGAGTGAATGAGATGGAGCAAAAGTTGGTGACTGTTTCGATGAAATTTAATCAAGTATGTACGTACGTACGTCAAAATTATCAAACATCGCCACATTAAAACAATCCCCTTCTTGGATGGTGGATACGTAATAATAATGAAATTTAATTATGATTCTCTTCTGGCACAAGGTGTCTACATATTTATTTGAGGGAAATCTATGTATAAAGTCGGACAAATCATATGTATGAAAACGTATGCACATGAATGCTATGAATATTATATGTACAGGAACAAAGGGATATTGATATTACCTTGTTATACAAACGAATTACTTTAAATAATACTTTCTCCCCCTTCAGTCATTTATGGAATGTCAAACCACATTACTAAATAAATATGTTTTCCTGTCATGTGTGTTTGTACTGCTGCTTTGTTGTGTCGAGTGTGAATGTATGTGTTATTTTACTACTGAGATTTTGGATTCTGTGATGATTACACATGCAAACATATGTATTATTGTGACGGTGACGACATGTATCAATTTGTATCTTTGATTGTTACTAATACTTAAGAGAAGTATGTATAATACGCAATTAATTAGTTATCACTATTATTTGGTCTGCTGACTAAAATTGATGAAGATGTCATTTAATTAATAATGATTTTGTGATGGATTGAAGTCATGTCAAAGGTAATAAAGTAATAATTGAATTTCCTCAATTTATTATAAATGAACAAGAATCGTTACACACGAGTAAATCACAGCGTGATTATAATATGTATGTTGCTTTCACCCTGTATTTCATTTCACTTGCTATGAATTTGATATACAATTCTTGGTAAGATCTATTCTCAAAGAAAGAAGAAAAAGGAAGCAATACATACATACAGTTCCAAAATGCATTCACAAATCGTCAAAGTGACAAGGATCATAACGACTCGGCGGCTCTTGTGACTTTTCCCTGGGCGAAGAAAGTATACAGTGCGGACCGACAAACTGGAAAAAATGGGGGAGCGGATGGCGAGAGAGGATGGAAATAAGTATGTACATGGTAAGTCGAGGCGTACGTACGAATGTAGTGTGGAGGATAGGATATCGAGATGGTGAAGAATGTGGAAAAGAATCGTCATAAATTAGGAGAAGGGTCTCATTAAAGTCTCCTCAGAATGAGCCAATCGTGCATGCATCAATGCTAATTGAAGATTTGCTAGCACTGCACCCTATCCTTGTCGAGTCGCAGGAGGCGAGATGAAATTCCCAGATTTTTGGATTCAGACTCCCAGCCTCCCGTACATACAGTCCCCCAATTCCTTTGTGATTCTGACGATGACAATTCTTTCTCCTTTTTGCTTTCTCTCCAAGGAAGGAATCGTAGTAAAACCCTCTTGAATTTTTAACGTGCAGCTTAGAAAACTCTCATAAGCAAGAGCTGTTTGTACTAACTGAATAATAAAATGCGTGTGCACTTCCTGGACAAAATTTCCCCGATTTTTTGACAATTGTTGAATGACAAGTTTTTTTTTGTAAATTTGTGTGGCATGTTTTAAACTAAACTGTATATTTATAATGAAGAAATTGAGAAATATGTATGTATGTGGAAATGAAGGGTTAAAAGTTGAGACAACTTTTTACTTGAAGGAATCTCAACCAAGGAAGACATCGAATCCTCCTTCACGCTATTTCAATCTCATCCTGTTCCATTATGCAGATGGACCCATTTCCAATGCAGGAGTGTTGAGGGAATATATACAACGATGCACCCACCCACCCGATTTCAGATTTTAGCAGGAAAGTGGAATATGTTCGTGTCCATTCCATTCCCAAATTTACACGGCGGACGAGGAGGAGGAGGCATGCAACACTTTTCCGACGTAAGCCCCGTACAGGAAAGTTTAGGTGTCATTTCAAGTGAAATCACTTGGAACTTTACTGCCAACTGTTTCTCTACTTATTTCTTATCAGTATCGGATTTTGAACCAATTCTACAAAATAAGATTTCCACCATTTGCATCCGAAAGGAGAAAGTTAACCGGTTTAAACAAAAAGGGGAACCTTTTTTATACCTTTTTGGCAAGGCTTGATTTAACCCTGGGAGAAATGACTCAATCCTAAATTGCCTTGTGAATACTCAATTTATAATTAACCAAAAAAAGGTACACGTTTTCATCTCAAAGTAAACATCCCAATCTCAAAATTGCCCATATTTTCACAATTCATCCAACCAAACGTAACCCCCCTTGCCCTTCTCTCTCTGTTATTATAATCAGCTCAGTCAATCCCCCACTCATCTCCTGAAGATACTTTACTTTCCCTCACAAAAAGAATCATGTCACATTATTCCACAAGAATAAATTCGTGTGCAACTCAACTTAAAAAAAGAGCCCCTCGTCCCAAATAGAAACTTTTATTCAGAAAAACTTTTCACATCATAATAATAATAGAACAAAACTGTCAGAATGAAATGCATATATTTGACAAAGAGGGAATCAACTCAATAAAATAATGGGTCGTTTCTTTCCCTTGTATTATTTACACTTGTCGCTCAAATTCATGTGACATTTCTCGTAAAATAAATACATTTTGACGTGACCTTCCGGTTTATGTATAGTAAAATAAAACAAATATACACATCCCGTCCAACAGGGCAAGTTGAAACAAGAATTATTCAATCGCACCCATTTTCCAGGCTTTTATTTTACAACGTAACAATTTATCCGACTCGACCACAACCATCCTGTTGATGTCGACGACTTTCTCTGCCGTCTGACCTCCGGTTATTTCACAACACATTACGCAACGTTGAGCTTGCCACAGGTCAGAGAGAGTGAAAACCTGCAGTGAGCACATTTTAGAGTAAATAGTTCAGGCAGGCAGACTATCATACAAGTTAGTGCTCGAAAAACTTTTTTTTTATCCATCCATCTGTCCATCCGTCCATCAGTATTACGCCATCCGAACTACATTACTGCATCTCTAAAACTAAACCGATGCAAGCAGAACCAAACCGGACAAGCCAGACCTGAAAACTTTCCTTCTTTCGTCTTCACTTACCTTGGAAGAACGCTGAACTGGAAGAGTGCACTGGATGAATGAACGCAAAATGAGAGGGAGTCTCTAGCTGTATCTGCCCCGTGATCGAGTGAGTTAGTGAATGACGTTGTAATAATAAGTTAAAGAAGACTTGTTTCAATTCAAAGGGAAAGGGAAATGAAATGCAGAAGAGTTTTTGAATCTGGAGTTTGGATTCTTTGGAAAGTCGCTGGCTCGTAAATTTTTAACGAGAGGTTTCATAATTCCGGGAGAGAGGATGGTGCATGATGTGTTGAAAAAGAGAGGAGGAAAATATTGGCTACATTATAATACTAGGGGCACAAAAGAGCTTAGAAAGTTAGTTGTGGTGGTTTAGATTTGGGAAGAATGGGTGGTGCGGAGCATGGTGCATGTGGAAGAATGGGGGAAAAAAGTTGGTATTTTACTTTGATGGATTGGATGTGTATTAAGGGGAAAGTTTTTATTTTGATGTAATGTATTATTATTTGTAAATTACGGGTAAGCAATAGTAGTGAAAGCCATTAAAATGTGGTGATGAAAGGAGTCAGTTATGATGGAGGAGATTGATGGGTTCGCAAAAATGTCATCATTACGACAAATTACGCCGTATTACAATGACGTGGTGTGTTATTACTTGTTTAGAAATTAGAAATTGTGGTCTGTACGTGGCACATGGACTTGTTCATCAAAAAATGGAAGGACGTGGGACGGGATACACAGGATCACGTTTATTACGTCCAATCAGGAACGAATTAATCTTTCTACGCATATGAATGTTCTTCACATCACGAACGAACACGACATACATGCCACCACATCTTGTTAATCAAAAGTTGCGTAAATATCAATTTTCCGGGTGAAGTCATTTAATTTATTTTTCCAAGAATGTAAACCTCCGCCTTTCCATCGTCTCAATCACAATTCCCATCGCACAATCAGCCCTGTTCCACCACCAAGACTAGAATATTCTTTGAAATGTGTAGCGCAATGCTGGCCGCATTACATAAGAAAATCGAATCAGTACGCCGTAAAGTAATTATTGTTCGCTGCTCTCACGATCTGAAGAACTTTTACCAGGAGCCAAATTACATTTCCCTTTTCACCTCCTCCACTCCAAAATAGGTGGCAGTATGCTCCATCCCGGGATTTTTGGTGCTGCTTGCTTTCACTCATTATTTCAATGAGGATGGGAATCACTTTGGCTAAATTGTGACTGCCTCCAGCCTCCTCCATTACTGTACTGTAGAAGAAAGTGAAAATTGATTTAATAAATAAGTGACGACTCTCTCGAGCAATAATGAAATGATGGTGATCATCATCACTATCATCATCTCAGTATTTCGCCTGGCTTTCTCCTCAATATGTCGAGCTGGTCCACTTTCACTTTCATTAACTAACAACCCACAGTGGATTATAGTTATTGAGGAGGAGGAGGAGGTGGTGCTTTGCGTAATGGAAGGTTCAGGTGTCAAGACGTAATGTTGTGGCAGGAAGGGTCCTTCAGCAATGCAGTGCTTGAGGTGAAAAGGAAGAAAAATCTGGGAAATTGGGATGAATGAAAGTTTATTTTTAGAGGATTCTGATATATACAAAAAATCCCATTAAGTTTATGTAGAAGGCACGCTTTATTTGGAGTGCTCATTGCTTTACTGGTTATTAAGGCGTGTGCTCCTACAGCATAACTAACACTAACAAGTAAGTGAGACAACGCTGAGTGTGCTGCTTTTGCTTTAAATTGTAATATGAAGAGCTTAATTCGATTTCCGGCTCCTTTTTGAGAAACAAAGTGCTGAAATGGCAATATTACATTAATTAACACTTCCTACTCTTACTCTCCTCCAATTTACGCTGTGCGACGATGCCTTGTCGTGTACTTTCTCCAGAAAGATGCGAATTATATGCAGTATTAGACTCCGTATATACTTGAGTAAAGTACTTGAGAATATTGAGAAGCAGGAAAATTTTCTCAAATTTAACAGATTGCGTCTCAACATAATTTACTCAACTTCTGACACCTATCAATTTATACTCACATATTTGTCTACATATCTGGCATTTTATTACGGGTATATTTCTAAAAAAAGGTCTTCACACCCTTCTTGTAATAAGAATAATTTACGAACAGAAGAAAAATCTGCCATCCCACCAACATTTGCGGAAGAAATCAAAGTGACAAAAAGTAAACACAAATAAACACTAATTCCAAAAGCACACATTCAATAATGATTCAAGACGACGAGCATGGCTCTTCTGCTGCGGGTCTGTATATACCGTAAATATTTTGGTATTTTTACGTATCCACGTCTAAAAGTATGTATGACCACTGCACACACACACACACAATTTATTTTGCTCGATTTCATTTCTATTCTGGGATTTTGTATGGATGTCGACTTTTCCAGCTTCTGCCGCACAAATTCATAACTCTTGGGAAAATATAGAAAGAAAAATAAATTAAGCCCATGGGAAAACTCTTTTCAAAAGATGACGAACGCGAGTCCTTTCTACAGCTTCGTGATATTAAAAGAAGAAACCACACAAAATAAAGAATAATCTATTACATTTCGTTTTTGACGTAATGTGTACGTACAAACGGAGAAAGAGCTAGGTCAGATTTTCCTACAAGGAGGGAGGGAAAGTGCTGGCAGAAAATGTGGCTCAACTTACGCCCGCCACCTTCGTCTCCTTGTTTATTAGGATAGAAAGAAGGACACACTTAAATGTTTCTCTTTTATTTAACGCAAACCGCAAACTGATGCAACGCCACCACGCTTTCTCCTCAGTCTCATATCTCATCCGGTATAGGCGTTCTGTTCAAGAGAGTCATCCCTTATCCGTCGCTTTACTTGGCTCTATGTACATAATCTTGCCTTTGGGTCATACCATACCACCTCCTCCTCCTCCTGTCCTAAAAAAAGACTTGGTGGAACATGTTGAATGGCTGTGTGAAACTGGTGTGCAGTAAATTTCTGTGATATACAAACCAAAACCACACGTATTTTACAAATTATGGAATTGAGCAAGCCAAATGCTCCCAACGACTATGAGAAGGAACCAACAAGAGGACAAGAAATGCGGAAAGGGATGTCGACAGGCAGGCAGAGAGAGATAGCGGTTCTGGTCCTGGTCGTGGTGCTGGTTGGTGGTGAAAGCTCTCTTCTTGGCTGGAAGAATTTTTCTTAAAGGAAGAAAAAAAGATTTTCCACCACCACTTCTTCTCTCCTACATAGCAAAGTGGTCCAGGTTGGTGGTGGTGGTGGTGGAAGGCTTGGCAATTGTGGGCAATAGCGGATGACGATCCCATTCAAACCCTTCAGTATTCAACAATTTCCCAGTTCTTTGAAAAATAACCCGTTTTTTGACAAATGGCTTGCATCCTTGGACAGAGGCATCAGACTGGTAGGAACGGTATTGAATAGTCTGAACGTGCCGCATACACAGGGAGAAAGAAAGAGAGAAATAATATAACAAGAAAAGGGAGGAGGATAGTTTCAGACGGATCAGGAATTTCACAGTCCGACTGCATTCTTTCTTTCCCCTTCTTTACACATCACACAAAAGATATAGAAGCGTGTGGTTGGTTGGTTGGCTACTTTTGTGTGGAAAGTTGGAATTAAATCCTGTCCCTTATTGTGGTCATTCTGCGGGACAAAATTGAGTATTATCTAATGATACAGAGAAATTGATATTCAACACCCGACGAAGAAAGGAGGACGAGATATCTGCATCATATTTTATTATAATAATTTAATGAAATAGCCATTTTTTGCAGGGTTGAAGCTGCATGAAGTTATTGTGACGAAAACTTGAAATACCCATTATCCTAGATTTGCGAGAGTTCCATCTTTTCTGCATGAAAATAATATTGACACTTTTTGTCCAAAACAGGGCCACACTTTTAGCCGAAATTGGGTATAGATGGATCATTAGCATTTTCTTCATCCCTTCTTGGAAAGAAGAAAAGGAGCCTGGACGGATTACGGGTGCACTTTCTCCCAAAAAGTGTCCAGTTTGTCTACTTTATCCCCCCGAAAAACTTAACGTATTCAACAGATCAACATTCAAATAGTTTTCCTTTAATACTCAACAACGAACGATATTGATCGGGGTTGATCTGATCCTCTCACCATTCTTTCCCTTTCACCACCACTTTCACCCAGTAGTCAGTGGCTGGAGTGGAGGATGCGATTCTGTGAGCCGGCAAAATTCCTCATCCGCCCTCTGGGGTTGGAGAGGATACAAAAAGATTGCGAAACCAAGTTATCACACCCAATGGTGTGACTATGAGTATGGGATTGACTACCACACGGTAAGTTGCTTTACATCAAACGTCCATTATGTGTCGGCCACCGTCAGCTCGAATTGTCGAATCAATCAAGTCAACCCTATACTTGGGCAAGTTCGGATTTTTTGGTTGCTGCTGCTCTTTTCACAATAAAGAGCTTTTTTGAATCTTTGAATGTTGAAATGAAGGGAAAATACAGAGCGGAGAAAGTGGAAAAAGGTGGGATAAAATGCATGAATGGAAGACAGAAGAAAACAGGATTTCTGGGAATGTACCTTTTGAAAAATATCTAAAAGTTGTGCCCGAAAGGCAGTAGGGTTTGACGAATTTGTTTGATGCTTATATGTGCTTATACGCCCTGTAAAATACTTGGTGCAATCAAGCACCCTGAAGGAAAGAGGATCCACATCAAAAGACGACTGGAGAATGGAATGGTGGTCCAAATCTTGTATTTAAATCCAAAACCACAATTTGCACTTTGCCAGAAACCCTCCAGCAAGCCACGTCAGTTAGAAGAATGCGGCTTTCTTCGCAAGTAGGGAAAGGCAGAAAAACAACTGCTCAATTCAAATTCCTGTGATAAGCACTAATACAACAAACTACACAATATGCATATATTCTCTACAAACTAAACATCAGATTATTATTTGCGAGATATTCCCACTCTGTATTTCAAAACGATTCTGGACCAGAATTTCTGGTTGAAGAAACAGTTATTAGAAATTTACTTATTTAGCATCAGAAACTTTTCTTTCCGCGGAAAGTATAATTAATCAAATGACCCCACAATTGTGTAAAATTCATCAAAGTGAGAAAATTCTTGTTAGTACAGGGGAGGAGGATTGCTCAACATCTTGAATTAATTAGTCATCCAATCCCAACTTGAAAGACATGAGGAGAGGACCTCTCTTCTTCGTTACACATAACGGATCACAGGATCACAGCTGCTTCTCCTCTCCAATTCTCAAACTCTCAAAAGGGTAATTAAAGCTAAATATTGAATATTCATTTATGAAAATTTTAGAAGCTGCTGCTACCTTGCCCTCGACAGGGTTAGTTAGTTAGCCCTCCTAATAAACAATAGATAACAGATCCTCCGTGCTTACTTTAGTTTATCTTTATCCTTGCAGAAGAGAAGCAGGCAACCTAAATTTTCCTCCATGCTTTGTCAACTGTCTTTGTTTTCACAGCTTTTCACCACCACACACACAGCCACCACCACCACCAAACCAACTAATATCATCCTTGATAGTGCTGCTAGTTAACATTGGCCTAATTACCATAATGAATTAGAATGAAATTTGTCTGGTAAATACGCCAAAGATAAATTGACATTCTCTCACAGTTCTTCGGGCACTGTCAGTAAACAAACTGCCAGGACGCAGATATGACGATGTGTTTAATTACCCTACATTTTGATTATTAGCAAATATGCCAGTCGTTGACAAATATTTAAACTTGTGGACGAAATTTCCTCATAAAATTAGCCCTGTGTCAACCTAACTTAGTAAATAGGTCAACAAATGACATACAAGGTTGACGAAATCTACATATAAAAATCTTGTAAATATAGAATTTAATTTCCTGTGTACCTAAGACCTCCTCCCGTGTCTCCTCCAAAATAATTCAGTTTCATCTCTTAATTATAAATTCTCATCAAGATGTCCATCACGTTTCGAATCAAGGGGAACATTTTAAGATTCAATTTGAAACAAAAGAAGAGACGGAGAAGGGGAAAGGATGGATGGTGAGGACCCAGAATGACAGAAATGGTATGCCTAAAAGATGTACCCAGCAGCAGAATGAATGAGCTCACGGACGGAGCTCACCCACCCAAGTGTTTATTTGGAGTAGTTCGTAAAACTGGCAACTTTCTCCAGTTTCTGGAGTCGCATATTATTCTTCTCATCTCTCCTCCTCCTCCCATCTTCTTCTCCGTCGTCATAATATTTCTTCCCAGTCTCACACGTACTTTTCGCAGCCAGCTACTCAGACCATGTGAAGAGTGATATTTAGCAAATGTGACAGGGACGAGCAAGAAGAAGAAGAATCTCATCATCACCACGGAGGACGGAATAACAGACTAAACTACCACCACCACCGACTCCTTATTCGTTTTGATGAAGTCTCTGACTGCTGCTTTCTTCTTACTTTCCCCGACTGACTTTCTCTGCTGTCAGATCTTCTCCTGTATCATTCTCGGTCGTGGTGGTGGTGGTTTACTGTATTATTTTATTTCACTTCCATGTGATGATGCCTCTTATAAGGAGGAATCCAGTTTGTGCTGACGAGTCGAACGGATGGATGGATGGTGGGGGTGGTTGGTCTGGTGGTGGAGGAAAATGAGATATATTATTATTTCATTCCACATCTTTTATCGCATACAAAATCTAATCCGGCCAGGCCGTCAGCCAAAGACAACATTTGCACGTCAACTTTTTGACTTGGTTTTGGAATAGTTTTCCCAAGCTTGGAATGAATTTGACGGGGTGGAAAGAACACAGCTCTGTCAACATTTCTAAGCCTGATTAACACTCTGTTTTTCGAGATGAGAGGTTGATGAGGGGGTGTTTTGTGAATGAAAATTTTTATGATCAGGTAGTATATGACCTGCAGCATAATTTCGTTATTAGATCCGTGTCGTATTTTACATTTTGGGTAGAAATTTACGAATATTTTAGTGTGAAAGTTAGACGCCAATGCTATAAAATCTTGAATTTTTATTTTATTTTTCAGTATAAAGATGTCGATAACGAAATTGGGTAAGGGGAAAAATTCATAAATTAAACAATTAGAATTCACCGTTATATGGAAAACAATACCAAAAACTGTTTACTCCATTTCCTTTGAACTTTCTTGCTAATAGTTCCTCACTATTTACTAATCCTAAGTTGGTCAATGTCCACCACTTGAAATTGCATAAAGAATGACAACCAAATTCTCAAGGTGAATCCTGTCCAGCTACGTAGCTCCTGTGCATACTTATTTATTTACTCTCCCGTCCTGCTCCACACTTTCTGCGGTCGATAATGCAGAATCAAATTCAATTAATTATTTCGAGATACCAGTTTTCATACTTCAAGTAAAACTACGGTAAAGTATAAAACCACAGAAAGATGCCTTGCACGCATGCCGTAAGACATACATAATCACCTTGAATTAAGAATGTCCCCAAATTAATGAGCATGTAAGTAATACCCACAGCACATAGCTACATATGTATATTCCACGTCAAGTAAAGTAACACTGCGTGGCGTGATGTCGTGTGCAAATAAATAGTTGGCTCTTTCATACCATTTAATAAAAAGCACTTGACTGATCACTCTGAAGATACCTGGCTGGCTGAACTGGACACTACAAGGTTACATTCTACTGACCAGTTGATAACAGGTTTTTGAAGTTGAACTTCATTAATTCCAGTTCAGTGTCACTGCTGAGAAGAGACACGCTCGCGTCGTGCTTTGCATACACACAGATAGATATATGTATGTACATACTATGTAATACATAAAATAAATAAAACTCTTTGCCTTATCGGCTTGTCTATACTTAAATATAATTTCATATTAATTAGCTCTATACAATTTCAGTTTCAATGAAACATAAACATTTTAGAAACATAAACAATTTCTTTAACATTATAAAAATATTTTGACACAGGAACCATAATAATTTGAGTGTTATCAGTGAAACTCTTTATCAGTGTAACATTTGGTTTATTTGTATACAATCATTAAAATGGAGATGGTAATTGCTGGCGTAGCGGCTGCAACTGCGGGTGCAATATGTAATCCTTTAGAAGTGGTCAAAATTCGTATGCAATTGCAGGGTGAGTTAAAAGCCAGGGGACAGTATGCAGTTCATTATAGGTGAGTTTCTTATTTCGCTAATATTGTGAGCATTATTTAACAATACATTTTGTCGGACTCAATTTAGGAACGTTTTCCATGCATTTTACACCATTGCAACAAAGGTTAGTTATTTAAGTCGGGTTATTTATATTTAATTATTAATACATTATATTTTTTATGAAGGATGGATTTTTTGCCCTACAAAAAGGAATATTTCCCTTCATTTTGTACCAATTTTCCGCAAATTCTGTCAGACTTGGACTATTCCAATTGGCAAATCAGAATGGGCTCACAAGAAATAAAAATGGCAGTGTAAATGCTTCCAAGACATTGTTTTATGCAACCACGTCTGGTGCATTGGGAGGTGTGGCTTGCTCCCCATTTTATCTGGTTAGATCAAAACTTTAATTAGTAAAAAAAATTCACATTGATCTAAAACTTTTGCACTTCCAGGTTAAAACGCATCTTCAATCGAAGGCAAACGAAGTAAAAATTGCTGTTGGTCATCAGCACTCGCACGAAGGGACCTTTCACGCATTCTACACAATATACAAAGAATTTGGGTTTAAAGGTTTGTGGCGTGGAATGTCAAGCATGGTGCCGAGAATTGCAATGACCAGTGCAACACAAGTAATTTAAATATTATGGCTGTTACGTTCCTATAATATTTCATTCAAATCTGGTAATATTAATCTGTGTTTATTTTTCAAACTTCAAGTTGACAAGTTTCGAGGTCATTCATGGTAAATGTGATATAATTAATTTAAAAATATGTATCAGATAATTTCAGACATGGCATCATCAAGGTCATAATTTAATGCAAACTAGAATTTACCAAGGCCCAGTTTCCTGATCGAGTTTGGACTCCGTTATGCCTTGCCAGTTTTGGGACCGGGTTTTTCATGACCCTTGGCATGGCACCTTTCGACGTGATTGCGACAAGATTTTATAATCAAGGGACAGATGCTAACGGAAAAGGTGAGGCACTTTTTCATTAAAAAATATCAGTTAATTTTTAAAATTATTTATTACCATTAGGATTATTGTATCGTACGGCGGTTGACTGTGCTGTCAAGACATTTCAGAAAGAGGGAGTCCGGGGCTTCTTTAAGGTAAATTAAAATTTGTAGTTTCAAATTGTAATGCAAATTCCAATCAATTTTCATTCTAGGGATGGACAGCCTGCTACTTTAGGCTTGGGCCCTACGTAATGCTTGTGATGGTGATATGGGATCGACTCAAATTTCAACACCAGGAATATCTTAGAAATAAAATGTCCATTCCTGACGGTGTCGTCAGTGAAGCTGCATAGCGTAATTAATTATAATGTGAAAATAAATAGCGCACAATACTCTTATACATTCCAATATTAAATAGTTAAACTTACACCGAAATAAATGAAACTAGTCGAAATTCGTAAAATTTTACACTTTCACCAAAAAAATTTCATATGTATCTGAACTTGGTCATGCTTTTTGTCAGAAATTGAAAATAAATTATCTGCAAACAGCACCTGACACAAGATTTTCTCGATATGCACATATGTACATACCTACCTTGTAATGTAAAACAGGTCGTAAAGTCACCGCGACGCAGCTCGAATTAGACGTTTGACACATGAAAAATGAAATTGTCAACCCTTCCCGAGTGATGATTGACAGATGAGGCTGTAAATAGTGGAAGGCATTATTTTTTTCCTTACTGTCATTACCAAGAAACATATGAAGGCAGCGGTCTGGTGTCACTTTGCATAACGCATTTTGCATACAAAATTATCCCCTACCGCATTTAACCTAAAGAGTCACTTTGCATACAAGGTCATTTTGCATACTGCTGCTTTGCATACCACTCGTTCATTTCCTCTTATTTTCACTCTAATGATTACAAACTCTACTCTCCACCCGAAAGTTTTAAAATATTTAACAATTAAGTGATTAAATAAAATGTCGGGATTCTCGAGTAGAAATCACTTGTGTCGAATTTTGCAGTAATCTACTAAAACTCTGTGCATATTGTATTCTGCATATTTTTTTTTACATAATCCTGCAGAAAGTTTGGGTCGCTGTAATTTTGCAGAACCGTATGTGCATAATTCTGAATAGGTTTCATCAGCAATTGCCCTGCATAAAGCTTTTCTGCAGAAAATTGGCCCAATTGAACAAAGCCGTTCAAATTTTTAATCTTCAAATTATGAAACGATCTGATTGCTTTTGACGGACATCTCTTTGAAAAAAATCGTGTTAATTAGAGTACAGCACAAGGTGGTTTACGCGAATTTAAAAATCGAATGTGTGTTCGGAATTTCGGTTGAATATCGTTGAATATTGTTGAAACATATATACTAGTCAATACATACATATGTTGCAATATTTGCGAACAATTTCGTATTGTTTACATGATTTTAGTTATCACTAATCAGAAATTAGTTATTTTTTAAAATTTATGAGAAAGTTTATTATGGAAAGTGGTTGTTTATACCATGTGACTTTTATGGAATAAAAATTCTGCAATATGACCGTTATGGAAAAGGGATTATGCAAAGTGACCGGAGACGGAAGGCAGCATTGTCATACTTGACAACGTGTAATAACACAGATTGTAAATGTTTAAGAGAGGACTCAGCTTTCATTTTACAATGCTTATCATCGTTATTATATCCTTAATTGAATAGAGGAGAAATCTACGTACACCGAGATCGTAATTTATTATCATGTTCGAAACCATATATCCAGCCTGCCAAGCAAGATGGTGTCATGTTCTCATTTGTGAAGGAGTAAAGAAAATATGAAAAAATTATCAGTAAAAGTGGAAGCTTCCGTCACTAAACGCTATAAACTTTACCTCTACGAGTCTTCCTCCTCCTCCAAGAACAGATCTGAATTCCTACGAGATCAGATTTTATGCTCAATGTTCGGATAAAAATTCAGACTTGGCCAAACCCCAAAAGTTGTTTGATTCCTTTATGATAAAGCAAAACTTTGGTTAAGAGAGTGGAAAACTCTGTCGAACCGTTTGGTTCCCATTCCTTTGCGATTTTGCGGCTATTTTGCAACATTTTGGACATTTCGAATCAAAATATTCCATCTCTTTGCACTAAATCATACCGTATGAAATGAAATATTACAGGAAAGGGTTGGCCACGGGTAAAAGCGAAACGGGCGAGAAATGCTAAATTCTAAGATCTGATTCAATTTCTACGTTTTTTTTGTGTCGTGTAAATATCGGGTTTTTGCCTGGTTAAATAAAACCGAGTTGCTCTGCTGGATTTCAGAATTGTCTTCGAACCATGTATTTAGCGAGTATTCATTCAGCACCTGTTTCGAAACAAGCCCAGCGTCAAACCCATCTTCGCAAATTGTGCATGAACCCCAATGTCCCATTTGTCATTTATTTATGTGATTTGCACATGAAGTTTATAAATGTGGATGATGTCTGTTTCTGCGGATTGCGGGTTAACATAAGTTGTCCATGTAAAAATCCTTCGCAACTCATTTTAGACCGGAAACTTATCCTTTTGACAGAACTTTTTAGGTAGGAGGCTGATTGTTGAATGACAATTTATGTGCATTCTCAATGCAAATATTGCATAATAGTAAAACCAGTTACATCCACACCGTTGGGAAATTTGAGACAGTAGCCTTTAGCCGAGTCGAGCATCCCGAGTGATGAATCCTCTGTTAGGAATGGTGAGTGTGCTAAAAAGTGTGTGCTCACTTCTGAAAGTACCGTTATCTTCCACTCTGTACCCATCGCCTCACTTGTAGAGCCCCACATTCAACTCTTATTAGGATCACAAAATTGAGAAAAATTGCCTCAAAACCGTATAATCCAGCAATTTTTAATCAACCGGACTTTATCAATCGTCGCTGGGTTATCTATCTCCTCCATAAATCTTTTTTAGTCGATTACATACATCCACAATTTCTTAAAATATCTTTGAAATAACAAATCCATCCTTAAGACGAAAACAAGTTCAACATGTTTACGTAAAGAAAAACTTTGTAAAATAATAGAATAGGTTTGGCAACTTCACCGGCAAGTAAGTTTTTCTTTACAACATGTGTGAATTTTAGCACAGAACACCCGTTTATTCATCCAGTCAGAGGTTACATGTGTACCAGAGAGGGTTATGTATTTCTCATTTGCATGCAATTTTATCTCGAAGTAAAAGCAAACAAAGTTGTGTACGTACTATTCTTCTTGGTTCTGGGGATGCTATCACGGTTGTCAGTTGGTTGAACAATTGGCACATGGTGAATCATTTGTAATTCGGGTTGGCATTATCCTCTGGAAAGCGTTCAATGATTAAGAGTTATGTCATTTTTGTACACATAATGGGCAGATGTGCTTATTTTCAGCGTGTTGTACAAAATTATGATACATAGTAAAATATTTTATTGATTTAAGTACTATGTACATCGTATCTGAAACTTGGTCCTGCAAAAAAAAAGAACGAACTCGCAGCGTTCGTCCACCTCCACCCACGTGGTTGTACGGATATCTGTAGAATAGTTGTCAGGTAATCAACACCGTGATGATATGCATGGGAGGAGGAGGGGGATTTTCCGTTCCGGGTTCTTCGGATCGTACATTCGTATGTAAGATGATGTCTAATTTGTCGTGTTTGATTTCACTACTCGCAGATTGCAAGTAAGTACAGCTTTTATTTTACTTTACACAGTGTTCGTGATTTTACTTGTACAAGATTTCACTATTATACTACTTACTTATATTCTCCTACTAATACGTCAGCAAACTGAATTAGACTTCTTCTTGATGGAAGGAATGGAAAGAGCGACAACGAAATAAATCCGTCATTAAGTTAGATAACGCGACAGAATGCAACAATTTGGAGCGACATGCATAATAAATGGTTAACATAAGATGGCAATATAAACTGAGGAAGAAGGCTTGCAATAAATTTTAGTGAAGAGAACATTATCAAAACCGTTAATTTTTTATGGAAGGAATAAAATTTGGACGAAATTGTGCCATCATGGTTTTAAAAAACGGACTCGTGGCGTTCAAATCGCACCTTTTTCCTACATATTTCCAATCATTTATTTGGTATCTCATCATTTGAGAAATCCTCCTCCTTATTATCGACGAAGACTTTGGAAGCAATTTTTGTTGGTGGTTGTTGCGAATGTTTTCCGAGGAGTGGAGTCTATTTTTAAAATATTTATTAAAGAGGAGCAGATTCCATCCTTTATAGCCTATACTTCACATTGGCCGTGCAATCTTCACTCACTTACCTCCATCCAACTCCTCCACAAGAACAACATTTCTTGGACGACGAAGACGACGGTAGTGTGCAATATGTAGTGGTAGTTGTTAACTTAACCACTCCAAAAGTTCCTGCTTTCTGCTTCATTTTTCGTACAAACAACTATATCAGTTCAGATCGAGAGAGGAGTAGTTCGAGGAAGCAGTTCGATTGCGATTAGTTCCATGCTCAAAAGTACTTGCGACTAAATAACTCGTGTACTGCTCGTGCACTCTCGAACAAAAATTTCTTCATCATCTGCTTGATCTCTGGCCAAAAATGTTCGCAGAGGAAAACTTATTTATAAAATGGATATACGGCTTAGCGTTGGTTGGTAGTTGGATGTATTTAAATGAGGCATATATGTATTGGCTTCCTGATTTTAAAGTTAGAGGTGACGTGCGGTTGTTATACGACACCATGCAAGAATTTCTTTTCCTTCCACTTTATGCATGCACTTTTCCACTAGAGACTATTTCATACTACGGCTTTCTTGTCAGTCTGTTCCGGTTTTTATTCCAATACGGTTGACGGTTGTGGTGCAATTTTGCTTAAGTGATCTGCAAGGTTGGTATTCCATTTTGATGGTGCATTTTACTAGAGATTAAAAGTAGTGGTAATTAAGTGACGCGATAAACATTCAGGAACAATTAGACATACTTGGTTTAGTTTTATAACTAACCCAAAGTCTCGCTTACATAAAGGCATGAATAGTTTTTGTACCCGTTTGCAAAATTAATTTTTTAGTGATTCTGAGAATTTTTGTTCTTGATTATTTTTGAAAATATATAGATCTGAATCAGTATGGGAGACGACGCTAAGTTTATCAAGTGCCAGGGTGCCAACTTGACCAATGGTTTCGCAGGTCAGCATACATACCTCATATTTCAGAAATTACGTAATGAGTGAATTATATAATTCTGAAAATATTTTTTAACCATAAATTTGCTCAGAGGGACCCAACAAGTTCACCATCCTGACCTCCGATAAGCATGACGTTACTCAATTACAAATCGGTTTCGAAGGGCCTGCCCAACCGGAAGTGAAACTGGTGACGAAGAAGGATAAATCCGTCGACGTAACGTATATCACTGCCGTAGGAGGAGATTACAAAATCCACGTCAAGTACAAGGATGCCTACGTTCACAGCTCCCCCTTCAAGGTGAAAATTGTGGGTGACGTGAAAGCTTCAGTGGATAAAGTCAAGACTTCCGGGGCTATTAAAGAAGCCAAGAACAATGCCGACAACACCATCACGGTTGACGGGCGAGAAGTCGGTATCTCTGGTAAGAGATAGATTACTGCCAAATTATCAAGTCTCACATAACTTTAGGGGGTACAAATTGACATAAAAATTTCAAAATTAGGTGGACTCAGCGCTCACATGGAGGGCCCATCAAAGCCAGACCTGCAATTCAAAAATAACGATGGTATTGACATTGTTTTCTGTTCTTTTTCAGAGCTCTGTTTCACTATTGTTCTATTCAAATAGATGGCACCGTTACTGTTGCCTACAAACCAACGGCCGCCGGGACATACAAGCTCCATTTGAAATTTACTCATTACCATCTTCCAGGTAAGTGAAGGGGAAAAGTTTGGTAAAATTATTCGCCATTAATTGGACGACCAGTTTCATAACATGTTTTTCTACAGGGAGCCCATTCACCATTGCCTGCAAGTAAATGGGAAAACTTTTTCTCAAATTATGAATGCTTTAAAGTCTTGTGAAAATACAGAATATTGTCAAAACTTTTTTGAGCAACATCTTACACAACGCGTGGATATTATTAATGTTGAAACCAATGTTTCCCATAAAGTAATCATACATATTTAACTGCCACAGTATTTAAATAAGTACTTGTATAATTCTTAATTAGGTAAGTAATTGTATTATAGTTTGGCAATCATTCAATAATACTCAATCCAAATCCAATATTGTTCATTATTATTCTTATCAAACTTTGATTTGTTTGTGCCCACCCTGGATGGAAAATCATGGACAAAATTATTCCTCCATATTGTTTCCCGATTCGAATTCGCCCAAATTTCTGCGAGTTAAGTTAATAAATTTCAACTTTCAGAATTTTGAGCTCTGCAGACTTTTATCATCCACATGTACATACGTTCACAATATCGCTTTTAGTTCAAGCCTCATACAGAACAAACACAAACATACGCTGAATCAACAAACATTCCAAACAATTATCCTCCCCGGTTTTTCCGCTACATACATATTGAAACATTTCGTATTTGAAATTTGAAGCCTTGCCTACGTACGTTGGAATTCTTCTCAAGTGCTTGAATCCTAAGAATAATATATAAACGTAAACTAAGGGAAGCGTAGTTCAAGATCAGTAGCCCATAAAAAGAAAACATTCAATTGTCTCACGTCCCATTGCTAAATCGAAATCCAATTCAAGGCACTTCAAAGACTTGAAAAATATACAGAACCAACCGTCCATCCAATTCCGTGAACCTTGATCTTCTTCCATGCTCCCAAATATCTCTGTATCTATTTCTTCTTCTCCATGAATTGCTCACGGGGATCTGAATGAGATCACGTTCATTTTTTGCTGAATGGGAGGAAACCTGTACATATGAAATGATAGAAAGCCGCATTCGGGGAGATTGAGATAACATGAGTTCTTTCTCTAATCCTAAGTTTAGCATGAAATTGTTATGAAGTTTGAAGTTTGCAAAGGTTATATATTTGTAGAAATACATAACTTTGATAAGCTTAAAATTATTTTTAACCATCCACATAAAAATTTATGTAATGTAATACAGCGATTCGAGGAGATCCGATTAACAACTTTCTCCCCTGTAGCAAGAATCTCTTTTAAATTGTAATGTAATCCTGGTACGATTTTCACCCACTTTTACTTGCTTGTGCTAGACCTAATTTTTTTCTTTGATCTCTCTCTCCAACAATCGGGCTGACCTTGTCAGTTGTGTGCCATGTTCAAAAACCTGTTAAACTTCAACTCGGCAAAAAAGTGGCACATGGTTAGAGTCAAAGTCGAAGTTTGACACGAGGATATTATTTTCGCAATCACCACGATTTCATATCTGTAATTCTCCAAGTTTGCAAATACTGCGTATTTCAGGACTGCAATATTTTTTCGCTCAGGACACAACTGACATAATCTCCTTTCCTCACTTGCTCTCTAACTTGACCTACAAATTTTCAAATGGAAATTTGATCTACTGGATGGAACTGTACTGCTTATTTCATAGTGAAATTTTCACTTGAGGTGTGAAGAGCAGCAGACCACCCTGTATGACATGCTGCTATCATAAAAAATATATTTTTTCCAGCAATGAGCTCACCACCCTTTTTTCCAGGGAACTTTTGTATTTCTGTGCGAAAAAAGAATACGAGAGACACCAACATGCAAAATAAATAGTGCACCGAAGACTTTTTTGAGTAGCAGATAGGAGTCGTCCCAGCATTTTGGTTTTGTAGGGGAGCAGATCCCCCAGATATAAAAACGGAAGGGTTATTTCCTCCTCTCACTTTTGCAATTCCATTACATCCACTACATTACATCATATTAAAGTATTACAGGAAATCCATCCAGTCCTTTCATCCGTTTTGTCCTCTCCAACCAACTTTCACCAACTCAAATACAATTTTTCCACCTGGCTTCACATTTCAACGATTCAACACTTTCTCCCCATATCCCGTCCGTCCGTCCGTTGTACGTGCCACGGTCAATATCGTCATTAACACACGTATGTCCGACACAGTCGCTGTCCGTGACCGGGTGCTGAGTTATGACGACCAATCACTCCGTTCTGACATATTATTTCAATCTCTCTCCCTGTCCAGCGCTTTGTCTCGTTGTAAATTTTATTTTTGTGTCAGGCCAGGGTCACGGCAAGGACACGATTATGTAACTGGCGTATTTTTTTTACAAAATATTTGTGCATTCTGTTGACCCACGGAATACATTTTTCAACACAAAACTTAGATTAACTACATTGTTGCAATTTGACTTTTTTTCGCAAAAAAACATTCTTTGCGAAAATACAATGCTATTCTTCCATGGTCCATCCTCCTTTACAAAATTCAATAACCAAATAAAAACTGAATCTTGTGAAACTGTATGAATGGCTGGTCTCTGTTCGTTCGCTCTCCATCTGGGTTGAGAGGCTTTCACTCGGGTGGAGACTAGGAGACGGTTTTGTGATGGGGTCGATCAATCAAGCCATTGTTGCTGATGTGTGAATGTGTGTGTGTGCATGTGCCTATAGCGGCGTATCTGGTGCACACCCTCCACCCAGATAAAGAGAGAAAGCAGAAAGAGAAAAGTGGACAAGGACGTGTGAAGTGAACTCAACTCGTGCTTTCACTCTCATCCGAGAAGGAAATTCCACCTTATTTATCGCAACTTCACCTTTTCACGGGTCCAACACGGCATCCAAAGCATGTAATGTTCGAGGTTTATGTACGAGTCTTTGGAATAATTATTATGCATATTCAGCAGTTTGTTGTATCATAAACCTTTGTGTCATATATTATTTGTCAGTCTGCCATTCTTGCTCCCGATTTTCCAACCCAAATCTAATGACTCGTATTCAAATGTAAAATAACTATGTGTTTTATAGAAACAAAAAACCAGTCTGTAAAAAAAATGTTAATAATACCTACGCGTGTTACGCAATATTTGAAAATTCGCCAACTCTCGCCCCATAAACGTGGCCATCTTGGTAGGTAGCTTGCTCCATATAATAAAATTTATTCCCTCGACGAAATCAGATCAATAAGTCACTTCGAATAAGAAACCAACCACGGACCAGTGAGGGTCAGAAATTGCGAAATTCACCATTAATTCAACCCAAACAGAAAGTTTGAAAATAATAAATGATGAAGCTCTCGTTCCAAAGACAAAACTATTCAAAACTTCTCTCTCTCTCCACGCTCATGGTCGTTTGGTCATGTCCGGTCGGTTTGGTTTTGTTGGTGGAGGAGCAACTGCCACAAATAAAATGACTTTCTATATTTTATACATACATATTCTTCACAAATGTATAATCGCGTGGCCTGGCCCCACAAACAGCCGGCCTTTTCTTCCATAAGTACGAGGAGGAGGACGACGACGACCGCAAAAGTCGGTCTGGTGGAGTAATAGCTCATCCTTCACCTCGTTCCGACTGTCCCAAGAGTTTTAGACTCTGACCCTTCATCCATTGCAGATTTATTCAGAAAGATGAAGGCACTCGAAATCCACGGATTTACTTTCTCTCTCTCAAGACGTCGGAGGCAGAAGAAAACCAAAAACCAAACCAAGAAGTAAACTACTACTTCTTCGTCTGACTGTGACTGTATCATTTGGTGAATAGAGAACAGAATTTATTTACGACTGTGGTTTAAGCACGACTGGAATGGAATCTGAATCTGAGAACCAGTCAGAGAGGTAACATTTTGTAGAAAAACATGTCTCGGGGTATTATTTGTCTATTTCGGGTTGGATTTTCTCTTCATCTTATTTACATGATAAACAAAATTTTACAAATCCATTGTAAACTGAGTTTATGAAAATGCGGAAGGGAAAAGATGCTGACTTTGTTAGAGTTTTACGAGGAGTGGGATGTGAAGTTCAGTTATTTACACGCGGTGACATTTTATGTATGTGAGACGAGGAGATTGATGATGTGAAAAACATTTTAGAAATATATATCAAAGTTTTGAATTAAATGTCAAGATCAAGTAAATTAAAATACACTTAACGTCTAATAGTTGAATAAATATAAAATCCAGAGAAAAAAATGACAGTTTTCAGCTCGTAAAATACGAAGAAATTGAAGAAAACATCTTGAAATAATGTGTCTCGATTTGCCCAGTTTTATGCATACTTTGGGCTGAAATTTCAGCCACATCACAAAACCAGCATCCAAAAGGAGAATAAAATAAGAACAGAGATTATTTTAGAACAGTGAAAGTGAATCAGAGTCTGTGACAAACTCATTAACATAGCATTTCGCAGATCTCTGTTTGTTTTACTTCCCCAACTTTCACCAACACCACCACTTTCCCATAATACAAATTGGCTCAGACCATCATCACTCTCAAGGGTACATTTCAACCCTTATTTTCTCCAGAATTATGTTCCACACGACAAAGTGCTTTCTTTCCCCAAAACCTATTTCTAACTCTCCCCAAACTTAGATTTCTAAAGATGGCACGCTATGCAAATTTTTGGTAAAATCAGGGTTAACAACAACCCACCCACAAGATAACTCAATCGTTTAACACTTCTTCTTCTCCTCCAAGTCTCTAGAGTGACTTTCACTCATCTTTATCACTCATGAAAATTGTAATGTGGCCGCGATGACGATGTTGTCCTTGTGCCAAGTAGAAGAACACAACATAACAGCCCTCTCCCAATCTCCTATTGTTCTTGGGTTGTTGTTTCCCCTGGAAAAGTTGAGACGAGGATAATAACACCACCAAGTAAGGACGGGATGGAAAGCGTAATAATTATCATCGGGTGGGTGAAGTTAGACCTTAAATTACTGCCTTATTCACACAATATTTGTTCTCGCTCGACTTTCATCTCTCTCCGGTATGCATGGATGGATGGCGAGAGGAGAGAAATTGCTTTATTTAGTTGGGAGTTAACTTGATTATTATTATTTTGAGTGAGAAAGATGTGAGGATGAGATGAGTGGATAATTATTTTAAGAAGTTTGTCTCACTCTTCTTCTCCACAATCCACAAACTCTAGTTTAACATTCAACATCTCCTCCGCCATCCTTTCATCATATTTACACAAGTAATTTTGAATGCGGTGTTTGTCTTGGCTTGGCCCTGGCAGTGGTTTCACTGTGGGAATATGTAAGAGGAATTTTGCATGAATACATATGTACATAAGGCAACAATCCCACTCATCCTCAGTCAGACTGCTACTCATCGGCACGACTTGCGGT